ATAGAGAGTAGAAGTAAGTTTACTCTAAGCTCTAGGATCCCTTAGTAGGAGCTTAGGAGTACTATAGTATTATAACATACTTTATAAAAGGATATATAGTAATAAATTACATTACTATTATATTTAATTAATATACTTATTTTAAATTCTTAATAGTTTCTATTACTATAGATATTCCTTTATAAGCTCCTATTAGCTTATCTTTAGTAGATTACTAGGCTTAGAGTATAAGGATACTAGAGCTCTAGTATATAGTACCTATAAATTATTAGGTTAAATAACTAAAAATTTAGTTTACTTCTTTTTATAAAACCTAAATATTCTATATATTTATTACTAGCTTACAGTACTCTATTATTATAATAAATACTAACTATAGTAGTTTCCGTTTATATAGTAAGAAATTTCTAGAAATACTTTCTGTTATATATTTTATTAGTATATACTGTGCTAATAATAGAAAAAGTACTGTTATTTACACTTTAATAAATACTTATCTATTTCTATAAATAGTATTAAAATAGTCTAAACTTACTAAATTACTTATACTAATAATATCTTCTTTTTATAATTCTAGAAACCTTTAAAGATGTTTGTAAAGGAGATCTTATTTAAAGTTAGAGTAAAAGTATTATACTTATTTATAATAAGCTAGAAAAGTTTTATAAGCTAGGTATTATATAAAGATTAAATAGTCTAACTAACCTATAGAAGAAGATTATAAAGTTAACTATATAGAGCCTAACTTTATCTCTTTTATAAAGGCTATATTTAAAGTTAATACCTAGATTTCTGTAATAAAATACATTATAATTATTCTAAGTAATACTTTTTTTTTTTACTACTTAAATATGTCTCTAGAGATTCTACTAGAGAAATATTAAGAACTACACTAGTATTAGCACTAAGTTATATAAAACTTTTTCTTATAAGTTTACTATTTAATATACTTTTTAAGTACCCTTACTACGCTATTATATATATTTAATAAGTAAAGTGTAAGCTTAGCTATAAAGAGTTATATAAGAAGATAGAGATTAATATATTATATTATTATTATATTTTTATACACGGGTTTTAATTACTTACTAGTTATTAATTAGCTTAAGCTTCACCTAGTTATAAGCTTTTTATAATTATTAGCTCTCTACTTTCTATTACTATTACTTACGCTGGTAAATGGGTAGGGTCTGAGATTCTACCTGGGTACCCCCCAAAACTCAACCAAAACTAGTCCGATTTAGGCAGTTTTGAGTTCATTTTAAAGCCCTCACTCAGGACTATCAAATAGGGTCGGGGTTGTATTATCTTTTGTAAGTATTAGAGGAGCTATGACCAATAGAAGAGCCAAAAAAGGTGACCCAACCCCTACCCAACCCAGACTTTTGGGTAGCTAAATAACTTCTAACCTGTTACAGCTAGCGCCTAGTTAGTATAACACGATAGAATGCGCTAGCCTAGGGCTACAAAATAACCCAAAAATTGCCCATTTTGGACTAGTGGATAAAAAGATATATCGGAAATAAGAAATTTTTAGAAAAAAAATTTACCAGCCTACTATTACTATTACTATTACTATTACTATTACTTTTATAACTAACTTTAAATAAGCCAGCTTTATTCTACTTTTATTATTTTAGGTTTATAGTATATTTATGCTTGTAGTATAGGCAGATAGACGTAATACAGTAAGAATCTAATATAGTAACTTAGTGTAGAAGCTAATACCTAGCTCTTTTTTATATAGTAAATATTAGTAAAAGTATATAGTAAAGGTAATAAAGAGCTAATTAGCTATCTTTTAACAACTAGCTACTTAATATACTAATATAGACGTATTAATTAAAGTTTAGTCTAGCTTTAGAATATAAACTGTAATTAAGTTAAGAAAACTCTTTAATAACTAGTAATTCTAAATATATAACTAGGCAATAACAGTTTATATAAGCAAGCTAGTATATAAATATTCTTTAGACCTTAAAATTTAAAATCTAAATACTTTATTTACCTATCTATCTATTTATCTATTTTATTTTTCTTTTTAATTAAAATTATACCTAACTAAGAATATAATTCTATTAGTATAACCTAGAAGTTTCTACGCTAGCTTTTATAGTAAAGTAATAATTAAAGAATTAAAGTAAGTAATTACTAGTACTAGTATAGTACTCAAAATATCTCTAATAAGATCTTAAAAAAGCTAATTAAGTAGTAGAAGAATTAAAAAAGTATTACTTATTATAATAGTAATACCTTTTACTTAATAAATATAGATTTTATTAAATACTTTAAACTTTATAAGAAATTTAAATTATAGCTTTATAAAGTCAAAGCTTAGATTTTATTTATATAAGTTTATAAAACTAATAGGGATTTCTTTAGTACCTAGCTTTTTAAACTTTATAACTTTACTACTAAGTTAAATAATAATACTAGTTTAAATAAGAAAAAAAGCTATTTTAAGTAAGCTTTTATAGACCTTAAGTATACAACGTAGAAAAGGAGACTTATAGAAGTAATTTAAGAGGTATAAAACCTTACTACAGCACTATAGTTTAATATAGAATTAGAATAAAGCTAGAAGTAGTAGTAATAGTAATAGTAATAGTTATAGTAATAGAAAGTAGAAAGTTATAACTAGGTTAAACTTTAGCTACTATAGTTAGTATTAATAATAAGAACTAATAAGCAATTAAAACACGTACGTAAAAATATAATAGTAACTTAATAAATATATTTCTATCCTCTAGAAAATTAGCTTACTATAAGATATAATAAAGAAACTCCTAGGCTATACTAATAAAGTTAAGTTATTAGTTAGCTATAATTACAGCTATAATAAAAGATAAAAAAGATAGTAAAAGGTTTATAAAAAGCCCTAGCTACTTAATAATATAAATAATATTTATATACTTAGGTTTTAACTACTAAGGTGTAAAGGATATTAATATACTAGCTTATTAATATAAATATTTTAATCTATAGGTTTACTAAAGCTGTACTAGTTATATATTTAGAAGTACTTGTTTTTTAAAAAGTATTATTAATCTAGCTATTAGTTATAATATAATTTAAGGTTTAGATCTAAACTTAACTTTACTTAACAGCTTTCTATACTCTTAAATATATATCTATATTAATATATTAAGAGCTAGTTATAAAAAGATAGCTAATTAGCTCTTTATAACCTTTACTTTACACTTTTACTAATATCTAATATATAAAATAAGGCTAAGTACTAGCTTTTATACTAGGTTATTATATTACATTCTTACTATATTATGTCTATCTACCTATACTATAAGTTTAAATATACTAAAAACCGAAAATAATATAGGTAAGCTAGTATATAAGTATCTTATATACCCTAAAAGGTAAGATCTAAATATTTTATTTATTTATCTATTTATCTATCTAATATTATTCTTCCTTTTAACTAAGATATACCTAACTAATAATATATTTCTATTAGTATAATTAAGAAAATTTTAGGCTATTCTCTTCTAGTAAACTAATATTTAAAAGATTAAAGCTAGTAATTACTAGTACTAGTATAGTACTTTAGATATCTCTAGGAAAATCTTTAAAGACCTAGTTAAGTAGTAAAAAAAAAAAAAAAAACTACTTAGTATAATAGTAATATATTCTACTTAAGTAGTTTAAATATTAAGTAGTACCTTAGACTTAATAAGAATCTTAAGGTAAAGCTTTATAAAGTTAAGGTTTAGCTCCTCCTTATATAAGTTTATAAGGCTAATAAGGCTTTTTTTTATACTTAACTTATTTAACTTAAGTAGCTTACTATTAAGTAGTATAATAATACTACTTTAACCTTAAATAAGAGTAGCTTTAAGTAAGCTTTAAAAGATCTTAAGTATTATAATTAAAAAATTAGATTAGTACAAGTAATTAGGTAGGTATAGAACCTATATATACTATTAATAGTATAAGGACTAATAACTATTAGAGTAATAGTAATAGTAATAGTAATAGTAATAGTAATAGTAATAGTAATAGTAATAGTAATAAAAGGTTAAAGACTAATAACTTATAACTAGCATTAACGTTAGCTACTATTGTTAATATTAATATATTATAAAAACTAGTAAGTAATTTAAACGCGTATAGAATTAAAATATAAAAATAATATAATTTATTAATCTCTATTAATATTTACTAAATATACAGGGGCTAGGTATTAGCTTCTATACTAAGTTACTTAACTATAGTTTAATAGTAATCTATCTATCTACTTATATAATAAGTATAAAAACACTAAAACCTAATAATAATTAGTAGATATTATAAAGATTAACAAGTATATAATATCTATATATAACTAAAATATAATAGTAATAAGATACATTAATTACAATTCTTTAAAGACAAAAACCTTATATACTAATAGTACTATTAAGTTTTTAAAAGCTAGATATATTTAAGTTAAAGTTAAAATATATATTAGTTTTATAAAAAGAAAAAAATCTGTTATAATCTAATAGATAAGATAAGCAGCTTTTTGCTAATATAATTATAGAGTATAAGTCTAAAGAAACTAAAATTCTAAATCTAAACTTAAGTATAATATTTAATAATTACTTACTAACGTAAACTAATAAGCTTTTAGCTAACCTAAGATCTGTATATTCTATATACTATACTATAGAATAGAGAGAATAAAGAAGTAGTAGATAGGTAGTAAGTTATAAAAATAGTAGTAAAAGATTAGCTAAAGAATATCCTAGCTATTATATATTCTAACTAATCTTATAAATATTTAAGTTATTTAATGTAATTTCTTTCTATAAAATCTTAATTTTAAAGTTATACTTACAAAATACTCAGTATTATTCTTTTATATATATTCAGCTATAGTAAATATTAAAGACTTTGCTATCTTGTTATTTTCAATAAATTCTATCTTAAAATTTTAATTTTAGTTTGTTTTTCTTCTATTGCGTAATAGCTTTCTCGTAGATAATCTTGATATCGCGTTGTTCCCCGCCAGCACCTTCCTTATCGAGCATTACCCCTCATCTCTTGCTGCCGTTCTGTCGTGAAAGGTATATGAACAACAATAACCAACACATCAACGTTGATCTCTCAAACGAAGTTGTCTCCAGACATTAAGCTGTTCAGTTCGCGTCTTAGGCAACACGATACTCTTACCTCCGTCGTTATGCCGTTTGACATCTCGAAAGCACGAGGGTGCTTTCCCGCTTTGCAGCAAGACCAAGTCTTTCTAGACAACGCAGGAGGTAGTCAGGTACTGGATGTTGTGATCAATTCGTGAGTTCAATATAATCACGAATGCTTGACAAAGCTTACGCAATGGCAGAATGACTCAATATCTGTCCCAAACAAATGTTCAGTTAGGAGCTTCTTACCGAACTGGGTCGGTTTCGAACACCAAGTATGAAGAAGGCTATCAGGCTGCAGCGAAGTACATCAACGCAGGTCGTGATGAGATTGGTATTGAAAGCTTCTGTTGTGATTGAGGTTCGAACTAACGATCAGGTTAGTACTTGGTGGGTCCACCACGCAGCTTTTTATGAACCTCGCCAACGCACTTGACTTCCACGAGGGTGATGAGATTATCCTCTCGAAGATGGAGCACGAAACCAACGTCAAGCCGTGGTTATTCATGGCTGAGCGACTCAAGCTAAAAATCAAATGGTGGGTTTCAGACAGGTCAGACGGGCTGAGGTTAACAGCGAAGAATCTGAAACCGCTCCTCTCCGAGAAAGTGAAGTTCGTCGCTTGTACGCATGTCTCTAATATTCTAGGAACAATTCATGACGTGAGGGAAATCGCAGATGCAGTGCATGAAGCTGGTGCGTTACTGTGCGTAGACGGTGTCAGCTTCGCACCTCATCGGAATGTCAATGTCAAGTCTTTTGGAGTCGACTTTTACTCGTTTTCGTGGTACAAGGTGAGTAATTACTTTCTGAAACGTATTTTGCTCAGCACATACATTTGGGAGACTGCTGATGGCAGAAATCGACTGCTTGACAAGATCCCTGCATGTTTTTGGTCAATATCTTACTGACTGAACAGGTGTATGGTCCTCATATTGCTGTACTCTATGCCAGCAATTCTGCACAAGAGCATGTAAAGTCTATGGCACACTATTTCAATCCTGGGAATACTCTTGAAGAAAAACTGGGGTTCGCATCGTCGAACTATGAGTGCACACAATCCATCCCATACATTGCCAGCTACCTCGATGGTTCCATCGATGCCATCACTGAGCATGAGGGCAAGCTTCAGAAGATCCTACTCGATTATCTGAACTCCCGACCGGACACCACGGTCCACGGATCCACGTCAGCTGACTCCACAGTCCGCGTGCCCACTGTATCGTTTACGGTGGAAAAGATCAGTTCCAAGACAATTGTAGAAGAGGCGGAAAAGATCTCGAACTTTGGGTTTAGATGGGGTCACTTCTACTCCAAAAGGTTGTGTGATGAGGTGCTTTGCTTGGGTCCAGAAGGTGTCACGAGGGTCAGCATGGTGCACTACAACACCGAGGAGGAGATACGGGGCTTAGTATCGGTGCTCGAGAAGGTTCTTCCGAAGATTTAAGATGCGCATTTGTGTGTCTTGGCCCTGATTACCAGCTCAAGATATTGTATGGTGTCCATTGAACAATTTGCAACAAGGGTACCAAATGTCATACTCTACTACTACCTAAACTCTATTCCTCAGCTTGTGAAATTCTCGTTAGCAAATGCCAGGCACACAGACGCGGTCATTATCAAGCACTAGTTCGAACACGAAGTTTTATCTCCAAATATTGTTGTGTACCTATATGTCAATGCCAACATCCTCGACTTTAGCGGTCCTAGCGAGGTCTACAGTACGCTCCCAACTTCAGGAGGCATAGACTTCGATATCACAACTTTTGCGCATAGTAGTCCAGTAGCCACAGGGAGCGGGGCCCCTATACACATTCCTAATGCCCGGTTCGACGAGGTTGAAGTCCATATTAAGGACTACAGCGTCCTGCTCATTCCCGGTGCGGATTTCTCAACAATCTAGATACTAAGACAACTTTAAAGTAAGGCCGAGAACTGTTGTGTTTCATACAACAATTTTCTTCCCTACTGCCACAGGGTGAATATGAGAAACGCATCCTGCAGTCTGTGTGTACAGGTACGATCCTCCTTGCAGCGTCTGGCGTCATGACCGGGCGCACGGCGACAACGCACCATCTATGCTTCGACAAGCTAAAGCAAACCGCGAACCACGCGGCTTGTAGCGATGCAAAGATTGAGATCAATCAGAAGCGCTGGGTTGATGTGGGAACAACGAACGCAGGAGTTAGGATCGTGAACGCGGCGAACGTAACCTCTCGTATTGACACAAGTTTGTGTATCTACGAGCAGCTTGTTGGAAAGAAAGACGCGTATTTGGTTGCAGAGATCGCGGAGTTTGAGAGAAGGGACGAGTGTTGGAGTGCTTGGAAGCGTTACGTTTACGCTAATGGGCATGGAGCTTGATTTGGCCAAAGTTATGTTAGCTGGGTAGCAAATTTGACTTACGCCCCAACGGATATACAGTTCTTGTAAGTTATTGAGACTCTGACCTACTTGTTGCTCCTTTGCCAAATGTGCTTAATACATGTGTCAATCACCCATTCCACAATATGCAGTAGGCCACAGGATGGAGAAGCGCGCACGCGCCACACGACCTGCTATGTCACCCCAATTTGAAGTACGTTCGACAAGAGAAATACGTCTATTTGGTACCTCGAGTTTGTGCAGGAAGGCTTTGGGAGCAGCTTTGTTCTGGTCGGTCGGCGATGTGCAGAGATATGTGGCAAGTGGATCCATCCAGCCTATTGGGCTGCAACAGACGTTCGCGTAGTTTATCGACACCTGGCCCATTCCTGCGATCGAATGTCACCCCGACCACGTCGCCGTATTCGCACTCGCACTCGAGACGCATCTCCAATCCAGGACTGCAGCAACGGCCCACTGTCCGAAGCACGTCAGAGGTGGCAACATGCCTCGCCTTGGCTCTAGAAAGAGCCGCAATGGTTGTGTGCAGTGCAAAGCGAGACGGGTGAAGGTCAGGCATTTCTCTCTTTCGTGTCCATGCGCTTACTTTATACAGTGTGACGAATCTCGACCATGTGGAGCATGCACAAAATATCGCGTCGAATGTAGTCTCTTGAGTGGTACAACATCTGGTCGCCGTTCGAACGTTCTGCCGTCCCAGGCGAGATCGACGAGCAGAGAAGTTTCCTCGAGCACCCCAGAACCCACGAATTGGGCATATACATCATCGCCAAATCCATCAGTCACGGGATTGGTCTTTCGGCCTGAAGCTGCTCCCGTGACTCCAGAAATAACACACGAACAATGGATGCAGGATCTAGAATTGATGCATCATTTCACCGCGCATGCATATCTGACAATGCCTGGCGCAGAACATACCAGACAGATCTGGGGTTACGCTGTGCCGCAGGAAGCATTTAAATACCCGTTCCTCATGCACAGTGTTCTCGCGTTCTCTGCAAATCATCTTGCCCATATCAACCCTCCCAGAGCATCTCACTTCCGACTGCTCTCTTCTACTCACCAAACGGCCGCCCTCACCTTCTTGAACACAGCTCTCACTGATCTCGGACCGACAAACTGCCATGCACTCTTTGCAGGAGCCTCCTTAGTAGTCATGAATGCATTTGTAGATGCAAGCACACATGACCTAGACGCTCTCATCGAAATTTTCCAGCTCCTTCGCGGCATGGTGTTTGTGCTGCACAACGCCGAGTCCTGGATTGAAAGCGGTCCATTTGCAATGATAATACGACCGTGCAGCGATCAATCCAAGTCACCGCCACCTCTATTATCCGCTTTTCTCATAAACATTCAGGCATTGGCTTGTTCACCGCCCCAAGGGTCAACGCCAAATCAGATTGCCTGTATCAAAGCGGCCGAGGGACTTCGTCAGAGTGTGCAGTACAGCATCGAATCATCTCCTCACCCTGCGTTCCGAGCAGCAACGACATGGCCCACGACGATTGATGCAGAATTCTTGGAAATGTTGAGAGTAAGGACAGACCCTGACGTGCAACAGTTGTTCAAGCAGTATTGCAAGATACTGGAGTTTGCCAGCTCCGATTTTTGGTTTCTTTCCGGGTGGAGAGGCATCTCGCAGCTTCTGTAGAACCAAGGTCAGTGTCAGCATGAACTATGTTATTCTGCTATAAGACAGCTCGAGACTGATACCTCATCCACAGTCGTGCCGTGTTACATTGGAGAAACTTCGGATGCGTCCTGGAGGAATACATAGGTATCTAATTTGTATAGACGACTTGTTTTGGACTAGAACCACGTCGTATAGCATTGCAAACGTTCCCTTTGAAACAGTTTGCGGCTTTCGTTCGCAAGAAGATGTGTCTCAGTTAATGTCTTGTCGCGGTATTTCCTTTCGGTGATTGTTGGTTTGCAAACCCGTACTCAGCGCTCTTGATAAATATGTGATCTGGCGCCGGAATCGCAGAACGATGTCTCCTGCAGCCACTGCTTTTACGCGTTGAGTCCCTTCGCCTGGTCATAACGACTGCTTAGCTCAGAAATACGTGAAGCTACTGTAAGGTAGCTGTCTAAGCCGGCAGATCGCTCGCAAATGCCGATGGACCAGTATCCCATGGTGCTAGTTGTGGTGAGGAAAGCCCTTGTCAATCCTTCCCACTAACCCGTACCCCGCCCTTTCTAGAACAATGATGGGAAACTAGGAACAGCTCGCGAAACCAAGCAAATACCTGACTCTGTCTCTTCTAAATACCATAACCCAAACGATTTCATATCGGCAAGCTCTAATCAAACCGGCCGAAATGGTCAGTATATGTTGTTTACAGCTGTTCGCACGTTCCATAAGCTTACTCAATATACTGGCTAGGCTATATCTGACCAAATTCCTGTGCTCATTGCTGGAGGAGGTCCTTCGGGTCTCATACTAGCTCTACAGCTCGCAAAACATGGTGTCAAATCTTTGTTGGTCGAGCGTAACGAAGGCACTACGAAATGGGTATGAGGAGACAAGTTGAGCTCTCTACAATTAAGTTGCTGTGTTGACAAGCTCCGTAGCCGAAAATGGACATTACCAACTGCCGGACTATGGAGTTGTTCAATCGTCTCGACGTGTCTCAAGGGTTGCGAGAAATCGGTTCGCCACAAAGCCCTTCCAGTCAACGACGCGGAACTCACATGCGCAGGTGTCCCACAAGAGTACTCGTTCAATGTGCTCTTCAGCAGTGGTCTATCTGAAGGTGGAGAGAAGCTCGCGCAGTGGGTTAGTATAGTCTATTCAGAGTTTGAGTTTGTCGACACTGAGATGGGCTTTCGCAGGATCTTCCTTCTCCAAAAGAGTGGGACCAACGTATTCATGCACAAAATGACGGCACATTGCCACGCGAACCATACCAGAGATGCTCCCAGGCCATCTTCGAGGCTTGGCTGAAACCTCGAATCCAGCAGGAGCCTCTCATCGAGTCGCACTTTGGCGTCATGTTAGAGTCACTTATAGAGCTTGATGACTGCGTCGAATCATACCTTGTCAATGTGAAAACTGGCGAAAAGCACACAGTTCGAAGCCAGTACGTAGCTGGCTGCGACGGAGCAGGCAGCAGAGTGCGTAAAACAATTGGTACGAAACTGATTGGCGGTCAAGTGTAAGTACATTATTTCGAAACATTCTGCGTCGTTTATACTGCTAACAAGACCGGATAGGTCTGGTGCTACACTCCTTGTGCACTTCAAGTCGCGCGATCTCACCAAACTCCACAAGCAAGGTCATTTCTGGCATATCTTTTTCACGCAAGGGGCTGTTATCATATCCCAAGATGAAGTGGACACGTGGACTGTACATCTGCCCATTCCTCTAGATACAGACTGGGAACGTCTTGATCCCAGACAGGCAGTTTATACGGTTCTGGGTGGATCCATGGGCCCATTTCCCATTGAAATCGACGAGATACTCGTCAAGAGCATGTGGAGGCCGACTATCTGCATCGCGGAGAAGTATGCATCAGAGGGAAAACGCATATTTCTGTCAGGCGATGCAGCACATCAAAACGTCCCCCACGGAGGCTACGGCATGAACACTGCCATCGGCGATAGTTTTGATCTCGGATGGAAGCTGGCAGCCATGGTCAAGGGCCATGGTGGGAAGTATTTGCTAGACTCGTATGAAATCGAACGGAAACCAGTCGCCGCTCGCAACATTGAGCGGTCGGGCGTGCACGTCTCCGTCCACCACGATTATGTGAGTTGGGTCGCCGAGACGGGGCCTGGAATCCTGACCGCAGCGAGCGCAGAGGGAAAGGAGTTTCGACAGAAGATTGAATCCTATGTGACGGCCCGCGATGGCGAGAACAAAGACCACGGCCTGGAACTTGGTTACCGCTACAATGGATCCCCCGTCATAATCCAGAGCAAAGACTGCGAGGAGCCGCACTGGTCGGTACGGGATTACGTCGCCTCGACCTGGCCTGGTGCGCGAGCGCCTCACGTTTACCTAGCCGATGGAAAAACGAGCATCTTCGATCTCTACGGTCGTAACTATACTATCATCGACTTCACCCCGAGCGGGGACATCTCCCAGTCATTCATGCAGACCGCGGACGAACTTGCCATTCCACTGAAACGCGTCCATCTCCCGTCTGAAACTCACGTGCGCAGCGTGTGGGAACGCGACGTTGTGCTCGTCAGGCCAGATGATCATGTTGCGTGGCGTCTTCCTCAAGACGGAACAACAGTGAACACGAGGGAGGTTTTGGACATCGTGACCGGTAAGCAACGGACTGGTGAAGAAGAAGGGTCTGTTCAACTCGATGCGCTTGCAAACATTCGGGAGAAAGGGTTTTCGGGGACTACCGGCAATGAGGATCAGAATCTGGTCAAGGGACGGGGTGAGTTTCAAATGTAAAGTATGACAGGTTGAGGACTTTGTCAACAATTCCACTCTACTACCCGATCGATTCTGCTGTTCATCTTGTAGATCAACACACATGTCGTTCTGCAGTTCCGTGTCAACAATTGATTAAGTTCATAACTACATGAGGAGTAAATTGATTAAACATATTATCGTCATTCAAGACCTGCATGGACGTAGAGTGACTATAGCAAACCCGCCATATATTGTCGTCACATCTCACTTTCAGAAGAATGCAATCAAAGCACAGTTTTGACAAATTCAGCATGTATTCCTACTCCACGGCTGTCTAAATCTAAGGTCACGACACCAAAAAAGTCGTAATATCCAACTTAGATATCAACCAATTGTAATGCATGAGATTAACGTCTCATGCTTGGCTTACCAAGCCATACACTACGTTGTGCACATTCAAATGCTGAGATGCTTAGAAAGCGAGCAATACAGCGCCCGCAATGGCGCTGATCAGAACACTAGCTTTGTTGAGGCTAGCTGCTCCAGTGAACTCGGGAGTCGAGGCAGATGTTGTCGCGTTGCCGGACGGAAGCACGCCTGTGGGAGCTGAGGGGTATGGCACGGCTGGCGGCGAGCTTGTGTCGGTGAGAAGGCCGCTGCTCGGGAAGGGGGGTGAGACGATGGATGTAACGGGAGGTGAGACAACCGATGTAAAAGGTGGCGAGACAGCCGATGTAACGAGGGATTGTACGGGCTGCGCCGAGCTGAGGATGGGGACCTGAACAGAGCTGGCAAGGGGAGTTTCGGTCGCTGGTGGAGGGGCGCCTGTCACTGTGACTGTGACGACGCCGCCGCACTCGCAGGGGGTATCTTCAGCGCCATCCACACCACCGACGGGTGTGTTGGAAGTGCCGCCTGAAGACTGAGGGACAGAAGCCGTCTTGGATAGCGAGCCGGAGGTTTGAGGTGTTCCCTTGGGGTAGTCAAAGTCCGATGGGCCAGACACACGGGCGGAGCCGGAAGCGGAAACAGCACCAGAGACGGGCGTGGCAGTTTGCTGCTGGTTCTCGGTGCAGTTGCCTGATTGCGTTGCAGTCACGGTTGGGGCATTGAAACCCGACTCGAGAGGAGCGCCAGATGCAGTGGCAATGGCAGTGGCATTGGCATTGATTACGCCAGTGTTCTGAGGCGCGCCGCTCGCATTGCCGGCGTCGACAACCTGGATTGATTCGAACGAACCGGACTTGTCTGTCCAGTGGTACTCGGTACCGGGGCTGTAGTTAATGACCTTGATGGAGTCGACAACCATGGTAAAGGGCGCCTTTGTGTAGTCGACCTTTCCGCCAGCCCACTGACGAGTGCCCTCGTTCTCAGAGTCGCCGCCGGGCCAGTTGCCAAGACGAACGTTGCACGGCGTCTGCGGGAAGTTCTTGCCACCGTTTGCATCAGCGTAGTTGAGCGTGCGAATGGGCTTGTTGTCGATGATCCAGGTCAGCGACTCGGCTGTCCAGTTCAGCGCGTAGGTGTGGAAATCGTTCTGGGTTGACGCGAGTTCAGCCTCAATCATGCGGTCGTAAGTCGTAGTGTTTCCCTTTCCAAAGTAGTTCATTTGAACCTAGCCAAGTTAGAGATTTTCATACTTCTCATCGTGAACGGCTTACCTTGCTATCAGAGCCGCCGATCCATTCCCAGTCAACTTCGTCCAGATTGTCTGACTGGAGAACGATGGACGAGATGATACCCTGGCCGGGCGCTGCCTTCATCTTCACCTCGACATAGCCAAAGTGGAGATAGCCGATGGAACCAATGGTGGGAGCATCTCCTTTCTTGCTGACAATGAACTCGGCACCTTCAGCACCGTACGTGAGACTACCGGCAGTCTGCGTCCAGCCTTTGATGGCGTCCTTGCCTTGTTTGAAATCGGTCTCCCAGGTCTGGGCCATGGCAGGATCGTTCGGGCATGTCTTCTTCATGGGGTTGCAGTCTGTAAAGGTCTGGGCACTAGACAGAGCTGCGAGTGCGCTTGCAGCGGCATAGGTTGTGAAACGCATATTGGCGTGTGAGTTGATTCTTGAAAAATGAGATGGTCCTGGTGCAAGGGAGGAGTGGGTTGAGAAAGAAGTCTTCGCAGAAGAGAAAAAAGCCTGACAATCAAAGGAACAGGGCAATAAGAGAACAAGGGATCAACTGTGTGAGTGAAAGAATGGAAGCTCAGGGCTTTGACGAGGCCGAATGAGTGAGCGGTCGTCCAGCGTCCGAAAGCAAGTGAAGAGAGTGTGGTAAGGGAACAACTCGAAGCAAAAACCGTCGCAAGTTGGGGAGTATCAAGTCGAGGGCCCCCGAGTATATAGAAACTCGGTGACATGCAATTTCCGCCGTCACGCATTTTCACAGCCTCCCGTGTCATGTTTGAAGCTGGGTGTGAATGGTCGAGGAGGGTCTCTCGTTGGTCTCCCTGTGTGTTTCATGAAACGTCTGTGGAGACTAGGGCGTGTCAGAGCAGCCAGACGCCATGCCTCGTCCGGGGAGGCGCCGTGGCGACCTATCAGCAACGGCGTGTTCCTGGCATGTCTGACATGCCTGACATGCGGTAAGCCACCCGGGCCCTGCATCTTGCCTTATGCTGATGGTGTGAGATGTTACAGTGTGCAGCGAGCCAAAATTTCAGTGCAAGTAGAAACGTCGATGGCTTGGTTCGTGATTGCGATCCGCCAGGCCACGCATTTTGCACCTCCTTCTAGGCGATCTCACACGTTCTTGGAGGAATATGACGAAACGATCTACCGCCGTGAGGATCCCAATGCGACGGTGGGGTGTCAGGACGTCACATCACGTGATCATGGCGGGTAAAGGAGATGGACATGTGAAGAGTTGTAGGAAAATATTTGGTCTTGTGCACGATCAACGGCTTACACAACTGTTGATCCTTGGATCTAGCGCGCAACCGCACCCATTCTGAGCATGCAGTTTTCGTGGTTTGTAATATGATGGTATTGATATATAGGTAGTAGGCTACAGTAAGTTATGGTTCAAACTGGAGATTCAGCATCTCACACCAAATATGTATACTCATGGAGGTACATTGCCACACAGCCTTGAAGAAAGACATGGTCAAAACAGGCCAATGTGTATCAACAATTCACTACAACCTAGTCCCCAACGCCGGCCACGCCACGCACTCGGTTGCAATATCAAGGATGGCGCCTGTGGGGACCGTCCAGAAAGTCTTGCGTATCATTGTCAAACTACTTGAGCTCACGCGCAAGGTCGAGGCGTCTGTTGTTACTCGGCAATGTCAGCATGGCAAGCAGAACGAACAAGAGCACGGGCATGTTGCTGGCGGACTCTCGTTATGCCACAATGGGCGCGTGTTGGTGTGAGTTGCAGGGCCATGAGCGTCGAGTCAATCAGGCACTGAGGCCCAAGAAGGCTGTTCCCTCACCTCCGGCGACTGCGATCGCCGCTGGCCTGCTGGGCAGCCAGCTGTGCGGCTTCGTGTCCGAGCTCCTGCCTTAGGGCGTGCAGGTTCTTCTCCTGGTCCTCCCTCGCCTTGAGCTCCTTTTTGTAGGCGGCATCGACGTCGTCCATCTTGGCCTTGAGAAAGTCAATCAAGGCCTGCTCCTGCTCCTGGCTGAAGGGGATGTCGTCGGCGCCCTTTTCGGGCAGCTGGGCGCTGCGTTCGCCGTTGGGCAGGCCGCGCTTCAGCCTGCCGTTGGGACCCAGCGAGGCCTTCTTGCTGCCGCCCTTTGCGGGGGTCAGGTAGTTCCACTGGTCCTCTGCGGTCAGGGCGTCGTACAGGGCCTCGGTGGGCTCGTTGAACTGGACGACCTCGAGGAACTCCGAGCGCACGCAGCCGGTGCGCTCCTGCTCGGCCTGCATGGCATCGTCGCCGTATTTTTCGAGCTGCAGGAAGTGCTGGCGGTACTGGGCCTTCTCGCCCGAGGCAGGCTGAAAGTGCAGGCGGATGTCGATGTTGAAGCCGCCCCAGCCCGTCTCGGTCACGTCGAAGGGCGGGCTCTCGCAGGTGCGCAGCGGGTTCTCGTACGTGTTGAAGATCTTGAACTGGACCTTGTTGAGCCAGGCGGTGATGGCGGGGTCGCCGTCGGGCTGGCGCACGTAGACGGTCCAGCGCTTGGTGTGGTCGTCGGGCACGCCTTTGGGGCGGTCGGGGTGGCCGACGGGGGGCAGCTGCCAGGCCTCGGAGCCGATGATGATGTTGCGGCTGACGCGCTTGTTCTGGACGCGTGTGCATTAGCGGGGCGAGGGCCATGAGGGCAGGCGGCTCACCTTGACGCGCTTGCTTGCGGCGGGGGCGGGCATGCTGTGCGGTGGTGCGTCGTCTTGGAGCTGTGCAGGGCGCGCGAGGCCGAGTTGGAGCTACAAAGTCTAGCGGCGGCACCCTGTCAGCCCTACGCGTCGGGGGTGATGTCAGCACTCGAGCTCGACGCCCGCACCTCAACACATACACAACCACTCACATACACAATGGCGTCGGCAGCACAGAAGAAGCTCGTCGTGTGCGGGGGGAATGGTTTTCTGGGTGTGTGTATACTCATCTGTCCATCAAGTCACGTCTAAGGCAACAATCCCAGGCAGCCGCATCTGCAAAGCGGCAGCACACCGCGGATGGGCCGTGACATCCATCTCGTGAGGGCGCCGCGAGCCTCTGCTTCCCCCTCCACCGTCTAACGCGCCCCCAGACGCTCGGGAACCCCACACTGGCCGTCGATTTCGTCGCACCAAACAGCCCCCGACTGGTCGTCGGACGTGTCGTGGCAGAAGGGCGACATTCTCGACCCGGCCTCGTATGTGCAGCACCTCGAGGGGGCCGACGCCGTGGTGCATTCCATGGGCATCCTCCTCGAGGCAGACTACAAGGGCGTCGTGTCGGGCCGCGAGTCGCCCATCAAGGGCCTGCAGCGCGCCTTTAGCACCACCAAGGCAGGCACCCAGGACCCTCTGCAGCGCCGAGAGGGGGAGAGGCTGGCCCCGCAGGAGAGCGACGGCCAGCTCACCTACGAAGTCATGAACCGCGACACTGGTGCGTCGACGCCCCTCCCCTCCTCTGACCTCCCCTCGCCCCATTGACTGACCGTGCCAGCCGTCTCCCTCGCCCACGAAGCCTCGCAGAAAAAGGTGCCCGCCTACCTCTACATCTCGGCCGCCGCCGGCACCCCGATCCTGCCCGCCCGCTACATCAACACCAAGCGCGAGGCCGAGTCCATCATCAGCACCACCTTCCCCTCGATGCGCTCCGTCTTCATCCGCGCCCCCTTCCTCTACGACGCCTCGCGCTCCTTCACCATGCCCATCGCCGCCGTCAGTGGCATCGCCGCCATGGTGAACAGCGCCGTCGGTGGCCGTCTGACGTGGGCCATGGGCGCTGGGGGTATCAAGCCCTTGAAGGCCGATCTCGTCGGTGCCGCAGTTGTCGAGGCCCTAGAAGACCAGGACGTCCGCGGGCCAGTCGAGGTGCCCGAGATTGAACGCCTGGGCACACGCGCGTGGCGGAAGAACATGCTGTAGCAGGAGTGCTTGACGTGGTGACCAGCAAGACATACATGATAGAATAACGACTTGAAGTAGCTCCTACATGTACACAATACACGCCCACCTCACTTTTTCCTGCTCGACTGCGCCACCAGCTTCTTCTTGACGTGCTTGGGAATCTTGTCCTTGCGCTTCTCGCGCTTCTCCTCCTTGATCGACTTCTTGTGGTCCCGCTTCTCGTCCTTGTCCATGTTCTTCTTGCCCCGCGCCGGCCCCTTGTCGAAGATGCTCTGGTCCACCTCGGACCCGTCTGAATTCCCATCTGATCCCTCCGAGTTTGCGTCAGAGTCATGCTCGGAAGCGTCCGACTCGTTGTTGACCACCTTGTCCGCCAACAACCCCTGATATACCAGCCCCTCGCCCTCGCCCTTGTTGACGAGTTCGGCGTCGCGCTCAATATCGTAGACTTGGTCCAGCGTCTGCGGTATGTACTGGTTGCGGAAGACGTCATCCCCTTGCTCCTCCTTGCGCTTCTCTTCCTCCGTCAGTGCCTCGCCTTTGTTGAACAGCTCATAAACCTGCTCCTCGATCTTGTCCATGTCCTTGTTCTCTTTGGCCCCTACGTCGCTCGTGACAAACACAAACGCCCGCCGTTCACTGAGTACCTCGACATTGCGCGACCGGAAGAAATCAGACACGTTCTTGACATCCATGCGCAGGAACTCGAGCGACCGTGGATGGTCGTGCTCGACGGCCTGCGAGACATCGATGATCCACTGCTTCCCGTCGTGGAAGAGGACGTTGTACTCGCTCAGATCGGCATGCACGAGACGACACGTGTGGTACAGGATGCGCATGTAGGCCAGCATCTGCACGTACAGCTCGGTCCATTTCGTGTCCTCCTCTTCCGACGTCAGGCCCTCGAAGCGCACATCCTTCAGTCGCGGAGCCGCCTTGCCCTTCCTGTCGCCCACGAAGCCCATGACGAGCACATGCTGTCGCAGCGCCACGGGTTCAGGCGACGGGATGCCGGCGTCGTGGATGCGCGCCAGATTCCTGCGCTCCTTGTCGGCCCACATCTTCACCATGGCGCGGTTGTTGCTCTTGTTGTATCCCTGGCGGAAGCGGAACTCGCCCTCGACGTACTTTGCGCGGTCCTTGAAGACGAGAATCGACGTCTTGTACACCTTGACGGCGCGGTGGATGGGGTCGGCGTCGTCGGACTCTGTGATGGCGTGGTAGACGTTGGCCTCCTTGCCCGTCGAAATGACGCCGTGGATCTCCGACATGGTGTTGCGGTTGATGAGCTGCAGCAGAATCATCTGGGTGCGTCGGTCGAGCACCTGCTCCGTCGTGGCGCGGTCGGCCTTGTCCTTGTCTCGCGCAGCGCCACCCGTTGCGCCGACGAAGCGGTCGTTGAGGCGGATCTTGCTGGCATGTTTCGCGAGCGATGCGACCTCGTCGTCGAGCGAGGCCTTTGTGTTGGCCGTGGGCTTTTGCGCGTTCGTCTTGGGCTTGTGGTCGGCGGCGATGGATGTGTCGTTGAGTTTGCGCTGGCGGTTGTACGCTTTTGTGTAGTCGTGCGCGTTTCCCGACGACCCCACCAGCTCGTGGGCCTCGTCTTCCGACTCGTCGAACAGGTCGTCAATGTCGTCGTCATGCTCGTCGCCTGCCGCTGGCTCGCTGGCCTCGGGCTGTTCGACCGTGTGGGGAACCTCGAGCTGCTGCTCGGCCGCCTCTGTGCTCGTCATTTTCAACGCACTTGTTGGCAAAGGCCGCTTATCCAAGGGTGTGTGTGGGATGTATGGGGTGGTTGTGCGTTGGGTAGGGTATCTTGACGGTGATGGTGGCGCGGGCGGAGTGTGCGGCGTCGATTTTAAAAAAAATCGCCCAAGTCGACGCGCTGCCTGTGGCAGAATAGCGGGGGCGGGGCAAGGCGGCGAACCACCCCTGCCTGCACTGCTTAGTCTTGCATCTCTCCAGCCTGCTCACCATTCAATCCATGACAACAGCAACAGTGGAAGCACAAGTCAATGCTCCAATCAGTATATGAGTAACCCATTATGCTTTCGAATGAAAGATATCAACCTTGTCCAACAGACACCATGTGCTTCACCTGCTCATCCAGAGGAAGCTCGGCGTACATGGACGTCCATCGTGAACAGAACACTTGACATCAACGGCCTACGTCAACGCCACATGTAGCAGACATGAGAACAGCAGAGTCCGCTGGGACACGCAGGGCATGCTTCAACACTCACAATTCACGTCTGCACAACTCAATCAAGAAAGCTCCCCCTATTCCGCCAGCATCATGACTGCATCAGTACAACTGCATCGTGCGGCATCAAATTTGAAGATCGTCAAAGCCACAGGCGTCCAGCAGAAACTCAGGCAGCCAAAACGACGTGGGTGGGATTCAATGAGGTTGTAGCCTCGCCATGACAGAGCTCACTCTTGCCGTGGTCCGACACAATTTGGCATGGACTGACCTTAGGCACTCTCGCCAAGAGCTGAAGTTCTTGGAAATCATTGATTCCAGCGCCATCACCAGGACACGATACGCTAACGAACCGCCTGGAAGCCAAGGTACCCGCGCTCATGCCACTTACTTGACATTGCGCGCGACCTGTGGTATGTGGATCTCCGGAGTGGGACGCCTAGCCGCTCGTGACTCTCTCAGAATCTACAGTCGGAAATATGCAGAATCCATCACTCTCGTCACCAAAAAGTTGAACACGGCCCGCTGAACATCGTGGTGTCGATCAACAAACGCATCAGCGGGGCGTCGAGGAGTCTCCTTGCGACGATCAGGCCCGGGTTCCGAAGACTCGGCTCGACACTAGCGCAAGGCACCAGGGGTAATCGATTGCATACAGATCTGTGGCTAGCTGAACCTCGACTCCATGACATAGCTTCTGCATCTTGTCGAACCCCAGGCAGAGGCAGAAAGTCCAAAGCAAGAAGCAGACGATTCGAAAGACTAACACCAAACGCCTCAGGTCACAATGGAACTTCAACTTCGATCGCCAAAGCTTTGCGACGGTGTCTGCCTTCGTCGCAAAAAGCCAAGAAAGTTCCGTGCGGACTCAGCTCCGCAACATTAACAGCTAGCCGGGAGATTCGACTGCGGGGAAGCGTACGGAGGAGAACTGGATCATCGCTAGTGCTTATGCGGACCCAGGGGATCTTTTTTGAGTGCCCATGCAGAACCTGGGCGGCTGAATGAGGTAAAGCAATACGATAGCACGGAACCCTATCACACTGGCGTAGGTCCAGATATCAGCCACAGACTTAGTGTCAGCCGTTCAGCTGCTTAGCTGTTCAGCCCTGTGTAGGGCCTTGCCTGGGATGAACATGAACATTTTCAGTCAGGTCGACCTCGAGAGTGTCTTATAGAAAGCTTACATCTCCGCCAGGACCTCGCGATCAAGAGCACAAGGAGATAAGAAAATCCATGGAAAAAGGCTTCTGTAGGAGCATCTAATTGCCCGAAAGCTGAAAACGGCAGGATGTGGAGCGGCTTTACCAAGAACCCACGGTTCAGGTGTCAGGCACATCTACACTAGTGGTCCTGCATGAGCTTACACTACACATCCTCAACCGCGCGGGTGATGGTCAGAATCAGGGGTACATGGACGCAATTTCAAGTACCTCTACAAAAAGCATATATAGGCTTCTTGTCTCGTACAACTGAATTCCTCATCCACAGTCACTCATTCGACCGGACCAGACAGCTTCTTCGCACTCACACTCTTTACTTGCTTTTACCCCAATACACTCATTACTATCAATAATAATTGCTTAATACCAACCCCTACGCCACCATGAGATACGCAATCATCTTCGCCGCTACCGCAGCTGCCTCTGAGGCCTACGGTTACGGCAGCTACAACAACACGTCGTCTTCCACCATCGTCTACCCCTCCTCCAAGGGCGGAAACGGTGGATACGGAGAGACCTCCACCAACGTCTATGGATACGCTACCATGACACCCGGCTACGGAAAGCCCCCCGTCACCATCACTTCGCAGTACCAGGCTTACCCGACTTGCGTCAGCAAGGACGGTGACAAGTGCGGCAAGTGGAACGACGAGAAGTACGTCTCCACGGTTATCAAGGACTACGACAACAAGGATGTGACGGTCACCAAGACCGAGCAGATCGTCACCATCTACAAGACCAAGTCGACCAAGACCAACTCCGCTACGCCCACCCCGACTAGCTACAAGAAGGATGACTTCATGAAGGCCGACTGCAAGAGCTCTGCTGAGTACAAGGATACCTCTGACTACAAGACGGCTTGCGACAAGTCGATCAAGTACAGCGATTACCCGGCTGACTGCAAGAGCTCCGCCGAGTACAACGGCTACTCCGACTACAAAAGCACCTGCGATAAGGCGCTTGAGTACAAGGAGTGGTCCAAGACCAACAGCGGTTCATCCGACGACAAGTCAACTGAGTGGTACGAGCTCTACGAGAAGAGCTACGAGGCCAGCTACAAGGATCTCGGCCCACACGCCATGGTCGGCTACCCCGGATCTGGTCTCCGTGGTGATCTGAAGGACCACCAGCCCGTCAAGGTCAAGGAGTACAAGGACGGAAAGTGGTCCGAGTACGACGATGACCTCAAGTACGGCACTCCCGAGGACGTCAAGACCTACGAGAAGGCCGGTGTTTACACCAACCCCAGCAAGGACGTCTACGTTGACCACCCAATCACCAAGGGTTCAGAGGCTTACGCCACTGCTAAGGCCGGAGCTCCTGTCACCTACGGTGGTGCTTACACCGACGTTGATGCTCCCTGCACTGTCACTGGCGCTTATGGCGCTTACGAGACTGGTGTCAGCGATGGCAAGACCGTCACCTCGACCGTTGTCAAGACCGTCACTGTCTACTGCCCCAAGGCTGGCAAGTGCGAGATCGCTAAGCCCACCACCACGGTCTACGACCACGACACTGAGTTCGCATACCCCACTCCTGTGACTTATGCTCCCGGTGTCTACCACTACGATGCTGAGACCGTCACCATCACCGACCCCAGCAAGCCCTACACTTGCGAGTTCAAGCAGACCAAGACCTACGACCACCCCAAGGAGACACCTGCTTACTCCAGCGGCGCTGACTACTACTCCATGAGCTCCAAGACCGGCGACTACCCCAGCTACGCTACTTCCACCCCTGCTCACGGTGACGACCACCACACCAAGTCCGCCAAGAGCAGCGACTACTCCAGCTATGCCACCTCCACCCCTGTCCACGGTGACAAGTACTCGGCCTCCTCCTACCCATCGGTCAGCACCAAGACCGACAAGTACGAGGACCCCAGCTACCCGTCCGCCACCCCCAGCTACGACGAGTACCCAACCTACGACAACAAGGGTGATGAGTACTCCACTGGCAACAAGACTGAGGAGAACAAGGACGAGGAGCACCCCGTTGAGGAGGAGCCCAAAGACGAGGAGCACCCAGTAGAGGAGGAGCCCAAGGATGAGACCCCTGTCGAGGAGGCCCCCAAGGATGAGACCCCCGTTGAGGAGGCACCGAAGGACGAGGCTCCCGTTGAGGAGCTCCCCACCAGCGACAACTCCACTGCCCCTGTTGAGGATGAGACCAACAAGCCTGTCGAACTCCCCACCAACGACAACTCCACTGCCCCTGTCACTGATGATGAGGCCAACAAGCCCGTCGAGATCCCCACCGAGGAGACAACTCCCGAGACCACCCCAGAGGAGACCACCACCCCTGAGACTACTCCCGAGGAGACTGCTCCTTCTGATGAGGCCGGCCCTACTGACGATGCCGCTCCCGTTGAGGAGACCAACACCTCCCCCGACCCAGTTGCCCCGGCTCGCCGCTTCGCTGGATCCTTCGCTGCCCGTGCTCGTCGCGCCTTGTAAGGTGATACTCACCTTACCGTGTACATTGGGGCTTTTCCTTTGTCCACCTGCTTGCTAGCTAGTTGAAGATATTGTATTATTAGTTTCTAATCATGGAACGCGATGATTGCTGTCAATATAATGTATACTCTTTATTCACGGTCTCTTGCACAATAATCGGGACTGTTCATTCAATTTTTGCCTTCAGACCTTCCGACCTTTCGTTCGATGTACGTCGATGACCAGCGAGATCTATTTCACCCCGAGGTTCTCTGCTGACTCGCGGGACTGGCTCTATATTCTCTTGATTGCCCTCTAGTCATCCTTCCAATCAACATGCTACTCGCTGATCTTAATATCATTGAACCATATCTCAGAAGAGAAGAACAAATATACCTCATGAAGTGAATGCACAACCTAAAATGTTAACATATTTCCCAACACTTGAAAGCAGTGTAAAGCCAGACTATTCTGTTGAAGTAATATATATATATTTGTCCGCACTTATAAACAACTTTTAATGTGCCAGAATACTTCTACAACTTCACGACAGGTTGACCTTGACGCAAGTGGATGTTAAAACATTTAATAAATATAAACTGCTTCTTGGGTGGTAGCTGTTAGATTAGTACAACCAAATTAATGTTTAGATTTAGAAAAATATCGAACTGCGTTAAAGATAGATAGTTAATTTTAGGTTGTGTATATAGAGATAATTGTGTCGTGGGATAGCAATAATAGTAAATGCATAGTTGGTAGAACGAAGGGATTAGGTCTGGAAGAGAAAAACTAATGCAACTACCAACGAGTAGACTTACACTCTAACACATAGAAAGGGAATAAACTTGTTTTACTCGATATATTTTGTTGTACATGTTTTGCCCTGCTAATTGCTATATTTAAGCCACTATTCGCTGCAAGTATTTAAGAATTTCAATTTCAACTTAGATTTCCTAAAAACACTAACAATAATTTAAAGATCTTTAAAAGCTGCAACAGTTATATAAAAGTTGCGTTTTTAGGATTTATTTAAATACTAGTTGGTGTTGTATACTTGATAAAAGTACGGCTTCTAAGAAGGAAGTTACTTCCTTCTTAGCAGAAAATCTAACAAGGAAGGCAGAAAATCTAACAAGGAAGTCACTTCCTTCTTGGCAAAAAGTCTAACGAGGAAGTTTCTTCCTTCTTAGCGAAAAGTTAACAAGGAAGTTACTTCCTTCTTAGCAGAAAGTCTAACTACTATATATCTACACTATCTGCATAAGTCTTACCTTACCCTCTATAGACCTGGTCTGAGTTTCTGCGACATGTGTACTCTAGAGTATGTAGGCAGGATAAAAATAAGTAACAAACTCTATAGTAACTAAGAAAAGCAGTAAATAGTTAAAATGCTTTATTGCGACTAATCGTAATTCATTACAACTTATAAGTAATCTAGACCCAGTTGAGTTTTATACTTGTATTTTCCTACTACCCCAGGACGACACTGAATTGAACACAAAGCTGCTACTTAGACAGTGCGCCCCAGACCGAGGATAGGCTACCTATTTAAACATGTATAGGATGTATACTCCAAAAAGTACAAAAAGCTTTGTCCGGTTGTCTACATGTCTTCTGTAAAAGATTAATGGTCTACTGTTACGCAAGATACTCGCTCAAGCAAATCTTTACAGAACACAATCTTAACTATCTTAAGAAGTCGTACTTTTCTTTCTATAAAGATCTAAGTTTAATCGGTCTCTAACGAATAGAAGCTTCTACAAGAAAGTCGAAAATAGACAACACGCATAGTCGTTAGTATTATAGGTAGAACATTTATCAGCACTGGTTTAGTATCAGCAATGCGACCTACATATTGTACCGAAAAATACTACACAAATCAGACCAGGCGTTATGCTATACAAGTTGGATCAAGATGATAAAACTTGTAACACAACGTAAGATATACACTGGTGCACTCTTGCTGCGTTATGTTAACTGTCCCATACACTCGAATTGTATTTGTAACTTAGACACTGCGATGTTTATTCAAGTAAGAATAGCACTAAAAGGTAACTTAGAGATACAAATCTTAAACATATGTATATATCTTAAACGTCCGCGTAAACAACAGATGCACTGTAAACTTATCTGAATTTTGCACGCTCAGTCTTCCTGCGACGCTAGGTATACCAATAACACATGCAAGAACTTCACTCTTCCATGGACAATGCTTAGACAAGGAATCTGGAACACAGCAACTTAATTGTATGAGTGTGATATCTTGACTTCAATATTGAAGAAGGTAAGTAGTGGAGTGATTGAATAGTTATGGAGAGAGGTCGAAGTCAGAAATGGATCGAATGAAAGTCTTGGAAATCAAGTCAAACTCAATTGGTGGTTAATTTCTCATGGTCTCGCGTCTTGATTCTCCTGATTAGACTCGTTTCATGATGTGCCAGCAGAAGAGTTGCATGAAACAAATATGCTGAAACTGTAATTCCATCACCTGAGAAGCATATTTGTTTATTCAAGTCGGTTGATTCAAACGAACATGTCAAGAAACGAGAATCGACGATGTACAGGGGGGTTTATCAGGAGATCAGATAGATTGCAGGGTGTATTGGCAGAGAATGTCTAATGTTGGAGATTTCAAGACTGTTGCTTTCGCCGTAAGTCGAACTCAAAGGTTGCGCGTTTCTCTGCGACCACACAACGCTTATATCGATCATATCGATTTCATCAGACTGAGTAGGAGACTGCGACATCGTGGAATCAGAACATATGTGTTTAGCTGTCGATACATTCATCCCCACATGTGACTGAGGCTACCGGACCGTTTCGCCTCCAAACCTGGAACAGGAATCTTGGGGGGATTACAACCGCGTATATGCATGCAGCAACAGAAGGCAGGATGCAGGGTCAAGCATTAAGCATGCAGAAGTTACTACGGAACGGCAACGCATGTACATTACTCGACGTCGGAAGATCTGAGACGATGCATGGTTAATCATCAACGCATGTTCACACTTCAGTTCTCCAGGTTTTTAGCGTTTCTCTGCTCGATACGACATTGAGCGCCGAGCACCCACCCAATATGCGAGATTATTGAAGTGAGGGTGTAGGATGTCTCGTGCAATACCGAGAGATATTCCGAGGTCAAAGAGGCGTTCCAGACATGAATCGCAGGCTTGTGATGAACCTGTGCAGGTTGGGGGCAGAGTCCAAGCCCCAACTAGCAATCCCGGGTGCGGCTCATCTCGGCCCGCGAGCATGCAGAGATTTGCGTCTGCGCAGCCATCTTCCCAACCACCTCACGGTCCTCTAGAACTTTGGGTTCCACCTCGCGTGTTGGAGTGGACCACGGTTGATGCAGCTGGTAGCGTCGCTTGGATTGGGGCGCAATCCCATCGCATAGCCACGGTTACATGTGGATTAGTAAAAGCGCCCATATTGTTAGTCGTGTGCCTCGGTATGCTCCACAAAGCATGATCCTTGGTAATACACCGCTGACTCGCCATGTGGAGTGATGAAAGAGGAACTTGCTCAGAGTTTATCGAAGGATGGTCCTGAGCATATACCGCTTGGAGGCGAAGGTATATCGATCCTTGAGCAAGGGTCAATATTTGACCTGCCGCCTGCAGGATACGTCCTGCCTCCCGCAGCTGCATAACGAATCTTCGTGATCCATAAATGTGGCAGCAGTGATGCTTGGACATGCATGGCAGGTTATGTTTACATCCTGACATAAAACGCCTTCAAGAAAAAGTACTTATATTTGCCATCAACGTCGAACTTGCGGTGTATACACGAGACACCATCTTAATAGAAGTACTGTTAAGGACTCTGCCAATACAGTGTTTCTTTAAAATTATCTAGTTGAACCGAAATGTACTCCAACGTAACGGTCAAAGACACACATAGACGTGTCGTGCATGGCAAGCGGCAGAAGCCACTGCGCTCTGATGAGAAACGGTTGCCAACTTGTGACATGGCATCTGTGAGACGAAAACACGCGCAATGTTGCTTTAGGGACGCTGTGCAACGACAGACGTCGATACGGCGAGTTTCAACGTCTCGCTTCCTGGAGGTGGAGACACCAGCCTCCACAGTGAAGTAAGCTTTGACCCATAGCCCCGAAAAGTCAGCACACCTTGAGACTTGATGGTAGGTCGATCGTCCAGTTCAATCGTTGTATACTATACAAAGAACACAGGTACAGTAGGTTCTGCGTTATAATAATACCTATTAGGACAAGATAAATATTGTTACTACGCCTATATTATTACAGAGCAGAATTCCTTAGTACATTATATAGTTCTAAAAAAACAGTATATAGCTAGTAAAAATAGTATATTTATAAATTATCTAAAGTAATTATAAATACTTTACTGTTCCTATATAGTAGTATATTCTGCTATTAACCTCTACCTAATATAGCCTCTTAGTACCTAGAGTACGCTTATATAAGTATCCTGCGTATCCTTATTACTACCCTTATACTATAAGAGTTACTTAATAAGCTTATAACCTTATTTATATATAAATAGATGTACTAGAGAGGTATTCTCTTTATCCTTATTATTCTCTAGTAGGTATAGCTCTACTATATAATTAATAATTTTAGCTAGCTTAATATTAATATAGTGCTTATCTACTAGGTTAATAAACTTGTTTATAAAGTAATTAAGGCTTATAGTAAAGTATATATTTTATTAGTATATAAGCTTTGTAAGAAGCTCCTTAATATTCTTATAATTATAAGGAGAAAGGAACTAAGGACTATAATATATATTATAGTAAGTACTACTATACTAGTAATTAGTAATAGTCTAAGGTAAGATACCTTCCTACGCTATTACTATCTATTAAATAGTATAGAGTAGGTTTATTACTTTAATAGTATTATACCTATCTAGGCTTTTCTATATAAAGAATTTAAGCTAAGGAGCTCTTTATTTATACTTAAAGTTCTAGATAATACCTTAATTATATAGTTAATAGTATAAGGTACGTTTAGTAGTAGAAAAATAACTCTATAAGTTATAAGTTAGTATAAAAACTTAGAGTTAAGTATAGAAATAAAGGGGTAATCTATTAGTATTATAAGGTAGGTAATTTTTAATATTTCTAAACCCTAAATATTTAGGCTAACTAGAGGCTGTAGATTTATTAAGTAACCTAAGCTTTACTTAATTAGGTCTATATCTTACTTAATTAAAATAGTCTATAGATATTAGTAGAAGTTTATTAAAATACTAATATATAGTATATTTATAAACTTAGGTAAATCTTAAGCTTAGATTTAGCCTATTTATAATACTAATAGCTTACTTATACGTACCTTATATAGTATAATTACTTATATATTCTTTTTTTTATACTTATATACGCTAAGAAGCTATCTAGAATTAATAGTACCTTTCTTCTAGCTATCTTAGCATTAAAATCCTATAAAAACTCTACTATTAGCTTTCTAGTTATCTAGGCTTTTTTATTACTATAATAGGTATAATAGAAGCCTTATATAAGGAGGTTACCCTTACTACTAAGTACTTAAGAGTGTCTTAATTTACTAATAATAATAGGAGAAAGCTTATAGCTACTATTAGTGTTATAGGTAAGTCTAATTATAACCTACTCCTTATACTTTTTTATACTAGATTAAGGTCTTATTACTAACGTCTACTTTAGTACCTAACGCTAGAAAAGCCCTATTTTATTTATATTATAAGTATTATAGGCAGTGTACTTAGAATAGATACTATATACCTCTATTATTACTAACTCTAAGCTTACTAATAGGTTAGTTAATATAGCTTTACTATATTATTTAATAAGCTTTATATTATAGTATTTCTTAAAGCTGTTAATAAAGTCCTTATAGAATAATAGTATTAGTTAATTTATATAGTATAGCAGCTTTACCTATAGCTTAATTACTACCTACTTAAGTAGTATACTAGTAATAGGAATATACGCAGCTTTAAGCCTTATATACTATTTAAATAAGGTATTATTAAGGTTAGGCTATATAGTATAAGTCTTCTTTTTAAACTGCTTATTCTTTACTTCCTATCTTATATTCTTAATATATATAAAGCAGCTTAATAGTACCTTACTAATTATTAATTATTAAATAGTATAGCTAAACTAACGTAAAGCCTAGTTAGCTATTATTAACTATTTAGCCCTAAGGTGCTCTTTAGTATATTACTAAATTACTAAGTATTACTTATTATTAAGGGCGTATTAATAGTAATAATTAAGCTTAGTATTAAAAGGTATAGGCTAATAAATTATTAGTAAATAGTTAGTAATTATATAGGATAAATACTACCTTCTTAGCCTATAATTGCGCTCTATATAATAGCTTTAAAATAGGTAGTTAAGTAATAGCTAAGAGTAAATTTTAGCTACTAGAGGCTTTAGCTAGGTATCTAAACTCCTTTAGGATAGCAGCCTTATAATAATATTAGCTAATTATAATATTAACTAGCTGCTATTATTACGTACGTAAAAAAATACCTAGGGCGCAATACTTAATTGTTACAATACAGGAAATTGTTACACAGCAGGCATTGTTATGACGCAGAACCCACTGTATAGATATGTCTCTATCCATTCTAGGAGATGAGAGGACATGTCAATAAGAGCGGTGAGAGGAATCAAGAGTTGCGATGTTTGTCTCTAACAAGACGGGAACAGATGTCCAACCTTGAGATTGCTACCTCATTTCGACGGTCGAGCGCTACAGTCAAGGTCCGGGGGATCTTTGCGAGCATCATCTGGAGTTGACCTAATCAGCGCTAGAGAATGATGCAGCAAGCGAGCCGAGTCGTGATGACAAGCAGAGGAGTGGAGCGGTAACACGACCGGTCAATGTATGCACCAATCATGGGACGATTTGCAGAGCACCCCACAAGCTGCTTCGGGATGCAAGGAGCGGCGGTGGCTTGCTCGCCCGATAACGGCTCTGCTGGCTCCTGACGTGGCCGGTGTTCATTGGCGGATGAACGCCTATCTGATCGATCCGACGAGGATGCGATGCTGATCCAAAGGTCTCGAAAGCTCAGAGAGGGCCTTTAAGTTTGAAATCGAAGGCTGTGTCGGAATTATCGTATGTGTAGGTCAGTGCAAGGCACAAGTGCGAGCATCGTGTGCAACTGCAAGCAAAATGGCCTCGCAGCAGTTCGCTCTGGTTCTGCTCGAAGGTTGGAAGGGGTGGCACGGGCTGGGTAGTGCCGCGCAGGGAATGCCCTTCATTACACGCATATGCAGAGGGCGGGTGGTCGCATCATTGACGTAGCCAATTGCAATTCAGTCTCCACCCCAAGCGTGACTGCATTGCGGGATTGCCTTATAGCTGCAGGAACGCTTGTCTCGAGTGGACAAAGATATTGTGTGTAATGGCTAACTCCGACGTTGAGGGTAGTCGAGGTCGCCACCTTATCCAATAACCCGAAATTATGTCGCATCAGCATTATTACTGTCTCTATCTAGACACGGGGAGTCCCGCGCAAGGATTCGGAGCCTAAAACAATCGTCCTCGTCAGTTGGACAAGACGGCACACAGACCCCACTGCGTGCTCGCTTCGCGAAAATACTGTGTTCGTTGAGATGGGCTGATACGGCAGGAGGCGCCCTTCCGAGGGACCCCCTCGTTGAGCACTCCTGGAATAGCATAGCTGTCATGTGTTGTCTTGTTGGTAACCGATCAGGCAGGGTTACACCTAGTGTCGATGACTGCTTATCGTATCGTGTGTTGGTTTTCTCCACGATCCGCTCCCACATCGCGCCGGCTGCGCTGCACGTTTATTTTCACTTGTGCATATCTGCTAGGTAGACGGGTCAAATCCACGCGACGGTGGTATGACTGGACTTCTCTCAAGGGACGTCTAGCAAATAACCTTGTACATTGTGTTACTACACAGGTCGCTTGAGTCCATATTGTTGTACAGTCTTGTCTTTAGTGCATTGACATGCTTGCAACTGTACCAGCTAGGTGTAATGTACGTCTTATTTTTGGAGCCTCACTTAACTCTGCGACGACGATTGAAGGGGCGGTATTTTCTTGCCTACGAACAGTGTCGCCACCAGTAGTGATACACATGTGATAGAAGCCTGGAACCCTTGCCACACATTTCTGGAGAGAAGCTACGGATAAAGTCGAAGCAGGGCTATGCGGCAAGCAGGGTCAAACGGAATGCGAACAGTTGGTCTGACATTTGAGGCAAAAAGCTGACACGGGCATCATGGTGGATGTCATCTGTTGGACAAATCGACTCCCAGAGTCTAGGTTGTGCCGTTCGCATGACATAGATATGGCAGGATCATGATCATGATCCTGTGTTGACAACCTGATCCTTGAACGATAGGTGTGCAAGTACTTTGTAAAGGTAGACCTACGACGACACTGGTACCCGCACGGACTATGCTGTATCTCAGCAACTGTTTCAGCTGGCCGGAAAGGTTGTCCCTGTGTTACCGTACCGGGATCCTACCACGGTACTGGAATATAGGAAAGCACGAGTATCGCGGATAGCGGTTGAGAGAACCGCAGGAAAGTGACTGAGCTGGCTACTTCCATATCGGTTGACCCCTTGTCGAACACACATAGTACACGTATTTCAATATCCCTACACCGCAACGAGACGATACCCTATCATTGTGCGTGGCGTCCACATCCAACATCAAGTTTGTGATACAATCGGCACGTCTGTGAAGCTTGTATTCACTCTGGAACTCCATGGCACGCTTATCCTCCATGTGTGGCTCATCCCGTCCTCTGGCTGCATCCCGCGGAAGTGACAAGAGTGTTGCGTTCTCTCGAGTCTCCACATAGCATCCACTCCTTCTGGAGTTTTGCTTTGCTTCTTGGAGCCTTGTGGAGAGTTGGCCTCTGCGTGGTGGAGGTGTTGTTAGGTAACCATGCTCGCACTCCAACCGTGTTGCATTTCGGCAATGCCCAGAACTGCACGGTCTACCGTCCGTCTCTCCCGCTTCTTCGATGCTCATCCCTGTGGCGATTTAGCCTGAGCTGGACATCGATGCCAGTTTGTCCTGCCCAAAGCATCGAGCGCCATTTTGGAAGCGGAAATAAGGGTGAGAAGCATGTGCGGATAAGCCCGACAATTGAGTTCGTGTTCCAGAGCGAGTGTGGCTGGCCAGCATTGGGGGCTTGTTCCTTTGAAGATCCGCCTCGTCGTCGACGAAGCTCTCCCGCTGCGAGTCAGAGCAAGTGGGTGCAAATGGTCGCGTTTCGCGGGCCACTCAGGCTTGCTCACCCAGCGTGGGCGGAAAAGTACAAACGTTCGGCAGGGACATGCTGACCGATCGCTTGCTGGGATGCTGCGCTCATTCCAGCCTATTCCGAATCAACTGACCTCAGGTTTGCCAACGCACAACACGAATATCTCCGACCTCTCTGAGTGGCTGCAGTCGTCTAGCCGTCTTTTCCCTATCGGGATCGCAGCCGATGCCCAAGGACACTGCTGTGAGAACCGTAGGCGCCCGGCTAACGCTGGAGGGCAACCCCTGCCAGTAGTGGGCCTTGTTGGAGGTGTTGTTGAGGAGGACGCCACGAAAATAGCAGTTCCTCCGCCGTTTCTGCACCCCTCTTGGTGAGGGGGGGTCGAAGAGTCTGGGGCAGCAAACGACAGGACATTTGATGTGCTGTATCTTTGTGATGCTGGCGCCTGGCGTCATTGGCCGGCTGTCAATCGTCAGTTGTCAATCATCAGTCGTCTGTTGTCAGGTGGCTGGGCCAGCTCGCTTGCACGCATACTCGTCGTTGTATAGGCAGGTGGCCCTGTCGTGAGCAACTGTCTATCTGGGTATCCGGCGTCGTCGTCGGCATCATCGGCGCATCAGCCCATGGCAAGGTGGATGGCGGCGTCTGTGCTTGTCGCGCGTGAAACGGCGTGCTTTCACGGGATATGCTCTCGGCTCTGGCTGCGCAGGCCGGCCCACCCCCATGCCTGGTGCGAGTCCCCACCAAGCCCGTAGTGAATTTAGTAGGCTGTGTGCGAGCAGCGGCTCGTGGGTGTGCGTTGGGCACGGCGAGCGTCCCCAGAGATCTCCACCACGCGTCTCTAGGTACAGACAGGCAGAGAGTCTGCAGCATGGACGCATTGGAGCCGTCTCGCCTTGTGCACGCTGCATCGTCCTGCTGGCCGCGCCGTTCCGCGCTCGCAGGACACCAGCCTTCTGCTCTCGCGGACCAAGTTGTCAGCGGCGTCCCATAGCGCACCGACCGTGTAGGCAGAGGAGCAGAGCCATAGCCATAGCCAGAGCCAGCGCGGCGGGGCTGCGTGGCGGGTCGTGCGCTGCTTGCCTGGCCTGGTCAGCCTTCTTAGCTGCGGCCTGCCTGCTGTCGAGCGTGCAGGATTCTCTGCAGCATTGCCGACGAGAACGACTTCTCCCTCGCCCTCTCCCGCAAGCACCAAGCATCGCCGTGACTTCACTTCTGCGCTCCAAGCGTCCGTTCGCTGAGCAATTGGGTCAGTACATCGGTCTCTCTTTGTGTCTGGCTGCCGTCGAGTGCTCCGTACCGCCTGGCCTCGCCTCGACCCAGCTTTCCCGTGCCCTCGCCTATCTCTTCCTGTGTGGTTGGTCCCAGCAAGCACTAGCATCAGAGTCGTCCCAACCACCTCCGCCTCTAAACCACCGCTTCCCCTCCGCAGATGCGAAAAGCCTGCATGCTCTTGTTGCTTCTCATCGCATAGACTGGCGGAGGTTGGTTCCTGTCAATGCCATTGCACCCTTCCCGTGCATCACCACCTGCTGACGCCTGAGTCGTGCAGTGTTTTTGTGGGTTCAAGCAATCACTATCGATACAGCTGCAGATACAGCTCGGCTTGAGTGACGACCACAACAACGACCTTACGACTGCTACGACGACCCGACGACGCCACGACCCGACGACGCAGACGCTCTCCGCTATTTTTCCAGCCCGGCTCCCGTCGATTTGTCTCTTTGCGTGTTATGAACCGCGCCCCAAAAGCATTGCCAAGTCCCCGCGCCTTTCTCTTCACGACCGCAACGACCTAACGACGTGCTTTTTGTCTGTCCAGCATTGTTTGCAGTCCTCGTTGTCCTCGGTGAGTCGCTCTCCGCCCGTCCGAGGTGGCCTTGTTTGCACACGCGCTTGGCTGTGTCGCGCCCGCGCTGCACTTGACCGGGCCTCCGCTGTTGACAAGCAAACAACTGACTTGCGGTCAAGGCATTCGCCCCGTTTACCGTCGCCCAGTAGCTATAACATCACCCGCCATCGCCTTCCCGGCTACGTGCACCCATCACAGCACCCATCACAGCACGCTCGGCTATCTGTTGATTTGACTCGAGAATCTCCACTGGGACTTTCTCGCACCCGGCACTACCAACGCACACGCGAGTTCCAGGCAATACCGTAAAGCTGGAGCTGCCATCCATCTCGTCGGTCCACGCCCGCGGCCCCGTCGACACCTGGTACAACTCGCACTACGCGCCCAAGCCTGCAGTGTCCAGCGAACGACTCCCAGCGCTTCCTCAGATCCAGCCGTACGCCACCGGCTCCTCGACCAATTCCTCGCCTCGAGGCGACTCGATTAGCTCTGGGTCCGTGGGCGGAAGCGCGAGTTCACACACATCATACGCCGCGTCGATAAACGGCCACAACGCAGGCTTCAAGACACCCTCCCCCGAGCAGACCCCGCAGTCACTCAATCGCGACGGCCAACCGTTGAATGCGCAGTCGCAGCAAAGCTCTCCATACGCACCTCACGACGGCTACGCCTTCACCCAAGTGGGCTACAACAGCATGAACCAGATGCAACCGTATGCTGACGTGCATCCGCCCCACATGTCTGCTGCCACTGCCCATGCCCCGTCCTCGGCTGCTCCTCCGGGTCTTTCGCACTATGCCTATCCTCCCCAGTCTGCCATGCTCCAACCTGGGGCCCAATACGGACCTACCCCGCCTGGCTATCCGCAATATGGCTATTCGAATGGCGTCCCATCTCAATTGCCCGCATCTGGATCCATGAGTAACCCCATGGTACCTTCGACAATACAGCTTCCTGGTGAGTCTTGCATATTTTACTCCAGTTGATTAATGCTTATCATTTGTAGCCATGTCAGCTGGTGCGCCACCGTCGGGTCTGCCAGGCTCGCAAAGCTACCAAACACATTCGTTTGATCACACTGGGCAGGTCGCCCCGCCCGGCATGAAGCCTCGCGTAACTGCCACGTTGTGGGAAGACGAAGGCAGCCTTTGCTTCCAAGTTGAGGCAAAGGGTGTATGCGTCGCCCGTCGTGAAGGTATGCATCGCTCGACTCTTCCTCCAACTATCGTCTGCTGACGTTTCTCCAGACAACCACATGATCAACGGTACGAAACTTCTCAACGTCGCTGGTATGACACGAGGCCGTAGAGACGGTATTCTCAAGAGCGAAAAGACCCGACATGTCGTCAAAATTGGACCCATGCATCTCAAGGGCGTATGGTAAGAGCATGCCTCAGACCTGTAGTTGATGCACGAGCTTACACCACGCAGGATTCCTTTTGAGCGGGCGCTTGAGTTTGCCAACAAGGAGAAGATTACAGAACAGCTGTATCCTCTCTTTGTTCATGACATTGGAGCTCTGCTGTATCATCCCTCGAACCAGACGAGGGCAAGTGTAGGAAGCGCCGCCATGGCTGCTGTCGATCGAAACCGCAGACCTGACCCTATGCAGACTCAGCGATACATGGCAGGTCCGACGACGTCGCAACCTCCATCTCTGCATCACCATCACTCGATGAGCAACCCCGTCGGGGGAGCCATGTCCCAACCACCACATGCTATCCAGCCACACCCGTCCTCGGGACGCCCAAGCATCGATCGCGCGCACACTTTCCCCACTCCACCAACGAGTGCGTCCAGCATTATGGGGATGGGCAACCAAGGCAGTTCATATGAGTGGAACGGCAACAACGTTCAAAACACTCCAGGAAGCCAACCCCTCTCCATTGACACGGGCTTGAGCAATGCCCGATCTGTACCTACTACACCCGCGAGTACCCCGCCCGGTGTCGTACAGCAAGGCATTTCGTACCCTTCCGGTCAGAGTTTCGATGGCTCGAGGCCCATGTACTCTGCACCTCCCTCTCAGCCAGGTCAATATCACACTCAAGGGCAACCCATGATGACCTATAGACAAGACGGACCTTATCCCAAAACGGAGATGGCACCGCCGTCTCGCATCACCGATGTTACCGACGAGGAGGTCAAGCCAGCCGATGGCATGATGCCGCAAGGCAACGATCAGGTATCGGCTGCCCCGGCTGGAAGCGAGGCCGATCACGAGCAAGACCATGAGTACACTCATTCAAATGCTCCTTACAATGGCAACAGAAGCACGTATGGCTACAACCCCGGCGCTGCTCCTGGATCAATCCACCCCGATCATGCTCATCTTTCCCCGGAAATGACCGGATCCCCGCACCAGAACGGATCTGGACGCGCAACACCGCGAACAGCAGCCACTGGACAGACGCAATGGAACCCCGGATACCCAACACCCCAACGCCACGCACCGCCATCCAGCAATCTCTACAATGTCATGAGCGACCCTCGTGGTGCTCCCAACGGCAACGGACCACACCATGAGGCATATCCGGGCCAGGGCGCAGTGTCGCAGTATTCAAACCAAGCATACCCTCCGATGAACGGAAGCAAGCGTGGCCGCGACGACGAGGATCAAGAGTCGTACAGTCGCCCTGACAGCGTTCAAGGGGACGACATGGGTGGTATGAAGAGGCGGAAGACCATGGAAGGTGGTGCTGTCGGTGGGCCCTATGCTCAAGACCCCAATCCTGGACTTCAACGTTCTCACACTATGGCCGCTCAACGTGCCAGGAGATAGTGAGGTTGGCCTTTCCAGTTGCTCTGGTGGACAGTTGATTTTGTGTTTGATCTAGACGGTGGTCCAGTCTATATCCAATGGTTCTGCAGCATAGCGAGCGTTACTCACGAAAAATCACGACACCCTACCGCCGCATCTCCGACTGATCCTCCACTTCTTGATCTCGAACCCGACTGCTCTCGAGCAAACAAAAATTTGACACTCTCTCCGGTGCGAATTTCCTTATGTTTACTATTTCTTCATGTCGACTTTCCAGTTGGCATTTGCGTACCGAGCATTAACGATGTTTACGACTATATGTTTCTAAGAACTCACGTTCCTGTTGGCTACTGTTGACCTTTCATTTTCACGACGCACGACTTCAGCATTCGGCATTGGCATTTGCAAGTTCATCTTGACGTTCTTGCCTAATGTGGTGGCCGACGAACCTGTACTTTTCTATTTCTACTACAACAATCTTATCACGGCCTCGGGAGGCGTGTAGGAGTCTCGATGATTACTGGCCACACTGCTGCCTTTGTCAGGACTCCACTCGCCCCCACTCAATATATTATATCGACTATTTCCTGCGGACCGACTCGAGCGACACTATCACACACCCATTGCCTCATGACGATGGCGAAAATAAGGGCACGTACACAATGATGATATTTTGCTTGTTGATACGGGTGTCATGCGTGTGGAGTTATTCTTTCTGGCCGGAGTGGATTTAGCGAGCGGGGGTTGGATTGCGCACACTGATGATTTTATCGGGTCAACGCTGTGTGTGATGGGGTTTGTGGTTATATGTTGGTTCTTTTTTTTATAAGTGGGCGACTCCGGACCTTATGATGACAATGAGGGAAATCAAAAGCCTTTCTTCTTAATCTGATCCTGCTCCTCTGTGATGTGTGCCTCGGGTAGAATGGACCGAAACCTACTAGTCGCCAAGTCCACGTCCCACAAAGCGCTCATACGCGCACAAAGAAAAGAGTGATTTTGGTGTTGCGAAGCAATGGCATTATGAATATATAATTTGATTGTTCCAAATCTTCCATCAAAACAACATCAGTCGCTTTAGCTCAATTGGGAGAGCGCCAGACTGAAGCTCAGTCATTAAATCTGGAGGTACAGCGTTCGATCCGCTGAAGCGACAACAGTCCGCGCCTGGCTTGCCAGGATCATTCGAACATTCTTTTTTTGCTCGTGGTGGGGGTGGGGGGTTGGCGGATGGGTTTTCCGGGAGCGACATACCTACCCGGTTTGGACGTTAGTCGAGATAGGAACATCTTCTTTATCGGCTTGCCTGGACCACTCGAACATATCTTTTGCGCTTTTGAGCAAGGAAGAGAGAGAGGTTTTGTTTTGCGGATTCCACTTAGGATGAGGACGGGTGGTTTTGTGAGAGAGAAAATGGTCTGTCTGGTGTCTGAGTAGTTTTGTGTTTGTCTATGTGCGTTTAAGGATTCAGTATCGATTGAGTGTGGTTTTGGTGTTACGGTATATATGTTTATAAGCAGGCGATTAGTCTTGTGCACCACTCCATCACAGCCTGGGTGTAGTTACCTACTCAGATTGGATTGGAATGTAGTCATTCATGGCTATACATGGGAACGTAATGCATGTTTTATTTAGGATGGTATATTATCTCATCTACATACATACAAGATTGCGCACGGGAACAGTCAACGCGCAAATGTGTGAGCTGGGCGCGTCGTGGACGAACCTTGGATACGCTGAGATGTACTGGTCTGGGTTTGTGTTAGTGCTTGAAGGCATGTCGAGTCATCGTGTCATGTGCGGCGAGACGAAGGATGGGTGGTATGTCAATGCAATACACTATATTTACTCAGGCTATATAGGACGGTTGATGACCGGGTTACTACATCTAGATAGCGATACTTGAGATAAACTGACACAGGGTCTGCGTGTTTACTATATTTAATGTTTTGCGGTAGCTAGACGGGTTTACAGTAGCTTGAGTGCGTGTCTGGATCAGAAGTGCCTGCCGCTTCCCTGTCAAATAGAAATCAAGGTGCGGTGGAGTTTTGTAACAGCTTAACTTCCACATGTAAGATCAGTACAGGAGTTTTGTGCTAGAACTTCTGGTAGTATACGCCTAGCGTGCTCTTTCATGAAACTTGTTTGTAGAGGTTTGCGGCTTGTAGGAGTTGCCAAGGTTGTAGCTTGTTTCCCGCTTTTACACTTGACTGAGAGCTGCGTCTACTGATGTGGGTGCTGAAGTGAGTGTTGGGGATGCGGAGGCTACTCGAGCTGACACGCGAATATTGCGAGACTGGTATGGTCGAGAAGAGAGAGTGAAGAGCGGGAGTGATGTGGAAGTCATGGTTGGAAAGATGAGAGCTAGGAGATGGAAGACCTACGAGTTGCTGTAGCCGTTTCGGGGGAAAGCGTGACGTTATGGTATGAGATGTGATATAGAACAGGCAGAAGAAATGCAATCGGACAGAGAAGAGATGAAGAGAGATGAAAGGTGTGACAAGATATAGAGATGAAAAGAACATCCACGCGCAGGCCAAAGGTCACGCGATCCTACCTCGAATGTGTGCAAGTGCAAGTGCAAACCTCACAACGACGAGACTGGATCACCAAGATATGCATTAATACATGTATTCCCATCCTATGAAGATCGAGTAAACTTACATCTAACGTCCGAAGCAGAGCCCATCCCAGAAAGCAGTCCAGCAAACACCGCTGTTTTGCGCCATTTTGTGTCAAGATCTTCGCGAAACAAGAGACATCCAGTCTCCTATTCGAGCCTACTCCATGCTCTTAGCAAGCGCCCATAAGCTGTCGAGCTTGGTCCTGGCGAGCACCTCCCGCGCCTCGCCAGCCGTCTCGCACATTCTCGATCCCCACTTGAAAAACAGGTGCTGTTTGACTTCGCCTTCAAAGACGAGCGTGCACTTGTTCTCAGAGAGATCCTTCAGATTGCCCTTGTCGTCCATAGACTTCAGCCACTGGGGGTCTGACGCGTGTTTCTCTGCCTGGGTATCCGTTGGGGGTGCGTTTTCCTGCCATTTGATTCGCTGCAGCATGAGCTTCTTGAACTTGCTGATGGAGAAGCGGCCGCCCTCGACGACGACGAGATTCATGTCGGGATTAAAGATTGTGACGCCGTTGAGCGCATATTGCTTGCCGTTTTGGTCGATTTGGTAGCGGTGTTTGCTGTAGGCTAGGGTGTTGATCTTGAAGACGCAGAGGTAGAGGCCCTTTTGCGCATCCTTTTCTTGTTGTGTGGCGAGTTTGGCGTGTTGTTGCTCCTTTGTTAGTTTGCGGTCCTCGTTCGCGGCGATGTGGTTTTCGTGTCGCTCTGCAATCTGTGACTCGACGAGCATTTCGACAGCGGTGGGATCTGCGATGGCTTGTTCGCCCATGACGCGCATCATGTTTCCACGCTTGACCTTGGGTGGTGGAGGGGGCTCCAGTCCGAGACGGATCTTGGCCTGGTGCTCTTTCAGGTCTGCAGCACGACGCATCCTCCGCAGCTTCTCCTGCTCCTTCTTTGTGAGGTACATGGGCTTGATCTCGACCAGGCGCTGGTCCTGCGGCGCCTTGAGCAAGGGCGGGTGCTGGACGTAGAATGTGATGATGGAGTCGTCGCTGTCGATCTTGACCTTGGTGGGGTCGTCGATGCAGTCGTAGTTCTTCTCCGGCAGGATGCCCTCGTCCCACCACTCGATGTCTGGCGGGGCCTGGACCATGAAGCCTCGCTCGCTGTTCTCGTCCAGACCGGCGCGACGGGCTTGCTGGGCGAGCTTCTTCTTGATCTGCTCGAGACGGGTCTGGGCTCGCAGCTTCGAGGCCTGGTCGAGGTATTTTCCGTGCTCGTTGAACATCAGGCTGCGGGATGCGCGCTCGCGACCCGTGCCAAAGTTCTTCGCGTCGAAGTAGGGGTTCTCGTCCTCGACGCCCTGTGCCTGAGCCGGCTTGGGGGCAGCGGCCCGGGGCTTTGCATCGACCTTGGACGTGGGCACACGCTGGTTACCGAGCGTCGTCGCAAAGGGGTTCCTCGCAGGCTCAGGCGTCGCGGGCTTGGGCTCCTCCTTGGCGCTCTTCATGGCGTCCATCCTCGCCTTCAGCGCGGCGAGCCTGGCGGACGCGTCGCTGGGTGCAGCAGCAGCAGCGGCAGCAGCAGGCGGCGCGGGCGTGGCAGGGGCGCCATTGGCAGCGGCCTTCTTCGCAGCGAAGCGGGCAGCGATCTCCTGGGCCTTTGCGCGGGCGGCGGCGATGGCGTCGGAGCCCTTTGCGCGTTTGGCGTCGCCGTTGGGGCCCTGGCCTTCGGGATGGGGGCGCTTCTCGACCATGCTGAGGGCCTGTCGGGGGTGTGGGTGCGCCAGCGTGGGTTGCGTGGGTTGCGTGTGCGCGGCGGAGGGCGGGGCGTGGGGCTGTTGAGCGTTTCACGGGCGTCTGGCTGCGGTGGTCTCGTGGATGGATGGTCGACGGTGGATGCGCCTGTCTCGACGATGGAGCGCTCTGCACTGATAACCGCACGTGATTCCACGGGCATGACGCGAAAAGCGTCGACAGCAGTAGCGCGTCTTGGCGCCGGCAACTTTTCGAAGCTCGCTCCCAAAAAAACTCCCCGCGAACAGCTTTTGCCCGTCCCAGGCCTCGTGCGCGCAACTCTCCCACGACAGCAGGCGCAGAGCAGCGCCGTGGAGCCGCCATGAACTCGTCCCTCCCCACCTCGTCGGCCATCCAGAGCGTCGAGTTTGGCTTCTTCTCGGCCCAAGACGTGCGCTCGCTCTCGGTCAAGCGCATCACCAACCCGACCACCTTCGACTCGCTGCTGCACCCCGTGCCCGGCGGTCTGCACGATGCTGCCCTGGGCGCCTTCCTCGACAATGCCTGCGCCACATGCGGCCTGACGACAAACTTTGGCTGCCCCGGCCACTGCGGCCACATCGAGCTGCCCGTGCCCGTCTACCACCTCACCTTCATGGACCAGCTGCTGCGCCTGCTGCGCGGCAAGTGCGTCTACTGCCACCACTTCAAGCTCGCCCGCGTGCGCATCAACGAGTACGTCTCGCGCCTGCGCCTGATCCGCTGCGGCCTGGTGAGAGAGGCCAACGAGATGCACGAGCACATCGACATCAACAAGGGCAAGACGGGACCTCGTGAAGTCGACGAGTCTGAGTCGGACGACGAGAATGAGGACATCATCGGCCAGCGGAACAACTACGTCAAGCGCTGCATGAAGCGGGCCGGCATCTCCAAGCACGACGCGAGGTCCGTCAAGGAGAAGAACGACACCATTGCCGACGCCCGCCGACAGGTGCTGAAGGAGTTCTACGACCAGACTGTCTCGACGGGGAAGAGGTGCAAGAACTGCCAGGGCCTCAACCCAAACTACCGCAAGGACCGCGGCATCAAGATCTTCCGCAAGAACCTGAGCGCAAAGGAAAAGGCACAGATGGCCCAGGCCGAGAAGCGCTTCCAGAACCCACTCGACATTCTCGCGCGGCGGGAGGCAAAGGCCAAGAAGCAGCATGTCCACGCCGACGAGGGAGTGGCCGATCTGGATCCAGCCTCGGAAGAAGACGAGGGCATCGAGATGGACGTCGACGACGGCTCACTTGTCGCCTCCGAGGCCAGGACTGCCACCAAGACGAGAACCACAGTCGATGCCGCCGACAGCTCGCAGGAGTACATTACGACTGCTGAAGTCAAGGCCGCTATAACGCTGCTCTTCGAGAACGAGACCGAGATGGTGCGTCTGCTATACAGTCCCTATGGGACTAGGTCGCTCCTCGACGTCACCCCCGACATGTTCTTCATGGAGGCTGTTGTTGTGCCGCCCAACAGATACAGAATGGAAGACAAAACCGGAGACTCGATTGCCGAATCACCCAAGAACACTCTCTACAAGGGCATCCTGAACGCCTGCGACTCGATGCGCCAGATCAGCAACGAGATGAAGGGCCAGGAGAATGAAGCAGGATACAGGCGCCGGAATTTTGACGACCTGCAAACCACCTGGGTCAACCTTCAGGGATCTGTGAACGCTCTGATCGACCGCGATGCGAACCCTGTCCAAGGCCGAGCTGGACTCACAAATGCCGACGGTATCAAGCAGCATCTCGAGAAGAAGGAGGGTCTTTTCCGGAAGAACATGATGGGAAAGCGTGTCAACTTTGCCGCGCGTAGTGTCATTTCGCCTGATCCAAACATCGAGACCAACGAGATCGGTGTGCCGCCAGTGTTTGCTATGAAGCTGACCTACCCCGAGCCCGTCACAAACCACAACTTCTACGACATGAAGGAAGCCGTGCTCAACGGTCCAGACAAGTGGCCTGGAGCGCATGCGATTGAGAACGAGTTTGGCCAAGTCATCAACTTGAAGAAGAAGAACTACGAAGAACGACTAGCTCTAGCCAATCAACTCCTCGCGCCTTCCAGCTCCTACTCAAACGGGTCGAAGAACAAGAAAGTGCATCGTCACTTGAACAATGGCGACATGGTGATTATGAACCGACAGCCGACACTGCACAAGCCTTCCATGATGGCGCATCGAGCACGTGTACTGCCCGGCGAGAAGACGATTCGTATGCACTACGCCAACTGCAACACGTACAATGCCGATTTTGATGGTGACGAGATGAACATGCATTTCCCACAAAACGAACTTGCCCGTGCTGAGGCTATGACTATCGCCGATACAGACCATCAGTATCTCTCTGCGACAGCCGGAAAGCCTCTGCGTGGTCTTATTCAGGATCATATTTCCATGGGAGTCTGGCTCACGAACAAGGACACCTTCTTCACAAGAGAGGAATACCACCAGCTCATGTATTCGTGCTTGCGACCAGAAGACGGCCATACCACCTCTGGCAGACTTGAAACCGTCGACCCCGTTATCTGGAAGCCTCAACCGTTGTGGACAGGAAAACAGATCATCAGCACGGTCTTGAAGAACATCAAGCCTGAGGAGTTCCAGGAGTTGACTCTCACTTCCAAGTCGTCTACCAACGGCAAGCTGTGGGGCGCCAAAAGCGAAGAGCAGACAGTCATCGTCAAGGATGGGCAACTGCTCTGCGGTATCTTAGACAAGAGCCAGATTGGTCCAGCAGCAGGTGGATTGATCAACGGCATCTACGAGGCCTACGGTGAGACAATAGCTGGGCGAGCTCTTTCAATCATCGGTCGCCTGCTCACCAAGCTGCTTCACATGCGTGCATTCTCTTGCGGTGTAGAGGATCTCATTCTTACAGAAGCGGGTGACAGGGCACGATTAGAAAACCTCAGGGCTGCAGAGAAGCTGGGTTTGGAGGTTGCTTCGAAATACGTTACACTGGACTCAGATCAAATTGATTCCAAAAACCCAGAACTACGCAAGCGCCTGGAACAGGTTTTGCGAGACGATTCTAAGCAGCATGGCCTGGATCTCCTGGCTAACAGCGCGACTGCAAAGGTTTCTTCGGCGGTTACTTCTGCCTGCTTGCCGGAGAAGCTCATCAAGCTCTTTCCTAAGAACCAGATGCAAGCCATGACAGGCTCTGGAGCGAAGGGTAGTTTGGTCAACGCTAACCAGATTTCGTGTAACCTTGGTCAGCAAGTTTTGGAGGGTCGTCGTGTCCCTGTCATGGTCAGTGGTAAAACGCTGCCATGCTTCAAGCCCTACGAGACAAGCGTTCGTGCGGGTGGATACATTGTCAATCGTTTCTTGACTGGTATTCGGCCGCAAGAGTACTACTTCCATATGATGGCTGGTCGTGAAGGTCTTATTGATACCGCGGTCAAGACTTCTCGCTCTGGTTATTTGCAGCGTTGTATCGTCAAGGGCATGGAGGGACTTAAGGTCGAGTACGACACATCGGTCCGCGACTCCGATGGCACCATGGTACAATTTCTGTATGGCGAAGACGGCCTCGACACCACGAAGCAGAAGTACCTCAACGACTTCACGTTCCAGGCTCAGAACTTCTACTCGTTGGCTCAATCGCTGCAGACGCAAGAAGCCTTCGGTCGAGTGTTTAGCAAAGAGGCTGCTGATCACAACAAGAAGGCCGCGAAGAAGGCTAAGAAGGGCGATGTTGTGTCTATTGATCCAGTATTGTCTGTATACATGCCTTCTCGCCACTGTGGTAGTACATCGGAGAAGTTCTTCCACGCCAAGAAAGAGGTAGGTTACTCACTTGATAGTATCAGGCTTCGTTTGCTAACTGTTTGTAGTACGTTGACAACAACCCTGACAAGCTTTTGAAGAAGAAGAATCAAGATGTTGACGGTGAACATCTCATCAAGAGTTTCAACCAGATGCTGGATCTCAAGTACCTCCGATGTCTCGTCGAGCCGGGTGAAGCTGTCGGTGTTGTGGCCGGGCAGTCCATTGGTGAGCCCTCTACCCAGATGACGCTCAACACCTTCCATTTGGCTGGTCACTCAGCGAAGAACGTCACCCTCGGTATCCCCCGACTGCGAGAAATCGTCATGACGGCGTCGTCAAACATCTCTACACCTAGCATGCAGCTGTACCCACATACAGAGCTCTCGAAGGAAGACAATGAGAAGTTCGCGAAGAGTATCACTCGTCTTCCGCTCTCTGCTGTACTTGACAAGGTCACCGTTACCGAAACCTCTGGTCCTGGTGCTCAGTTCGGTCAGGCAAGGAGCTACAAGATCCGCCTGAACTTCTACCCCGCGAAAGAATACACCCAAGAATACGCTATAAAGGTTCGCGACGTCGCTGAATCGATCGAGCAGAAGTTCTGCCCACGTCTTCAGAAGGTCGTCCGAGCGGATCTAAAGAAGAAGGGCGAGAACAAATCATTGTCCACAGCCAACTCAGCAGCCATCCCCACCATTGGAGAGTCTTCTGGCGCGATTGAACAACAGGTTGTCCGCCAATCCGACGCCGCAGTCGACAGAGAAGGCGGCCCTGAAGATGATGACAGCGACGATGGTGAGGGTGAGAACGACACGACGCACGCCAAGGAGCGCGGCCGCCGCGAAGACAGCGTTGGCTACGAGGAGCCAGAGGAGGAAGAGCAAGCCTTCAACGCGAACCTCGATGCGCAAGAAGCTAGCGATGAAGACGAGACGTACGGCGGCAGCCCCAAGCCCTCGCGCGCCACAACGCCTGATCCCGCCGACGATGACATGGACGAATCAATGCTCATTCCCACCGACGAAGCCTCAGATGTTCGTCGCGAGCGGATATGCAACAAGAACGCCGACATCTTCAACTTCTCCTTCGACGACCGCAAAGGCGCGTCGTGTGAGATCACATTCGAATTCCCCGCCTCTGCCCCCAAACTACTCATGCTGCACCACGTCGAAGCCGCCGCAGACTTCGCAACCATCCACGTAATCCCCGGCATCACAAAAGCCACCGTCGTCACCGACGACACAACAAAAGAACCCATGATCGTCACCGACGGCTCCAACCTGCTCGCCATGCGCGACTTCCCCCACATCATCGACGTCAACCGCGTCCTCACAAACGACATCGTCGCCATGCTGCACCTGTACGGCGTCGAAGCCTGCCGCGCCACCATCGTCCGCGAAATGCACGCCGTCTTCAGCGGCCACGGCATCTCGGTCGACCTGCGCCATCTGAATCTCATCGCTGACACCATGACAAAGGGTGGTGGTTTCACGCCCTTTAACCGCATCGGCCTGCGCGGTAATGTCAGTCCGTTCATGAAGATGAGCTTCGAGACGACGGTGGGCTTCCTCAAGGATGCTGTCCTCGAGCGCGATTGGGATGATCTACGGAACCCTAGTGCGCGCATCGTCGTCGGCAGACTGGGCGCCGCGGGTACCGGCGCGTTCGACGTGCTTGCCCCCGTGCATGTCGTGGATCCGCTGAAGATGGAGTTGGGCGATGTGAAGAGCGGGGTCGAGGAGGAAGTGGGTAATGCGGTTGAGCAGGATGACGAGAGCGATGTTAGTATGGCGGATGTGTAGGCAGGCAGATATGCGCTATCTCGCCATGTCTGGTTGGTGAAGCGACGTGATTTCTTGACGTATTTCGGGCGTTATATAGGCTTGCATGGGGAGGTGTTCATGGCGAGTCAATGTGTAAATAAGTTTCCGTAGCCGTTTTGGCAGGTAGTCAAGAAAAGTCGTTTTCCCCCTAAGTATCTGTGCCTCGATGTATATGCTGTGCTATGATGTATGGATTGTGCAAAAACCGCTCACAACGTTCATCAATTCATGTCAGTTCTTCAGACCAGCTCACACACATGGACAGACATGTTCCAAACATCCAACAATCACATCTCGTCGTTATATTGGCTGCAAACCGTCTATGTTGATGATACATGAGTTTTCATGTTCAATCGCAGCAGGGCGCGCCTCCCTAGTCTTCACTACTCCTATCTAGCTACTTTCTCTCACTCCAAAAGAGACGCTTGGTTCGCATACAGCACATCAACGACATTGCCCAGCTTCTCGATCGTGTCCAACGCCGCGTCGTACCCCTGATCGCGCTCCGACTCATCGTATACGATCAGGCAACCCGCGCCTTGGTCCAGAACTCCAATGATGACCTTGTCGAGGATCATTTGCGAGAGCTTGCGTTCGACCTGCACCGTGTCGAGCCCGACCATCTTGGCGACATGATCGATCTCAACGCGGCTGTACGGCTCAATCACCTTGATGAGGTTCTGCTCGAGCATGTTGTCGTACAGGCGGCGGAGATGGCTTGTGATGAAGCGGTCGCTGCCGAGCTCCTGGCGGTATTCCGTCAACGCCGTCTCGTACTCCTCGAGACTGCGGTTTGTGTGTGCGCGCGCTACGGCCTTCATGGCTTCGAGGCGCTTTCCTGCGTACTTGATGGCGTGCTTCGACGTCATGAGCTGGGACACGTCGTCGCCGAGGTTGAGCATGATCTTGCAGAGGAGCATGTATTGGAGTGCTGATGTGGCTTTCTTCTCTTCATCCTGCGAGTGGTAGCCCTCCATTGCTTCGATGAAGTAGGAGAAGGAGGTGTTGAAGTCGCCATCCTCGGCGTGCAGCATACCACTCTGCATATCCAGGCCTGCTTGCAGGAGAGGTGGGGTGTAGACTGAGGCGGCGGAAGTTCGTGCGGACGTCAGGGCGGCGCGTCCCTTGGGTATGTTGCCTAGCGCATGGTAGACTCTCGACTCCAGAAGCTGAACCTCAACCAAGACAAGCTTGTCATCTAGGCGCTTCAGCTCCTTGAGCAGGCTGTTGATGAGTGTCAGGGCCTCGTAGTATGATTGCTTTTGCATGTACAGCGAGACGAGGCGGGTCTCAAGGTTCTGCCGTAAGAAGCCCCTCCGCTCTGACACGGCCCACTCTATGCATGACTTCGTAACGCCAATTTGAGTGTCGGTCGTGTTCGGGATTTTGGTGAAGAGGTCAAGGAGTTGTCGCACTGCGCAGTCGTTGTCAGTATGTTCCTCCTACTATGACGCGCATGTGACTGAGCACTCACCAAGCTTGGCTGTCTTTGCTTTGGCAAACGATGACAAGACCGATCGCGCCTGTCTCACCAACTCCGCAAGTGCGTCCACCCTCTTCTGGTCCCGGTACAGCTCCCCCAGCCCGACTAGCGCGCTCTCGTAGTTCTTGATGGCCGCCTCATTTGAGCCTGGGTCTTTTGCGAGCACCTCTTTGTACACCTGCTCAGCCTTTGCGGGCTCTGTCTTCGCTAGCGTGGACGCTTCCTCTATTTGCTTGCTCGTGTTGGTCGTGTCCGCGACAGCCATGGTGGGTTGTCGGGTGTGTGTTGCGAGCTGACGATGACGTGCGGAGAGTATGTGTGGTTTGTCGTGTCGGACAAGCAGGAAGGTGGCGGTCCGAGAGCTGTAGTGGGAGTGCTTTCGCTGGAAATAGCAAGTTAGTGTCGATCTATGGATGAGAGCATCCAAAAGTGCATGCACATCGGATAAGCTTACCTGGGAAGTGTTGCCGTGGTTGGACAGTTAGATCAGATTGGAGTGAGTGGTGTTGGTACACCTTCGTGGAGCTGCGGCGGATTTGGCTTGGCAAGACGGCCTAGCGTGTTTTTCCACGAAAGTACAGCCGCAGCGATCATCCTTCAACGTGCACCTCAAATGCTATGAATATCCCTTTTCTCGTTGATTATCACTCTATATGATTCATAGAGATCGATGACCTCCGGTTAAGCGAACCAAAATCCGATCTATGTCCACTGTCTTCGTTCATTTCTTTTATCTTCTACCGATCCTCCGCACTCTGTTCTCTGGTCTTGCGAATTTGAAGAGTTGATGACTCCAACTCAGTTGTGTTGATTCGCTATTGTTAGTGCTGACTGAGCATTCGATGTCTCGCAGTCTTGAACCGAGATCTGGTCACAGCAAGAGCAACGGATAACTTGAGATATGAAGTAATAACCATCGCACAAGTAGAGCAACATGACATCGTGGTTATTGTGCGGACTTTGGTCATCGACACTATGTTATTCGATAATTATGTGAACATATGATAGGTAAGTTTACAGCTTATTTACATCTTCTCTCTTCAGGGTCGAATACACGAGCCACACATAGGTACGTATCCAATTGAACAGTTTCTTGCTCCACTACCTAATCACAACATGTTTCATAAAGGCTTGTAACAAGATACCTACAATTGCCAAAGCTACATCTCTATTCTTTGTCGTACCACGCCATGCAAACCGAGTACCAGGTTACGAAGAAAGGATCTCTCGCGAAACACGATGATAGGCGGGGAAAGGTCAATATCTCTGGTACAGACGAAAGTGAAGGAAGCTTATTGAGGATGGTACTCGAAGCGCGTTTATCATCGAAACTGTCTTACAACTGCGTTTCCATGGCAGTCTATGATCCGAAGCATATTTCTCTCCCAAATCCTTGAAATGGCCGAATCAACATCAGAATCGACGTCAAAAGCTATGCTTGGAAATCGAGACGGTGCGATGCGATGCACAGGGGAGTGTCGCTAGCGTGATGGCAGCTGCAGGAACACCACGGCGCATCTACCCCACTTCGAGGATGCCTGACGCTGACATGTGGGGTGCCTTGCGGCTGAGACATATCACAAGTACTTGATCGTGGCCACGTGAATCGTCTTCTGATGTCAACTTATGACTCTAGCATCTGCTCACATTTTAGACTGTACTCCATCATAGACACCGCGGTGACGCCTGCGCTCTCACCAAAGCACCCCGCTTCGCCTTCAACCTTCAATACCAACGATGGCTACCCTTATCAAGTACGCACCGTTCATGAGCGATGTTGACATGCAGTTTTACGCGGCCCTCGCACATATCAAGATCAACCATGACAAGCTCGACGACTCCGCGCGTAAAGTGCTCGGATTGTATGAAGTACGGCCTGGAGACCACCCTTCGCGGTCCATGCGCGCTCAAATATACCCAAATGCGCTCACTTCGGATGAGTGCGTACCTTGCTTCATCTCAGTCTCAAGACGTACTAACAGCGACCGTGTGGCAGGACTCCACCAAATTACTACCGCGCTGAAGGCATCATAAAGAATTGCAACACCATAGAAGACTACAAGAACCTCGACCGCGCAGCTGTGCTTGAGAGATGCGCGCAAACGGTATGCTCAGTTGGCATACTTGCCCAAAGGTTTGCTGACATCCCATAGATCTGGGAAGCAATCCATGACGGCTCGATATACGAATGCCCCTCTCTCCTCTCCTCCTTTACAACCATCATCTTTGCAAATCTGAAGAAGTACAAATTCACATACCACTTTGGTTTCCCAGCCATACAGTCAGACCCACAGTGGAAGCGAGTAGGTGAAGCGACTCGATTTGATGCCCGGGAAACGACGTATCTGGTAGATGCGGTGCAGACGTGGAAATATAGTTCAGATGCCCGCCAAAGAGGCTTTTTCCTCGCGAAACGCGTTCGAGGAACTGCCACAGATGATGTACCGAAGACGCCTGTGTCGCCTCTGGAAGAGTTTGGATACCAGTGGGTGATTGGGAGGCTCGGCAAATTTGAAAAGGGTTTCTTCGATGGCGTAGACAAGGAAGATCGGTTCATCTCATTTGCAGATCCGTCAACATATGCGGACAACCCCGGATGGCCACTGAGGAATCTACTTGTTCTCATGCGGCAACGATGGCATCTAAGTGAGGCTCAAATCTTGTGTTATCGCGATACTCATACGCGGCGAGACCAACCAAATTCATTGATCTTGCAAATCCAGTCGGATCCTGGCCCACCTGCTTCAACCGCGACCTCTGGAGAACTTTCTGCCCGTCCACGGACACCGAAGTTGCCCAAGGTGACAGGCTGGGAGAGAACAGAAAGTGGCAAGCTCACGTCTCGAAACGTCGACCTTTCTGAATACATGGATGAGCGCAAACTGGCCGACCAAGCTGTAGACCTCAACCTCAAGCTTATCAAGTGGCGCATAGCACCCAACATCGACTTGGACGTGATTAAGAACACCAAATGCCTGTTGCTAGGAGCGGGAACACTAGGCTCTTACGTCTCAAGGACGTTGATGGGCTGGGGCGTCAGGAAAATCACCTTCGTCGACAACGCAACTGTCAGTTTCTCGAATCCAGTACGACAGCCTCTGTTCGACTTCAAGGACTGCTTGAAAGGAGGAGTCCTGAAGGCGGAACGCGCTGCCGAGGCGTTGGAAGAGATCTATCCAGGTGTCGACGCTGCAGGTCATGTCATGGAGGTGCCGATGGCCGGGCATCCAATTACTGACGCAGCGAAGACGAAAGCCAATTTTGAGAAGTTGGAGCAACTTATCGATCAACACGATGTCATCTTTCTTCTCATGGACACAAGGGAAAGCAGATGGCTGCCGACCGTCATGGGAAAGGCGAAGGGGAAGATTGTGCTTAACGCTGCGCTTGGCTTCGACACATTCGTCGTGATGCGACACGGCTTGAGGACCACGCAAGAGGGTGAGGTAGAGCTGGGTTGCTACTTTTGCAACGATGTGGTAGCGCCAGCAGACGTAAGTGTTCCAGTGGCGTAACATGGAATGTCGCAACTAACACATCATAGTCTCTCAGCAACGCAACTCTCGACCAACAATGCACGGTGACTCGTCCTGGCATTGCGCCTCTGGCATCGAGTCTCCTCGTCGAACTTCTCGTCAGCATCCTCCAACACCCTTCTAAATCTCGTGCCCCACCGCCGTCCCACACTCAGAAACCCACTTCCTCCAAACCATCCTCATCTCACCCCGCTCTCCCGCCTCCATTCGAACATCCACTCGGCACAATCCCGCACACAATTCGCGGTTACCTTTCTACTTTTTCCAACCTCCAAGTCGAAGGCCAGCCCTACGACTGCTGCTCCGCATGTAGTGACACCGTCATTCAATGCTACGAGAAAGACCCATGGGGGTTTGTGCAGAAGGCCCTGAACGAGAAGGGATGGGTAGAAGAGATGTCGGGGCTGGCGGAGGTGCAGAGACGTGCGGATGAGGCAAGTAAGGATGTGGAGTGGGATTCAGAGGACGAAGGTGGGCTGGAAGACGAGGGTGAGATCTTGTAGAGTATTTTTCTGGTCATGGCGTTTGGAGTTTGAGCATTGCATTAGATACACTTCGCTGGTAGTGGGCGTCGATTCCCGATATATTCTTACGTAGAACTCTTTACTTCCACCATATTGCATTCAAGAATGACGCCGGAAGCCGACGTCATAGAGTGGGCAGTTATTCAAGCTCTCTGGTACGAACTGTCTACTGAGTTCTGGATTCCCTTCTCCAACCAAGCTTCCAACTATGTCGCAATCTTCCAACCAAATAGTGTTCCGATACCCAGCCCTCACAACGTCACCCCCCTCCAACCCCAGATCGCCAACCCATTCTCTCCCCAACACCAGCCCATGAACCATCGTCACCTCCCAACCCCAACCCCAAAGATACGCAATACCAAGCGCGCGACAACGTCATTCCTTAACCAGAGTTCAGAAACCATGCGCCACATCCGTATTATCCGACCCACTACAGCCAATCAACGCGCTACTGGTTTCATTCCGCTCTGGCCAAGAATCTCCGCCGTGCAGGGCCGCGACGCAGGGACTGCTTTAGGTGTGCCGCAAGCCGGACCAAGGCTCCGGACGTTTGGCGAGAACGTTTGGCGCATGTCATGAGCTAGACGGGAAGCGAAGTTTGGAGCGCGAAGCCATAGTGAGGGGTGTGTGAAGGTAGATGGTGCAGAGTGACGCCGAGCAAGCAACAACAACAACGATGTATAAAAACCCACCCTGCGAACGAGGAATGTAGGATCATTAATCACACAATCCAAACAACTACTTCCACATTCTCAAAGTCGGAACCAAATAACTCCAAAAGCTCCCAACTCATCCCCGAAGAGCAAACAATCAAACTCCCTTTTCCAAAACTTGAAACTCGAAGTCCTTGCCGACTTCAGATCGAACACTGCTTCGCTTTACGCGCTACATACATCACTACCCCAACCACCATAATGGGCTGCGGACCTTCTCGCATGGGCAGCGGACGTCGCGGCGGTATGGGCTCCCGCATGGGCGGACCCTCCAAGGTCGTGAACGTGCACAACCACGGCGGTGGCGGCATGGATATGGGCGGACGCAGGAGTGGAGGCGGCATGATGGGCGGAGGTGGTGGTATGGGTGGAGGACGCCGCGGTCGTGGCATGGGTAGGAGGAGGTTCTAGGTGGACGATGAATTGAACAAGATGAGGAGCAGATGAAGGGATGAAGGGATGAGGGGATGAAGGGATGAGGGGATGAGTTGGGAGTGGGGGGTTTGGTGATGATTTGACGATTGGATGGTTGCTTTGGATTGTGACTTGAGTCTTGTATTATCATGTTGGTTTAGCGATGCGAGTTGAGCGAGCGAAAATTTACTTTTATGGTTGTAATTCAGTGCACATGCTGGTTTGAAGTGAGTTTCTGTGATGCGTGAATACTTAACTTGTCTGTTGCAACATATTTCCTCGGAGGGGTTGTTCCTGCTTTGTGAAGTCGAACTTTGCAGAAGTTACTCCGGGACAGCTTCGTGAGGTTATGGCAAAGGCGTGGTGGTGTTGTGAACCCGGCCAAAGCCGCAATTCTCATCAGGGGACTGGTGTTTGTAACACCAGAGACTACGTGCTATTTCCAAGAATACACGCGAGGATTGAGATATACAGAGTTACATTCGCGCTATGTGAGAATGCAGGTCCTTCGGCCTCCATATCATCGCCACGGGTGTCAACTGATAAGCTCAGGAATCCTTCGATCGTCGCAGTTCGCCTAAAGTCCTGCACTCATGGAGGAGTGAACAAGTCTTCAGAGAGGATGGCAAGTTGAAACCCTCAGACTTAAACCCTGACGAACTTGGTGTGCGAACCGGATGCAATGATAGGCCCAGGCTTGTCGTCAATCACCTTCCAGATGGTCGCAGTCGTAAAGGCCAATGTGCCTCCGACCTTGCCAGCCCTACCCTCGACCTCTATCCAGTCTCCATCCTTGGCTGAGGTCTGGTAGGAGATGTGGATGTCGGTGCTTACGCCTGTCTTGGTTCGGTTGTCGTAGGCTGCGATGGCAACACCGCCCACCCAGTCGATAAGCGTAGCTGAGACAGAACCATGAATACCACCATGGGCATTTACGTGGTTTTTTGTCAACAGCAGGCGAGCGCGAACTACGCCCTTTGACGCGTAGGTCAGTTTGATGTCGTCGAGCAGGAACTGGTAGATGGGACTGTGTGGCTTCCGTCCCTCCCAGAACTTCTCAACATGTGCGAGGATCTCGGGGTCGTTTGCTGCTTCTACACTCATTGTAGCAGTAAGTGGGTTTGGTAAGAAGATTGATGTTTCGTTGGGGCTGAAATGAGAGCGTCTGTAAAATCTGACATGTCAGATAATGTCCCCCTAAGTTCGCAAGCAAGGTAGATCAGCTCTCCCATTGGCTAGATCGCTGCAGGACCCCTGCTAGCACCATGTCGATCATTCACGCGAATCTGGTTCCCCAGATGTCCAGATATGTCAATTTTGAAACGGCGTACCTTGCCACTAGTTGGTGCACCCTCCTCACGATTTACCCGAACACTTACAGAACACGTAACCAGACATAGCCGCTCCATGTTAAAGCCACCATGAGCGACCCTGTCCATCCGCTCCACGATCTACGCGACTCCACCGTGGAGAAACCCCACGATGCGCCAGTTACCCCCGAGAACACATCGTCTCTGGACCTGAAGGCACTCACCGACCGCGTGCTGACCTTCCTGGCTACGTCGACGAACGAGACACTTGCAGCCTGCCTTGCAGGGCTGGGCGCCTGCACATATTTGATATTAGGCCGGGTCGGGCTGGTGTTGATGGGCATAGTGGGCGGAGTTGTCTTGCATGCAACCTGGGAAGGGAGCGCTCAGGGCGGCAATGCTGGGGCAGAGGGAAAGGGCGCGGGGGCCCGGAGACACGAGCTGGGTGTCGACGTAGCGCACAGGGTGCTTGACTGGCGGGATACACGGTCAGGAGGGAACGAGAAGCGCGAGCATGACCAGTCTGAGCTGAGCATGAAGCTGTATTCGGGCAAGAACCTGGACTTCTCGGGCTTCCAGCCAGAGACGGCAGCAGCACTCACGGAGCTGACGGACGCCGTCATCCGGGACTACGTCAAGTATGTCCATGTAGCGCCACGTATGTACTGTTCTAATGCATTGCAGGTGGTGGTATTCACCTGTCTTACCCACCGAAAATGACTTCCCCAACTCGTGCCGTCAGACGTTCATTGCTTTCATCCTCGGTATATCTGCACATCTCTCCCGCAAGCGACCAGCCGACAACCTTATCGACTTTGTGACACGTTCGTCTTCGTTCGCCATTATCATGTTGCAGGAGATAGCCTCGGCGACAAGCGCATCACCGGGCGACACGCCCTCTGAAGCAGTCGACCTGTACTTGAAGACGAAGCAAGACAGCGTATTAGCCAACATACTCGATTCTGACTACCAGATGAGGCAGTTCAGCATAGCCGCCGAGGACATACTGCAGAACTACCTGGAGCACAAGACCTACAACTGCGTGCCAGCACGAGTGTTCCTGCACCAGATTCTTGCCAAAGTTATACTGGAGATGATTGTCGTCAGCTGTTCGAAGCCAGAATGGATCAACGGCTGGATTATATATCTCCTGGAAGACGGCGAACCAGAGCTCATGAATGCCCTCGACGCAGGCGTGGAGGGCTCCTCTACACAGCTATCGGCTATCAAGAACAACGTGGAAAAGCATGAGAAGGCCTCGAACCAGACATCATCACCCGAGAGCAGGGAGCACAAGCGAGTTGTTAGCCGGGCACAAGATGCCATGGATGAGGCCATGCAAGAAGCACAGCGCCTAAGTCAGATGATCGCTGAAGAGGACGTCAAGCGTCTGAGAGAGTTGCATAAGCAAACCACCTCGAGTTCGACTGTTAACGACGATCAGTCGGAGAGCACAACTCAGGGAATGGTCACCCCGACGTCGTCGCAAAGCGGAAGCCATGCTGAGAGCGAGATGGCAGACCTTGGCATCTCAGGTCTCTCAACCAGTGCGTCGTCGCGAGTCGCGCCTCCATCTCCGCCACGAGCTTCTGAAGAGTCCAAGCGAGAAGCTAGGAAGACATTCACAAGCTTCGACCAACTCGTTCCGAGTCAGCCCACTACAGCTTTGATGGACAACCGACCTGCTATTGAGAAGCCTGCTCCACTAACACTCCATAATAGCACCATGTCCATCTTTGACGATAGCTTGCCGGGAGAGAAAGGTACAATAAAGACCAAGCCCACCGCGGAGTATCTGATTCAGATTGAGCCTAAGTCGCATCACCACACTGGCTGGATGACAGCTCGTAAATATGCCGAGTTCGAGACACTACACGAGGTGATACGTCGCATAGCCGCCATCACAGGAACAGCCGGCTTTACTGAAACCCACTCTGACTTACCGACTTGGAAAGGTCATACCAAAGCGTCTCTTCGAGGGGAACTGGAGCGCTATCTCAACGATGCTGTCAAGTTTCAGCCGTTAGCAGAGAGCGAAGGCATGAAGCGCTTTCTCGAGAAAGAACTCGGCTCTGGCAAGACTCCAAGCGGCGGGTTTCCCGGGATAGGTTGGGCGGGCCAGACCTTTGACAATATGGGCAAGGGAGTGCTTGACGTACTCACAAAAGCGCCGAAGGAGGTCGCGGGAGGCGGTAAGGCGTTTTTCGGCAATGTTACTGGCGTTCTAGGGAGTGTTGCGGCGCCTCTTGGAGGGTCGAGAAAGCAACGCGACTCCATCATCGGTGCCAGCAGCAGTACCAACGATCTCGCTTCTGTATCTACCACTTCTACTGCACCGATACAGACAAGACACAGCAGAGCGGAATCCACAGTCTCCGAACTCCCCAAGCACATCCGCTCAGAAAGTACACTGTCCTTGGCAGCAGCAAAACGCACATCCGTCGACTCAGTCAGGAACTCTAACTCGCCCATTGTCGACCAGCAACCCTCGCGCGAAGCACCCATGGAGCGCCGCGCATCTTCCCAATTTGACGGCGAGAACCATCCATCCGGCTTGTCTTCACGATATGGATCCAGGAGTAACAGCCGCGCCACTAGCGTACGGGAGAGCATGGAGCAAGACCTCAGTCCTCTGATGGGCGGCGATCAAATCTTAAACCTACCACCCATACCAAGCGAGATTCCCGACGACTACCGCACCAACTCCCCAGCACCCAACCAACACCACCGCAACACCTCACGTGCATCCACAACACCCCTCGCTACAACCAACGATGTGGCCCCGCCTCTCCCCCGCCGCCCATCTACCACATCCCTCTCATCGCCATCCAAGAAACCACTCCCCACAACCACACCAGCATCGACATCGACATCAACATCAACACCACACACGCCCCTCACCCAACCCGAAACAACCGTCCTAATCGAGCTAATCTTTGCGGTGATAACCTCCCTCTACACCCTCTCCTCCGCCTGGACCCTCCGCCGCACCCTCCTCAACGCAGCGAAAACCTTCCTCCTCCGCCCCTCAAACCCACAACTCCTCTCCATCCAAACCCTGCTGCAAACCACCGTCTTGGACAATAACGCCAGCGACGCAGGCATGGCACATCATCTGCGCCAGATACGGCAGAACGCGCTGCCCACCACCGACGAGCTAACCGCGTGGCCTGAGGAGCTTGGGCACGAGGAGAAGGAGAGATTGAGAGTGAAGGCGAGGAAGTTGCTGGTGGAGAGGGGCGTGCCGATGGCGCTTATGAGTGTTATGGGGCAGGCGGCTAGTGGGGAGGCGTTGGGGAAGGTGTTTGATGTGTTGCAGGAGGGGAGGGTGGCGAGGGGGTTTGTGTTTGGACTTGTTTTGCAGGGACTTAGGGGGGTTACGCAGTAGCTGGGGTTTTGTTTCTTGGGGGATGGGGATGGAGGTTGGATGTATATGAGATCGGGACGGGTGTTTGGGGTGATTAGATTTTCTTGGTTTTATGACGAAAATGGCATGAATCCTGGCGTTGGAATATGACAATACATCGCTATGGTACTTTCTACTTTACTCAATACTTTGACTAAGAAGCTTACACACATACATCACATGAAAAGACCTCAAACATGTGAAGGAAAATTACAGTCAAAACTCTGCATTAAACTCATAAACAGACATAGACTAATTCTCGTACCCAGCCGAGACCAACCAAACAAAACAATAACGAGAAAGACCCAGACAAGATCCGCCAACTGCATCCCATCCCATTCCTATTCCCATCCCAAAACCACTATCCATACGCCAAACCAGCAAGAAAATCCCGCCCAATCCATAACCACGTAAGCAAAACATCTCATCATGCTCTCCACAGGATATCATCGTAGACCCAAGTACCCAAACCAAACCAAACCACATCATGCACCCACACTCTCCAAGCCCAATACTCCCAATCGATCCCCACTATCCATCGCAACAAACCAACCATGCAACGCCGTCGAACTCAAGACCGCCATCGAACTCGAAATCAACAGTCGAACTCGAACATCGCGGTGAACTCAAAACCATGGATTGAACTCAAGACGGCGGCCGAACTCAAAACGATTGTTGGTAGGTGGGTGCTGGTCTGGACTGGGGATGATTGGTGGTATCTTGTTAGGCTACTCATCATCATCTTCATCCTCACGCAACGGTGCTCTCTTCCTCCTCGGCAGCTCGGCGGAAGTAGTCCGCATCCACGAGTTCCGAACTCTCTTCACCATCGGCGGAGGGCAGATCCGCATCGATGTCCAAGTCGTCTGGGGCGATGTCCATCTCTGCCCTGACGGCTTCAACGGCGCGGTCGATGTCGGAGTCTGTTGGCATGGGGACATCGCTGTCTGCCGTCGGGGTGGATATCTCAGACGGGTCGAGTTTGACAGTAGGTTCGTCGTCGTTGTTCTCATCGTCGCTGTAGTTGGACGTCTCGTCGATGTCTTTGTCAGCTTGAGAACCGTAGGATGTGCGACGGTCGACGTCGGTGCCGGTCATGTAGGAGCCGGTATCGTAGGTGTACTCTGTGCCTGTTCCACCGAAGCTGGATTGATCCTCGTAGCCAGGTGTCTCGCAGCCAGGCGTTTCGCCCTCAGGGTGGCTCTCCGAGTATTGCGAGCGGCTGCCGATGCTATAGCGGCGCTCTGTACCCGATTCGCTCTGTATGTCTTCCTCGGCAATGGAAGGAGCAATAGATGGGGCGGCGTGCTCGGCTTCAGTCTCGTCTTCTTCCTTCAGTGGGGCATTCTCTTTGTTTGCGACCACGGCGCTTGGGCGACTACCCCAAGATCCCTTGCGCAGAGCCGGGGTCTTGACTGAGTGGCTTCGCTTCAAGCCACTGTTGGAGGTCAGAGCGGTGTTGGTTGTCGGGTAAGGCTGGGCACCGGTAGGGGCGTTGCCGCTGATCTGACTGAGCGAGAGGATACGTCGGTTTGCCGGATTTGCGGGTGCACCATTGCGACGGACGGCAGGCCGAGGCTTCAAAGCGAAAGACAGTGCGGTTGCGGCAGCGCTTGGAGGCGGCATCATCCTGCCAGCTTCGTCGGTAACATCACCACTCATGCGCTTCTTCAGCTTGGAAGGACTCTTCGATCCATTCTTGGCGATCATGAGGGCGCGAGAATGGTCCATGATTCCGTTGAGGATACGGCGTTCAAGTGCGTCCGCCTTTGCGTCCATCATGTGTAGCTCTTCGCGCCTGATCTCGAGTGCAGTGTGGAGAGAGGAGACCTCACCAGTCAGACGCACTTTCTGATTGGCAAGGTTCTCACGCTCTCCCTGGAGCGCAGCGACAACAGCCAAAAGCGAGTCCTTCTCCTCCTTGAGTTCAAGCATCGTGCGCTCCTTTTCTTCCTTCAGCTCCTGCATGACGAGTTCCTTCTCGTCTTTCAGCTCTTGCATGATTCGCTCCTTCTCGGACTTGAGGAAGTCGATGTCAGCATCGAACTGCTCGATCTGGGCAGCTTTTTCGGACTTCAAGTTCTCGAGATCGGCCTCGAGGCACTCCTTCTGAGTAGTCCTGCGCTCCACGAGAAGAGCGAGCTCTTCTGCTTCACGTTCTTTGGTCTCGTTGCCATCGGTGATCGATTGGTTGTGTTTGGCGACGAAGTCACTCACTTCGACAGCAGTAGCCTTGACCTGAGCGTGGATTTCGTGGAGCTGTTCAAGCTGAAGGGCGGCCTGGGCGGCTTCATCGGCATGGCCGAGTAGTTTGTCCAGTTTCTCTTGCACGAAAGCATCATCGTATTTGGCCTCAGGTTCAACGGCAAGTAGCTTGTCGAGCTTCTCCTGTACAAAAGCGTCATCATACTTCGGCTCAGGCTCGACAGAAAGCAGCTTGTCGAGCTTCTCTTGCACAACGACGTCGTCGTATACAGCCTGGGGCTCGATGGCTAGCAGCATATCGAGCTTTTCCTGCAAAGGCGCATCATCGAACTTGGGTTGTTCGACAGCGAGTAGCAGGTCAAGCTTCTCCTGGATGGGCGCATCCTCAAACTTGGGCTGCTCGATAGCAAGTAGCATATCAAGCTTTTCTTGAATGGACGCATCATCAAACGTTGGCACTGGCTCAACAGCAAGAATCTTGTCGAGCTTCTCTTGAATGGAGACATCGTCAAACTGTGGTGCAGGCTCAATGGCAAGGAGTTGGTCGAGCTTGAGTTGAACCGGAGCATCATCGTACTTCTCTGGGACCTCAACCACTGGTGCAGGCAACAACTTTGGCAGGTTCTCGAAGTGGTTCTGGAGCTCCATGGCGCGAAGCTTAGCTTCTTCGTTCCAGTTTCGAGCGTGCTCATCAGCCTCTTCCTTGGTTTTCTGCGCGTGCTCGTAGTGTGCTTTGACCAGGGCTTCGATCTCTTGGAGCGCCAACATGAACTTGGGATGGTGCTCGGTGATGTTCTCCTGCAAACTCGCGAAGGCGGCCTCGACGTTCTTGATCTCGTCGCGCGTCTGCGAATGCTCTGTTCTGTCTTCGACCTTTTGCTCCTCGATCCTGGCAACGGTCTCGTCGATCTTGCCGACAACAGTCTCCGAAGCGGTCGACCAGCTTGTTGTGGCTCCTTCGAATTTGTCGTTCATTCCTGTGATCGAGGCGCCAAGTGTGTCGATGGTCAGGCGGAGCTCGTCGGCCATGGTCTTGGTGGTCTCCAGCATCTTCTCCTGTTCTTCGGCCTTCTCCTTCATCACTCGTGCCTGTTCGTCAGCCAGAAGTTGAGCGTCATCGTACTTCGCCATGAGCACATTGAACTTGTCCTCCAACTGCTCGGTGAAGCCGGCGATAATGGACTCTTTGACCTCGTCATGCTTCTCCAGGTGAAGGGCTGATTTTTCTGAATGATCATTCTGCAGGCCTTCAATCGATCCGTGCGCACGCTCAAACTCTCGCGACAGAGTCTCCATGAGTTCTTTGACGTCGGCAGTGACATTGTTTGTTCCGATGACTTCTTCAAGTGTCTTGAACGACTCCTTCAGGCTCTCGATCGGTGCTCCTTCGATGAGGTTGGTCTTGATCTCCTCCCTCATCTCATCCAGAGCTGTCTTGACTTCTACGATCGTTCCTACGATCGCCTCAGCTTCTTGCTTGCGATCGTCAAAGTTCTTTGCCGTCTTCATGATGTCCTCTTCATAAGTATCCTTCATCTTGTCGTGGCTGTCCCGGAAGTCATGAAGGAGGCCAGTAAGCTGTTCAACTTCGGCCTTGGACGCGAGTTCTTCCTGGATGGGCAGCTTCAAGTCATCGATCTTGACTTTGACATCGTCGACAAGCAGCGTAACAGCATCAATATCAGCCTTGGTTGCATGAGGTTCAGCTTCCTCAGGCTTTGCCGCTTTCATCTCATCCAAAGCTAGCTTGATGTCGTCGGCGATCACCTGGACTACCGTGATATCAGCCTTCGTTGCGCCTTCTTCTTCGATCTTCTTCGCGAGGGCATCCAAGGTTTCTGATGTAGTGCGAACAACTAACTCGACATCATCGAGATTCTCCTTTGTGACAGCGGTCGCGGGGTCCGGCAGGACGAGTTCCTCAATCTTGGCCTTGGTGTTGGCAAGCAGAGTCTCGATGGCGTCGGTGTCCTCCTTTCTCGCGAAGCCTTCAGGGACGGGCGGTGATGTTTCACGCTCCTGCAGGGTGAGGACTGCAATCTGAACGTCTTTGAGCAACTCTTCGATAGCGCCAAGGTCTTCCTTCATGGCTGTTCCAGGAACTGCAGCATGTTCGGCAGCCGGGGCCACATTCTGGATGTTCGCATCCATGGCTTCTACTCTGTCCTGGATTTGAGACAGAATGAGCTCCATCTTTTCCAGATCGTTTCGTCGCAAGGATTCTCCGACAACTTCCTGGCTTGCTGGCTCATCTACAATCTCCCGACTGGTTGACTCCTCCGCAGTCTCTGGATCTGCTGGTTCTGCCGGCTCCGCAGACTCTTCCACAATCTCGCGGCTGACAGCTTCGGCATCTCCATCATCAGCTAGGACAAGCTCGTTTCCAGCAGGCAAGGCGTTGGCATCTGCAACTCCTCTGTGGGACTTGAGTTCTTCAATGTCCGCACGCAAGCTGGCCAAACCTTCTTTGAGCGTGTCTAGAATCTCGTGGGAAACAGTCGTATCGGCTGGCTTCTCAACCAGCTTGGCAACGTCGGTCCGGATGCCTTCCAGTCCATCGTTGAGAGCATCGACAATCTCACCAGTAGCAGAATTGTAGCGTTCAGGATTGTCGAGCTTCTTCGTCAGGTGTGATTGCAAATCGTCGAGACCAAGCCGGATAGCTTCCAAGACTTCTTCAGTGTCGGCACGCGCGTGCTGTCGCGTGATGCCATCTGACAGACGGATTTGTTCGAGTTCTCCGCGGAATGCCTCGAGAAGTTCCTCGTTCATGCCGGATGACTGCGAATGTGCCTTGATCTCCTCCAAGCTAGCCTTGAGCGCCTCGAGCATCTGCGCCTTGTCGTTGTCTCCAGCGGGGACTAGAGCATTGCACACGGACTCCTTCAACGCTTCTAATTCTCCTTGGATAGTAGTGGCGTGGTCTTTGGAAGCGGTTGCCTGAGTCGCACTCAATTCATCGATGAGCCCTTTGACCGTATCAATGATTTCGTCCTTATCAGCAGTGCCACCAGGCGCAGCAAGGGTAGTTGCAAGAGTTTCGCGCAGGCTCTCAAACTCCTCTTTGACGCAAGCCAGCACTTCATCATTGGAGGATGTAGAAGTTGCAGTCTCGCCAAGAGCAACATGGAGTCCATCCAGCCCGGCTTGGAGTTTCTCGAGGACGTCGTTCTTGTGACCCGACGCATCCCCAAGTACAACCTCTTTCAACTGCTCGAACTCGTGCTTGATCGCTTCGTTGATCTCGTCGTTTGACTCGGGGCTCTCTTCTCGCAGAGCAACTTGAGATTTCATCTCCTCGAAGCCAGCATTGATGGCAGAAAGAATTTCTTCCTTGTCCTTGGCAGCTGGGGCGAACTGCGAACTTAGCTTCTCGTGGAGATCCTCAAGCTCTACTCGGACACCGTCCATAACCTCGTAGTTCTCGTTGGCATCCTTAGGTTTGTCAGCAAGGCCTTGGATTTCGGTACGCAGGTTGTCGAGGCCCTCCCGTAGTGCCTCGACGATTTCCTCCGTACTATTGCCAGCAGTTGAGGAGGAAGCCTTGAACTCAGCCTGCATTTCATCAATGAGAGCTTGCAGACGCTGTACACCGGCTTCGTTGTGGGCGTTAAGCTGGGGTTGGCACGCTTCAAGACCTGCTCGGACGGCATCGAAAAGAGGCTCTGGTGGGATATCGAGTTCCTGCGGTCCGAACTCATGATTGGAAAGGGCCTCCTTCATGACTTCCAGAACAACCTCTCTCGAAAGACTGTCGGACGAAGCTTGTTGAGGTTTTAGCTCGTCTAAGCATTCACGGACCGTCATGAGAATTTCCTCTCGGATCTCGTGAATCTCGTTGATGGGTGCAGGCAACTTCAGTTGCTGTAACGAGTCGTGGACAATCTCCTCAATCTCCTCCTTCGTCACTGCACCAGACCCGTTGTAGTCCTGAAGACCTTCGCGGAGACACTGGAGAATCTCATCACGTTCAAGGCCGAACTGTTGATTTTCGACATTCGGCTTGACCTCAACACTGTCGTATGCTTCGCGAACAGCGGCGACGATGGCTTCCCTATCCAAAGGTGCGCCTGGAGCAGCCTCGTGAGCTACCCCACGCTCTGTCAGTGCCTGCTTCATGACATCGTAAACTTCGTTACTATCGACAGTGTTTCGAGTGATGGCTGATGACATAGACTGGCGTCGCCTCTCGCGCATGGCCTTGTCGATGTGCTCCTTGAGATTTGCAAGTTCCTCCTGAATGATGACACTGACGTCTTGGGTGGGTTGGTCCTCCTCGTCATCGTCGATGGGTTCCTCTGCCCTCGCTTGCTCAGATTCCTCAATCTTGCGGGCGAGCTCGCGACCCATTGCTAGAACCTCATCCCGGAGATCCTGAACGAGTGTCTTGGTTGTCATGGTAACGCCGCCCGCCTCAGCAACGCTATCCTTGATCTTGCGCAAGAATTTCAACATCTCGTCGCCAACAAAGTCGGCAGCCTTGGGGCTCGAGTATGCCTCAGCTCCATTCAGCGGGTAACCTGCCGACATGGTTCGTGTAAGCGCTCCCGCACCCGGCGAAGGCTGGAATGAAGCCGATCCAGGAGGATGGAGGCTGGAGCCTTGCTTGACAAATTCGACCAATTCAGACACCTTCTTGGCAGTGTCGCCAGTGGCCTGGTCAACGAGCTTCTGAAGGCTCGAAATCAAGCGCTCCTGGCCGTCCTTGGTCACCATCTCGCGGATAATCTTCTCGAGCATGGCGACACTAGCGGCACCCTCGACAGAGTATGGATTTGGACTACCTATCCTCTCGTCTGGCCAGCCGCTGGGCGAGGTCATTCGAGGGAAGGTGAACTGCTTGATGGGCGTCATGTGAGGATCTTCGAGGTTCAGACTGCCCAGACGGGACGTGTCTGCTGGTTTGCTCGGTGTGCTGGCTACCGCAGCCGCCGCCGCCTCTTGCTGCTTCTGTGTCATGGTCTGCAGCAGGTCCTTGAGCGACTGGCGAATGTCCTCGTCGCGCGTGGTGGTGGCCTCCTTCAGGCTGATTAGGTCGACAGCGTTGTCCTTACTTCGACGACTGAGCTGAGACATGTCCTTTTGCAGATTCGACACGATCGATGAGATGCTGAAGAGCTGGCTGGAGATGGAGTCCATTGGCTGTCCCTGTGCCTGAGCCTGTGCCTGCGCCTGCGCGGGTGGGGCTGGAGACCGAGATGGGGAGGGGGTGCTGACGGCGGGGGGCGACGGAGGATCGAGGATGTGTGCGGGGATGGACATGTTCTGGAGCGCCATCATGGTCGCGGATGGGGGTGTGTGTTCTGCGTAGATGGATCTGTGGGACGGTCGCAGTGTGGGCGTATTACTCAGGTCGTACCGCGACGCCGGGGTCGGGGTGTGCAGCTGCAGCGGGCTCACGCCTGCGTCCTTGCCAAAGTAGTCTCTCTCTGTCGCGCGCGGTGGGGTCGCGGATCGTGTGGGCGGCCTCTCTGGTGACCTCTCCGGCGATCGCTCCGGCGAGCGGTGTGTCTCGAGGTAGCTGCGCAGGTCGCGGACGCCGTTGGGCTGCAGCGACTGCATGCGCTTGTGGTGGTTGCCCTTGACCAGGGCGCGCTCGGGCGACTTGCTCTGCAGCGGCATGGGGTTCACTGTGTAGGAGCTTGCGGGGGCGCTCTCCCGCGCCTTCTCTTCCAGCGCCTTCGCGACCTGCATGATGGCGGCTGACGTGTTGGGGCGCGTCGTGAGCTTCGGCGACCCCGGGCCGCCGGGGTTCATGGGGAGTGGGGGCTGAGAGCTTGTCAGAAGGTCCTTACGCTGTCCAGACTGCAGAGGGCGTACCGGCGCGCGTTCTGGATCAGACGAGTCCCACATTGGGATGCCTCCTGAGAACGAGAGAGAGTGGTTATGGCGGACAAGTTCACGGTCGTAGTCCATGTCGGGGTATTAGGTGTATAAGGTGTATATAGCAGCGCGAGTGTAGTATTGCAAATGAGGTGGGCAATAACCAGAGGCAGAATGTCGCGCGTCAATTGCAATTGCAGGTGCAGTTGCAGGGGCTCAAAGCAGAATCGCTCGAGTGGGTATCAAAGGCTCGTAAAAATCGTGATGTGATGGCGGTGAAATGCGAGGGCGCAACGGCTAATGTATCGGAGACTTGTTGTTTACAGTCCATGCGCTTTGTTGTGGACCCCGCCGCAGAGGTAGCCGCTGCCAGCTCAGCGTCTCCAGGCCAGCGACTCGTGGCTGGCGAATCACAGCACACCGGCGCGAACACGGCGGTGTGGATGGCTATCGCGAGAACACCTGATCGGGGTAGAAGGATGATTGCAGCTCGTCTGTCCTCTTGCGTGCGCGATGGATGCTCGTCATATCTCGTTGGCTGTCAGGCACGTTCCTCTGCGAAGCACAAGCCATGATCGATGCTCTGCGTTGCTTTTCCAAGAGATCATTCGCCGTCAATTCAAAATGTCTATGAGCATCGTAAACACTTCAACAGGACGCGAATGGTCTGCACTTGATACGTCTAAACGTGTCCTTACATTATCTCCTTGATCTATTCCAGGCTAGACGCGACTCATTAGTAGAGATGGAGAACATGCACAATGATCCACCATGGCATGCAAACGCAGAGCATGGCGCATATCCCGCACTAGCAACGCGACTATCTCGAACCTCACAACATCAGTGAAGCAACCCCAACATTCACCATGCTCGTAGGACTGTGCGGAGGCAAGCAGCGCCCTGATGACGGCCAACAGTTGCTGACGCGGCTCAGGTATCTGCGCGGGCAAGTCGTCGATAGCGCAATACCTCGCCGAGGAGCTCGGCTTCAAGCACATCCGCCTCGAGCAGACACCCGCCATAGCTGCCACAGCCGCGCCGTATGCAATTGAAGAGTCCAGTGACACACACCACACATTCTCCAACGTTGATGCCCTCGTCGACTTTGTCACGCTGCGCTGGAGAGAACGCTGGGTGACAACCGACATATGGGATGACACTGTCGTCGATGCACTGCTCAAGCGGCCCTTCTTCCTGCTCATCAGCGTGGACGCCCCAGTGAGTGTGCGATGGCAGAGGCTCAAGGCGCGGTATGCTGCTGAGCAGCTTAATCCCCCCACTCTTGAGGAGTTTGTCCTCCGCAACGACGCACACCTCTTTACGCCGCGGACGGGCCTAAGTGCCATGTTTCAGCGAGCACAGCTCAAGCTGCTCAACTCTGCCTCGTCCATTGCCCAGCTGCGCGATGCCGTCCGCTCACTCGACCTCACCGACGAAGCCCGTCTGCGTCCAAACTGGGACCAGTACTTCATGCAGCTGGCGGATCTGGCGGCGCACAGGAGCAATTGCATGAAGAGGCGTGTCGGCTGCTGCATAGTCAGAGGGAAGAGAGTCATAAGCACGGGATACAATGGCACGCCGAGGGGTATGACGAACTGCAACGAGGGCGGGTGTAGGTGAATACATAGGTTTCTCACATATCTTTTCTAATGTTTTCCAGGCCCGCGATGCAACAACGCTGCCAAAGGCGGTGCAGATCTCTCGACATGTCTTTGTCTGCACGCCGAGGAGAACGCGCTTCTCGAAGCCGGACGAGACCGTATTGGCGAAAACGCGACTCTCTACTGCAACACCTGTCCCTGTCTAACCTGCAGCGTCAAGATCACTCAAGTCGGCATCAGCGAAGTTGTCTACAATCAAGGCTACTTGGTCGATACCCTGACTGCCAAGATATTCGCCGAAAGTGGTGTGCGACTACGACAATTCTCCCCTCCCACAGGAGGCCTGGTGGATCTCTCTTTGGGCTCGTTGGCGGATACAGAGGGTGGAACTGCCAAAGGAATGGGTAAAGTTGAAGACATCAGAAGTGTTCTAAACGATCCCGATTTTGTGTAAACACCACAAGGTTTGGCGACTACACAGCATTTTCATAGAGCAGAAATAAAAACTTCACACAGTAGCCAGGAGGTCTTCAAGGGTGAATACAGTCAGTGCGAAACAGAAACACCATGGCATTGCGAAGTCGTCAAACACCAGGCAAAACTACAGAAAAACTACAGAAAAAAAGCAAACCACGGCCCAGCCGGGAGGTCGTCAACTACTTCTACGGCCGCAAGCTGACGCGCAACAGCAACGTGAAGGCCTCAAGCCTCCTCGTCACACACGCCGTCAACCCACTCCCTCACCGCCGCATCCGTCCACCTCCCCTCAACCTCCTCCTCCAACTCCACCAACAACGCCAAAGTCAGCACATCCCCTGACTTCTCCACACACAGCTCCTCCTCCACCACCACCACCACCTCCTCCTCATCCTCCTCCACCCTCCACTCAAACACCTCCTCCTCCCCCTCCCGCTCCGCCAACTCCCCCATCGTATACCCACTGGCAGTGACGACCAACCCCCGATGCAACCCCCTCTGCACCTCCCGATCCATCTCCAGCGCCTCGGCCGAGAACAACACCTCCTCGCTCACCGCCTCCCCCACAACCACATCCCCGGCCCGATGCTGCATCCACAGCCTCTCAAGCCGGTTCAGATCGCGGCACACAACGTGCACGCGGGTCGCGGCAGGCAGCGCATCGCCAAGGATAATCGCGAGCTCGGTCCACGTGACGTTCAGCCCCGTGCCCTTTTTCTTGTCGCCGGCGACCTCGACGACGATCTCGAGGGGGGTGGTCGCGGGGTCGAAGACCAGGTCTGCCCAGTCGTCTGCTGTCCAGATGGGGTAGTCGCGGACCCCGAAGGCGGATTGCGCGACGCGGCGGGCCTCTTTGCTGGTGGAGAAGAGGGGCGGTGGGGCGGAAACGGAGAGGACTTCGTAATCCTCTTCGCGGATTGTGAGACGGGCTGTTGGAGGGTTGCAGCGTCCCTGGTGTGCTGTTGTGGGGTTGCAGCGTCCCCATATGGCGAGGCGGAGCTCCGTTGGGAGGCGCGAGAAGGCCGGGAAAGTGGTTGCTGACATCTTGATAGTGATGTCGTGCGGAATTGGTGGGTAGAAAAAAGTTGTCTTGTGGTATGGTATGTGAGCTTTGGGGTTTACGGACGCAGAAGGGGGACGGGGGGATTCTGCCCTTTTAACGCACTGTGTTTTAGCGTGGGTGCGTTCTTTGGTAGGAGTCTTCTTGCTTGGGCTTGCTATTGTGGGTTTGTATTGTGGTAGCAAGGCGAATACAGTGGTGTTTCACTCGCGGATCTGGGTCGGCGTTGGGCGCTGTGAGTGGCTGCACCACGTTTTTCCTTCACTTCTTACTTCACGATAATGCGTTGTGGACCTCCACCCCTCACTTTACTTTGGTTATAGAGAAGAAACTTTTCGCATTGCATTTTTGCCTTTGTGACTCACTGCATGTACCGGTATTCAGTGTTGTGGAAGCAAGGCGATCGCAATGTGAGATTGGCATGGAATGCGGTAGATTACATTTCTTGACATCATTTGGTTACTATCGAAAATATCTTCATGTCTTGTGAAAGAAGAAATTTCAAGACCCGGAGTTGGGGAACGAAGGTTTTGGTTATGGCCCTTCTGTGCCAGTGGATCGAAGTATGCGAAAAGATGATGTATTTGTCAGTGCGTACTTTTATGGAAGAAATTGTTTGGATGTATGTGTGGGACTTGTAGACCTTGTGATTAGAGTGACTTCTTCAAAGTTTGAGTCTGCTTGCGTGCTGTAAGATAGCGGTGCACGATAAACTTACTGGCAGCATCGGTATGCTGACTGTATCGCTCTTCGATAGATATCAACTCAACTCACTTCACACTCACACAGGTAACGCGATCTGGAAGTATACAGACTATCCTAGGGAAATAAACATTCCTCGGAGCATTTACGGAGTGTTTACTGTACCCATAGCATGTATGATGTACCCTTGATGATGGTGATAGGGGCGGACTTGCCATCCGCGACTCCGTATCCCCGTATCCCCATATCCCCGCAGTTGTCAGCATGCAAACATGGTCTGGGGTGTTGATTGCATGGAAAGCGAGTGGTAAAAAAGCGTGGGGGTGTGATTAGACCGATGGGAAGAGAAATGGGGTTGGGAATGTTGACGATAGATAGAAGGATGGAACATGCCAGGATAGAAATGAGATAAGATGAGATGTGGAGATTGAAACTTGCTCACTCACGCTGTTCCTCCTGAATCGTGAAGATATCAGCGTGCGGATGTTAGGGTGTTGATACACAGAGGAAGGAAATTACAAGGATGTGGACTTCTCTGTCATCCCAAGTTGCCGACTCCGAGAGGGCCGTCCTGAGAGCGATATATTACGAACGTAGAGTCGAGCTACAATGTATACAAAAAGATAACTAGAGCCACTGCTCAAAGTCTACCACAATATGGGTCGATCCCAAGTTCATCAAAGGCGTCTCGCATGAATCCTCTACCTTCCCTTGTTAGCGACCTAGCACCTGTTACACAACATTGCACCAATCTACCAAACAGCATGGATGAATACACGGCGTCGTTCTATGCATAATATACAGAATCTTCCTATCTTCCTATAGGGCAGCAGACTACATAGCCGAACTCCACCGATCAGCAATACCAACAGCAATCAATTGTACCTTTAATAAAACACACTTGCATACGCACATGGAAGCGCTCTCTCACCATAACCGGACAGCCGCGCACTCGCCTAGCAAACGGGATGCCTAACCTCGAGGATCGAGACAACCGTCATTGTCATTGCCATCGCCATTGCCGTTACCATACCGAGGCTCGGTTGCCACCAACAGCGCATCACGGTACCTACAAGTCCCAGGAGACATCACGACATGTGTCGGAGGTGTGGTCGGACTTGAGCCGCACTCGTCCCGCGCCCACGAGCGCGAAAAGCTGAATAAGCACGGGTCCATGAATCGCGCTGCAGCGACGTCAGATGTTGTGCTGCTGAACGAACTGGATCCACTTTCACATGCGTGCGCTTCTTGCGAGGCGTCCCCCTCAACACTCAACATTCAACATTCGTCGCAATCGACATGCAGGACGCAGCGCAAGGCAGCGCAATGCGGAGCACACATACCGGGCATGACGAATTGGGTGGTTCAAAGCAAGGTTCGCAACTGATAAGGCTGGGTTTGGGGACCAATTGGAGAGATGTTATTTGCGGCCGGGGGGTTGTTTGTTCTTCCTGTGAAGACGAGGTTGCTTGTGATTGAGTGTTGTGATGTGATGAAAAGCAATGCAAACTGAGCAACCCTCTTTTCTGTTACAGACGAGAATGGTTATAATGTTGAATAACCTGCCCTCAACATCTCTTCTCACTCTAGCAAGCAATCCCCATTCATTCCCCACAAACTACTCCAAGCCATCTCAACAACCCACAAACTTCACGTCAACATCGGGGTTCCAACACTCCAACCCTAATCCAATCCAATCCGCTCAATCTCGCCATCCGCGCAATCGGCAAATCAGGACAGACCTGCGGTAATCTTCCTCGCTTCCAGCAATGCAGGACGCACCGTTACGAGCGGCATCCATCCCAGCCGCTTGATAACTGGGCCTGGCAATCCGGCCGTTCCACTGCCCACAAGCCATGAACACAAGCCGGACCAGCGCCAGCTTATCGTGACGTGCGCGCCCTGAGTGGTCGAGCACCCTTTCACATGTCTGCAGCCTGGCGCGCACGCCCAGTCGCGCTTTGGTGATCCAATGTCGCGACATTGGCAAACGTGCCCCAACGGCCAAGGCTCCGGAGCACAACCACACCAGAGGGATGGTGAACGGGTGTGTCGAGAGGGTACCTGTGTGTCGGTTTGCAAAGGTGAATACCTATTAATTGACTGCGTGACTATATGTGCGACGCTGAGAGGACTGTCAAATCTCGCTTGCTCAATTACAAGATCGCTAGGTCCACGGAATCTCATCCTCGTCTTATCGATAACCTAGATGTTGGAAAGCTCGTAACCCACTTTCACATGCTAAACCCGCCTGCTGCGTATAGTCCTTCACTGGATCAACGATTGCCCTCGACCGCCGCCGATTTCAGCACAGTCCAGCGCAACCGCATATAAACTCGTGTGTTGGGACCGTTTCCGCTGGAAAAACTCTGTGTTGCCCGATATTCTCTCTATCGTGTTTCCCAGTCATCGACATCAAGGAAAAAAAGCCCACTAGTAATAATTACGTTTCCCAGCTAGAGTTTACCTACAAAGAAGGAGAGAGTTACATGACACCACACGCCGAACAGGATAGCACTTCTTCGCAGACAAACGGCAAAATGACCAACGAAAGCGCCCCACTGACCAACGGCGAGACGCCTTCCTCCAGAGTGCTGTCGGTATGTATCTCCCTCCTGGCGCAATCGATCGCCACATTCGCTCGCATGTCCTAACGTACCCCAGCACCTGAACACCTACCCCGTAGTCCACGACTCAGTCGAACTCTACAAGTCGAACCCCTACGGCGCAAAGACCCTCTCCCTAGCCCACCAGACCTACACGCGCCTCACCCAGAGCCCATTTGCGCCCTACCTCCAAACACCGCTGGCCTACCTCTCACCGTACCTCTCAGCCGCAGACACGCGTCTCGACTCCGGGCTCAGCACGCTCGAATCCAAACTGCCCATTGTGAAGGAGGACACGAGCAAGCTGAAGGAGTATGCGTTCGCGCCGTACAAGTACCTGCTGGGCACGTGGGAGGACGAGTACAGCAAGACTCGCGGACAGGACGGGCTGGTCAAGACGGGCAAGGCGGTGCTGAGCCTCGAGTTGAAGGTCGTGAGTGATGCTTGCGTGGCTTTCTTGGGGTACTGGAACAAGGGGAAGGAGACGACGCAGAAGAAGGTTGAGGAGATCAAGCAGTAGGTGTGTGTTTGTGTGGTTTCCAGATGATAATAGCCACGGCGTGTTGGCAGATGGTGGCAGATGATGAGTTTGCGGCTGTGTAGATACCTTTCCTTCCGTTTTGTGCGTACTGCTGGTCTCGAAAAGGATGTTCCTTTTGGTTGAATAGATAAGATAATGATGACGAAGTATGCAAATTGCTCGTTGTGTTGACTTGTCGTTGCTCCAACCGTATCACTGGATCGTCCTTCTCAACAACCAAGATTCCACTTTAATACGGTATCACTGCATACCAGTCTGCGCCATACTCCAAACAAACGTCTACATGTACGGCGGGAGGAAAACGGCAATGTGGGACACAACAGGTTCATGAATTTCGTGAATTTGATCCCGAAGCCGGATTCTCATGCTTTGATTATCAAGCCCAAGTACACGCCTCGATGGCAGGCTACTTTTTGAATCCTGTCCACCCTGTGATATCCACTGACATGCCCATGCAGGATCTCCACGTGTGTCAAATCATGCCCGTCGACGCCCAGCCGTAACCGAAGAAATGCCTAGAACTGTAAGGGAGTGAAGAACCACCCTGCGCACGTTAGCATTGGTTCCACGATCCTCGATATGGAATCCACGCACTGTTCTTGCCCGACTGGTATCGCTCCTCGAAAGCCTTCTTCACTGTCTTCTTGGCCTCCTCCCGTTGCGAAACCTCCTTGAATGTGTCGGCCGAGACCACACCCTTCAGGTTCTCGAGCTCAATGGTGTAGCGGGTAGGCATGATGTGGGTGTCTGCTGGTATCAGCACCATTCCTCCAGACGGATCCTCATTTCCACATACAGTTGACCTGCTTGACGAAAGGCTTGACCTTGCTCTTCTTGGCCTGCTTGTTCTTCGACATGCGGCGGGTGACCTTTGTGGGGTAGCGCTCGATGCCAGCGACGAGGGCGTGAGGGAAGGGGTGCGACTTGGTGCCGTTGTCGAGAGGCGAGATGATCACGCACTTCTTGCCGGCATGGCGACCTCGGGTGATGATCTAGCGGGATGTGAGTGAGTGCGATCGCGGCGAATCGAGCGGCATTCAACGTACGACAACGCGTCCGACCTTGAGGCTGTGAATGGATTGTCAGCAGCTGTTCTGTCGCGTGTTGTGGTTTGGGTTCTCAGGGCGAGCGATTGGGTCCCCCAGACGTCCTGCCAGCGCTCCAATCGCGACCCTGAAATTCCCTGATAGAGCAGTCGGGGCACTCACAACTTCATCGTGGCTGTTGTCCTGGGAGTGGATGGTTAGTAGTCGTGAGGTTGGAGTCGTCGTCGTTATCCGAAAATGCTCTTCGTGTGCGTCGGCGAAAAGATCAAGCGAGCCTGCGACATTCGCTAGCGTCTTGGCGCACGCGCGCTGGTTGGCCAGCCATCTCGAAACTTCAAAGTCCCGCCAAAAAGTTCGCGACGCCTCGTTCCTGGCACATCCAGCCCGCAAGACCGCCACCATGAAGATCAAGGCCCTCAGCCGGTCGACCGCATCGGCGCAAGCCCCCGGCTCACATGTCGCAAAGGTGACGCGCAACCTCGACCCCAACCAGCATCCCTTCGAACGAGCCCGTGAATACACCCGCGCCCTCAATGCCACCAAGGTCGAGCGCATGTTCGCCCAGCCCTTCATTGGCGACTTCGAGCCCGGCCATGTCGACGGTGTCTACTCCTTCGCCAAAGACCCCGAGTCGCTTCAGCACTTTGCCAGCGGGAGTGGAGACGGAGTCGTGAAAGTATGGAACCTCACAAGTCGGGAAGAGAAGTGGCAGGCTCAGGCGCACGAGAACCTGGTCAAGGGAATGTGCTGGACTCGCGACAAGCAACTCATCACGTGCGGGTCCGATCGTCAGATCCAAATGTTCGAGCCGTATGCGCAGCCCTCCAAGTCACCGCCGAAAGCGACATGGCATGGCAACGCTGCCTTCACCTCCGTCTCACACCACCGCTCCTTGCCTTCATTTGCTGCAGCCTCTAGCACCGTCTCTATATACGACACCACTCGCACATCTGGAGCGCCAGTCCAGAATCTGGTATGGCCCTCCGCTATCGACACGATCAACTACGTTGCCTTCAACCAAGTCGAGACTTCAATCCTGGCATCGTGTGCGACTGACCGGGCTGTCGTTCTGTACGATGTCCGCACAAACTCCCCGTTACATAGAACCGTCCTCAACTTTGCATCCAACTGCATATCCTGGAACCCTATGGAAGCATACAATTTTGCTGTCGCCAATGAAGACCACAACGTATACGTAAGTGCTTGTCCTTGTTCTCGTAATTTCAGAGCCGTAAGCTAATATCTTCAAGATTTTCGACATGCGAAACATGAAGCGAGCCCTACAAGTCCTCAAAGGCCATGTAGCGGCGGTAATGAGCGTCGAATTCAGTCCTACTGGAGAAGAGCTTGTCACAGGTTCCTACGACCGCTCAGTACGCCTCTGGGAGCGTAGCAAAGGTCAATCTCGCGATATGTACTACACCAAGCGCATGCAGCGAGTCTTTTCCGTCGCCTGGTCTCCGGACAACAACTACATCCTCAGCGGTTCTGACGACGGCAACGTTCGACTTTGGCGTGCGCGGGCATCCACGAGGCAGGGTGTCAAGTCGTATGCCCTGCAGCAAAAATTGCAGTATGATGAGGCGCTCAAGGAGCGGTATAGTCACATGCCAGAGATCAAGCGCATCTCGAGGCATAGACATATTCCAAAGGCTGTCAAGAAGGCAGGTGAAATCAAGACTGAGGAACTCAAAGCGATCAAGAGGAGGGAGGAGAACGAGAGGAGACACACGAAGAAGGGGCAGGTCAGACGCAAGGCTGAGCGCGAGAAGATGGTATTGGCGAGGGAGCAGTAAGCGCCTATAAAATGATCAAGGAGTTTTTCCGCATAGCGACGGCGTTCATGGATGGTTTTGCGGGTATTGGGCAGCATTGCTGTTCATCAGACGGCTGGCAAGACGATATCAAAAGGACATTCGACAGCACTATAGGAACAAAATACCCACTACGCAACTACTCACATCTCTCCATCTGTTCGTTCTCTCTGTTTACGCATGCAAACGGTGGATCGTACTAGCGTGGTTACGTCATGCGTGTCACATCCTACGGTCCTCGTCGGCTATACAACTTCAACATGCTTTCAAATCAACCTTCATTGTATTACTTTTGTCACGTACTCCATCGATAACATTTTCACATCACTCCTCACAGTGGCAACAAACATGTCCGACGCCGACACCATGTCTTCCACCGCAGCCCTCGGGACTCAAGACGAGAAAATGAGTAGCCTGGGGCTGACTAAAACGATAGTAAACAACGAGAAGGTCTGCTGCTACAGCCGTGATCTAGGTGCCGTTTCGAAGAAGAATCCCGTTCTCGTGCTCGTCCATGGATACCCTCAGTCGAGCTATATGTATGTTTCTGTCTGTTTTTGTTTTCTCGTTCAAGTCTGTGTTTTGTCTTGGAACTATTCATTTAAAGTGTTCTCATACGGTTATCTCTTTCGCTACTTGGATGTAAACTACCCGCCATGTCTCAAAAACAGTCTATTCACCTCGCCCACTCGAGCAGCAAGTGCTGATGATTGTGTTATAGGTGGCGGCACTTCATCCCCCTCCTCCCTTCCACCGCGCCTCTATTTGTCCCCGACATGCCCGGCTACGGTGCAAGTGCGCCGACCGAGAAGATGGACAAGCTAACTGTCGGAAACGCCCTTATGGACGCACTGAAGAGCGAAGTATCAAAAGCACGCACTTCCAGTGATGCCCAAGGTGACATCCCAATCGTAATCATCAGCCACGACCGCGGCGCCCGCGTTGCACACCGTCTCGCAGTCAGTGGTGTAGCGGGCGTAGACATACGGGGCGTATGTTTAATCGACATTGTACGTCCCCCCTTATCCCTTCCTACCACCCATCTCCACCGTCAACAACCCGCCTCCTAGCAAACTCACCAGACCCACCACCTCTACCTAACTAACCCCCTAACCAAGGTCCCCACCTCAACCCAATGGCAACACAACGCCTCCCCCACCACCGCCGCAAAAGAAGTAACCGGCTACTTCCACTGGCCCTTCCTCGCCAACGTCTCCCTAGCCACACGCATGATCACCGCCCTCGGCCCCTCAACCTTCTGCACAGATATGATCCAGCGCTGGGCCGGCTCCGGTCTATCAAACCTAACCGCCGACTCCGCGCTTCCCCTCTACGGCGCCCTGTTCGCGCAACCCCATGTCCTGAAGGCGAGCTGCGAGGACTACGCCGCTGGCGCTACGGTCGATCTCGAGATGCAGGCTGCGGATCAGGAGGCGGGTAGGAAGATCAAGTGTCCGACGCTTTTGCTGTATAGTTCGGGGGGGATTGGGAGTCGGTTTGCGTTTCCGGATGTGTGGCGCGAGTGGGTGGGTGATGGGGTTGAGATTGAGGATAGGCCGTTGGGGGGCGGGGTGGGGCATTTTGGCGCGGAGGAGGCGCCTGAGGAGAGTGCGGAGGTTGTTGGGGAGTGGTTGGCGAGGCTGGCTGGGGGTGCGGCGTGATGTGAGGAGACGTGAGGGAGTGGATGTGTGCTACTGAACGTTTTGCTGCGTGGGACGAGGTTTCTCGAGGACGTGTGGAGTGGGGAATGTGTTTACCCTATTCGCAAGCTGTATACACGCGTTCGTACCTTTCAAACGTGGCACTCGATACACGATGAGAAGTCCAATGTCCTGTTTTGCAACTCACGCACGGTATTATGAACTCATGCTCAAGCCCCTATCAACAACAAGAAAACTCCTATCAAAGATACGGTATTGCTACACTTCCTCCCAAGCATACGGAACAGTATTCCTATTCTTACCTAGATATGCACATAGCCTATTCACTATTCATCAAGTTCAATCCTTTCAGTTCAGAGACCCTCAAGTAACCTGTTGTTGTTACCAATATATAGGGGAATGTGTGTACATAAGCCCGAAGCTCTCGAGGGCTATGTCGATCTGTCGACCGCGGATTATCGAATATCCATGCATGTACAGCAACCTGATCTGCTCTGGGCAGGGCAGTGTTTTTAGCCCTTTCACCCTATGACATAAAGTCCGTCTAGCATCTTGCTGAGCTTTGGGATATGTTGTGAGACCAAGCATGGATATGAGGGGGTTTCCCGCGCATGTTCACCAGAAAGGGTTCTTCTTTCGTCTGGCAAGCCGGTTGGTCTTTCCACTCCAAGATTAACAGAGCCAAAAACCAACAAGTCCACTGCCTGCACAAACATGTCTTACATCCAAACTCCACTTACCTTCCACACGACATAACATAACAACTTACCCCGTGAAAACTCCTACACACCACCATCTCCCTCCCTCGGCATACATTAAATCTTGGCGCGGTGCATCCGCATATTACGGTACTGTTTGTTGGGAATGAAGGGCTTGAGTGATGTAACGGGTTCCAGAAATGTAGGAGTGGAGAGGAGGTGTAGTTAAAGTATGGTTCGGGAAAAGGTGGGGCCTCGCACGGTGATGCACTACGCCTTACAGTGACCAACTACACGGTGACATTTTCTGACGGAACATTCGCATCAATAATGTTGAACCAAACTATCACGTACACAACATCAATCATATCAACGATTCATTTCATCTCATCCCATCTCATGCATCGCTAGATCCCCAACATACCCAACAACCCAGACCATGACCCCAAACGCCACCCTCCATCCATCCGTCTAAAACCCACCCACAATCCTCTTAACAACCCTCCTCGGCCCCTCGCCGCTAAGTTGAACCTGCCCCTCCGCCTCAGCACTCCTCAGCACCTCCAAGAACTCCGCGTTCTCCACCTGCTCACTCGCCCCCTCCCTAACATGCCTAACCAATTCGCTCATGCGGACGTTGTGGCCCGCACTACCCATCTCATCGAGCGCGGCCAGTACCGCGCGCTTAAGATCTTCCTTGCGTCTGCGATCGCCTGTGCTGGTGCCTTCGGTGAGGAGGCTCATATCGATGAGGCCCGTTCTGGCATCGGTGGCGGCTTGTTTGAGGGCGGATTGAATGAGGCGGACGGCTTCGTGCACGTCGTCGTCTGTGACGACTTCCGAGAGGCGCATTTTAGCGTGGGCTTCTGAGAGGCGGATCATAGATTCGAGTTGACGCGTGGTGGCTGTGATGCGGCGCTCCTGGGAGCGGATGTCTGCGCCGAGGGCGCGCATGGCGACGTATGCGTCGACGAGGGCTTTTTGCGCGGGCTCGGTGATTTTGGGGTGGATGTTGGAGCGCGCGTATGAGATGTATGAGGTGAGGAATTCGACGGGCATGACTTCGTTTTTGGTTGCGTTTTGCGGCGTGTCTTCGAGGTACATGCCGACGAGATGGCGGGCGAGGCGACGGTCGTTTTGCTCGTCGATGCGGTCGAGGACGAGGTATACGAGGTCGAAACGTGAGAGGAGTGTGGGGGGGAGGTCGATGTTCTGCGGGACGGGGAGGTTGATGTTGTACTTTGAGCCGATGGGGTTGGCGGATGCGAGGATGGAGGTACGGGCATTGAGGGTGGTGATGATGCCGGCCTTTGCGATGGAGACTGTCTGCTGCTCCATCACTTCGTGAAGCACGGATCGAGTGGATTCGGACATCTTGTCGAACTCGTCGATGCAGCAGACACCACCGTCGGACAGGACCAAAGCACCAGACTCGAGCACTAGCTGGCGCGTCTCAGGATCGCGAGTGATGTACGCAGTGAGACCTACGGCGGAGGAACCTTTTCCAGAAGTGTACACACCACGCGGTGCGATTCTGTGCACGTACTGCAGAAGTTGAGACTTGGCAGTAGACGGGTCACCACAAAGCAGGACGTTAATGTCACCTCTGTATCTCGGGCTACCGCCCTTCTCAAACTGCTTATTCGTGCCACCAAAGAGCTGGAGCAGAATACCCTTCTTAACGTCGTCCATTTCGTGGATACTGGGCGCAAGTGAGCGGGAGAGAATCTCATAGACTTCCGGACGGGCAGCCATTGCCCTGATCTTGGCTTCTTCCTCTTCGGAGACCTTGCGAGTCTCCTCGATGTCACCAGCTGCATGCTCGGCGAGCTCTTCCTCAATAGTCGATGCATCAATACCCATGCGCTTCTTGTCGACCTTCTGGATATGCAGTGCATCAACGTACGTCTTGAAGATGTTCTTGACTGATCGCTGACGGGGATTGATGCGGACCTGATTGCACTTGAAGATGCCCGTGATCTCGACTCTGTCACCAGCTTTGCACACATCGACCAGCTCGTCGTACGCGCAAAGGGAGACAGAATGGGGTGTCTGACCGTCGGGAACATTGTCTGGGGTTTCCTGGAGCTTGATGACTTGCTTATTCGCGAATCCAGAGCGGTTGTGCACGATTTGCATGGAGTTGGGTGACTCGCAGGCAGTGCGAGGGCACTTGGTAGGCTCTGTGATCTTGCCACGGTCAATGTCGACCCTGACAGAATGATTACAAACGGCGCATCGGAAGAAAGCTGCACAGATTAGCAGAGGCAAGATATACTCCTTAGAGAACCAACTCACCGTCTTTCATGTCAGGAATGATAGGGGTGGTTCTAATCACCAATCCCTTCACGCTAACCAACTTGTCCATATCGCCAGGGTTCAGCTCACGCAAATTGATGGTGTTGTCAAGCCCAAACGGCCTGACGTTGTAGGTCTTCTGGTCCACCTCACTGACTAGGTTGGGGATATCCGCAAACGGAGCAGGTGATGGGGCCCCAGGCGTAGGTGCATCCGAGCTGAGCATAGGCGGCAGAGAGCTTGCATCGCGAGTCCTCGATGGCGCATCACGTTGTGCCTGGGAGAGCTGGACCCTCATTTCCGCCATGCGCTTCTCGGCAATGTCCAACATAGTGTCCTTGATGGCCACATCCATGATGGGGATGATCTCATTGGGGTAGGCTTGCAGCTGATGCCACAACTTCCTCGTCGGCGGGTAAGCTTTGAGATTGCGGGCGTCCAAATTCAATGGCGTAACTCCAAGCTCGAGCATCATCTTCATGATCTCAACATACTCTCGTGCCATGGCGGGATGGTCGGCCGGCAGACTCATGCCCTCCTCGAGCTCACCGTCCTGGATCAAACGGTACTTTCGCTGGAAGTTCATCAAGAAGTCCTTCATGGCATGTCTGGCGTCCACAAGCGACACATTGGTGCCCCAGATGACCCGAGAAGAGTTGCCGCCCAGCACATCCGCATCTGAAGTATCCGGGTTGAGATTCGAAAACGTCGCGGTATCTGACGCGTCGTGGACCGCCATGCCATTCTCGTCAACAAACAGCCTGCGACGCCGACCGCCCGTGGATGGAGCACCAAACACATCAGAATGGATATCGCTGCGTCGGTTGCGCGTCGCCGACTCTGCGCCACGGACAAAGAGTGCGCTGCTGCTGCTGTGGGGGATATCGGTGTTCAGTCCATTGCGGGCTCGGCCAGGACTGGAGCTGGACGCGTAGTGGATGGGGGAAGAGTCTGCTCATATTAGCCACACATTCACCCCAAAGTCTCTGATACTGCCCACCTCCAATGTTCATGGCGCTAGCCTTCGGCGTCGCACCGCCATCGCTCTCTTCGGCGCCGTTTGCTGCTCCCGGATCGCCGCCATTCGCAGGCGACGAGCGGAAAAAGAGCGGCGATTGCGTGGATGTCGTCTGGAAGCGGGTGTTCCTCGGCGTGGCCTGCAGTCCCCGCGACGAAGACTGCTGTGAAGCTTCGGCGTGCAATTGTTCCTCTGGACCAGGGCTGCTAGCAGGGGCCTCTGTATTTCGGGTGCTGCGTCGGGGGGTCGCCGAAGCGGAGGTGCGCTGCGTGCGCCGCTTAGTCGGGGAAGACATTGCTGCGCCGTCCTCTGCGTGAGAGAATGCAACGCCGAGTGTGGATAGGGAGGGGTGGTGTTGCTCGACGCGTCGAAAGGAGCGGGGCGCGTAAAGTGGCTGCTAGCGTCCAGGGCACTTTCATCGATAACCACATTCCACGTTAACCCAGCAACGAAGCAAGCACGACGAGCATACTACACCAGCATATAACGGCAAAAGCACATTACAACATACAGCCGACTTCATACACGTTCCACGCCACAAACCACCAAAATAAACCCCACCATGGCGCCCCCCTCCAAACTCGCAATCTCCACCTCCGTCGTCACGCGCCTCGTCAAAGAAGAAGCGTCCTACCACAAGGAAGCCGTGCAGCAAGCCTCGCGCATCGCGAAACTCGAGAGCAGCCCCGGCGACGAGAATGCAGAGTACACGCTGAGACAAGAGGTACGCTAACCATCCTTCCCTTCAAAAAGAAAGAGAAAAAGAAAACCAAAACTCCACGTGCAAGTTTGAATGATGACTCAACGGCGAAACTCCGACGCGTCGGACTTTCTTGCGCGGCTAGCTGTGACGTAACTGAGACAGCGCTGAGTGGAGGGCGGGTTACGGCATCTCGCGTAGTTAACATGTAATACAGCGACAAGCCCTGCAGGAAACCAAGAACGTGCTTCCTAGCATGAAGGCCAAGATCGGTCAGGCGGTTGAAAGGCTGGAGGAAGAACTTGTATGTTGAGTTGTTCGAATGGCCTAGGGGGAAGATGAAAGCTAATCCATCTACGTAGGAGGTTAGTGGGGCAGATGCGCCCGACGCGGAGGTGACGAAGGCGAAGGAAGCGATTGCGAAGGGTAAAGAGGCGATGCAGGAGAGTGCGTAGGTGGGGATTATGAAAGTCGTGAACGGCATGCTGATAGGGACGAGCATACTGATGAAGCATACTCATAGAGGAGGGTATTGGAGTCTACAGATGGACGTCTGAAACGAGAAATGAAATGCAGCCAGAACACCGCGCTATGCCGAAAATATAAGACCTGAATGAGATCCGTTCCGAAAGGGATCGAGAAAACGAGGCCGCTCACGAACCAAGAAGTTTCGTCCGTCTTCATCGTAGCGGTCATAAGCCATCGCGTACTCGTCCCGCTCACGACTCGTCCATCTTGGCCTCGCTGTCGTCTTCGCCTTCTTCCAGATCTTCTCCCTCTTCTAACCCAGAAGAATCGTCATCTTCATGCCCCGCTTTCGCATCCAAATCCGCCATGTCGGTATCCTCATGAACGCCAGACCTAGCAAGAGACGGCGCAGGGCTCTGATCCCTAGAAAGCGCCCTCAACCGATCCTGCGGTGGAACCCTGAGTGTGGAAGAGCCCTCTCCGCTCTGGCTGACGTGAACCGGCGTCATGCCACCATCTGGCCGCGGAGTGCCAACATGGCTCACATCTCCCCTAGAGGTGCTGCCTTCAACATCCCCATCCTCATCTCCATCCTTCATCATGCCCTCCTTGCGCTCCGCCTCTTCCTTCTCATCCTTAATCATCCTCAGCATCTCTCGCGCCTCCTCTTCAATCCTGCCAAACTGCATCCGTCGCTCGCTCCACGTGTTCTTCGCAGACTGAATCTCCCACTCCAGCTCCGCAATCTCCTCGTCCAGTTTCGCATGCGCAAGCGCCTGCTCGTCCCGTGGTTTCAGCATCTTGCTGCTGGTAATCTTCTCCGTCAACTCGTCGTACGTCTTGCGCCCCGCAAGCGTCTCCTTGGCCTCGACCAGATCCACCCTTAGCTGTTCGATAGTGTCTTTGACATGTTGTTGTTTGGTCGTGATACCATCCTTCTCCACCGCATACCGTTTGCGCTCCTCGACATTACTCTCCGTTGTGAATTCCGCGCGCACAATAGCAAAGTCGAGCAACGAGAGCTCGTTCATTATGTCTCGCCGCCAGATGGCGACTTTGTGCGCTTTTTGCTCATTCGAGAGCGGTTTCGAGGCGGCTTCTTCCTGTTCGGGCGTGGCATCTGGTGGTGGGGAGGGCAGCTGGGCGCGCGCGACAGAGAAGAAGTTTGGTTTTAGCAGGCGATCGGCTGTGTGCATGTATGGGCGTGCTTCGACGGCGAGGAGACGAGAGACATTGTGGAGCGCATCTTGAGACTGTTAATGAGGCTTTGTGTTGGACGTGGGAAGCTTACCTTCGTCTGGTTGCGAAAGCAGTGTCCAGTCATTTGGCGCCATGACGTGTTGATCTCTTTGCCGAGGACAGGATTATGATGGGCGTGGAGGGTTGGAATGTCGAGATGCTGACCAAGTCGCGTTCCCCATCGCGAAGTCGAAGTTCGAGGCTGCCAAGGCGCGACTCGCAGCTCACCCGCGGTTCGCCAAACCGTCTCCACTCACTGCATCTCGGGCGCGCGTCCCATGGTTGCAACCACGTCTGCCTATTAAACTTGTCATCATGGGCACTCGATAGTAATACAAATGCTGTGATTGTCCGAACCAGTCTTGCCCCCGTCTCGGGCTTTCCTGTCCCAACATCTGTCGCTTTGAATACTGCTATTCACCACATCGACCACCGTCACTTACTGCCAAACAGCCTTGTTCGTAGCTGCTTTCACACTCCGCAGCGTATCGCACTTCTTGACGCACTTGAACCAGTCGGCTCGCCTTCAAAATCCCCAACACTTCGCCATCAGGCCAACCGGACTCGACTGGACCTCGCCGCGTCATCTACCCACCATGCCTGTCTCGACTCTCTTCGAGCTCGCCCGCCAGCGCCTGATACAAAACATCACCCTCCTCACAGACGTCGGCGACATCCCCTACTCCTTCCTCGAGCCCGTCCTCCGGCACATCCAAAACCCGACGCAACTGCAAGACCTCGAGGAGAACTGCCCCCAAATCTGCGGCGAGACAGGCTCTCTCTGGATACGCTTCATAAAGCGCGACATACCCGACTACGCCAACAAGCCCCACGAGCCGCGCGACCCGAGAAACTGGAGCAAAGTCTATCGAAAATTGAAGAAAGATGCCGAGCGCGAGAAGCAGGAGCAGGGCGAGGCGTTGAAGGAGCAGATGCGCGCCCTGCAGAACGACCGCGCGCAGAACAAAACTCTGATCGTGGACAGCAAGGTCGGGTACGGATCGAAGCCGCAGGGTTTCGCGTTCGGAGGACGCAGCTGGGGGCTTTCAGGGGCGCCGGCAAAGACGGGGAAAGTGGGCATGGATAAGTTGCGGAGGGGCATGTTTGACCGGAACAGAGAGCGGCCAAAGGCAGCACAAATGCCGGCACATGTCCTCGCGCAGAGAAAGAAGTTTGTCCAGGCGCCGGAGAGGATGGTGCGAATGGCGGAGAACGCAAACGAAGGCCAGAGGAACATGGTCGTGTCGAAACCGGCTGCTGCGTCGGTTGCTACCAGGAAAGAAGGCCTTCCTGCACTGAGTAAACCGCATATCACTCAACGACCTGTGCCGCAGCAAAGTGCTGCTCCGCCGCGGACCTCCCTACCTACTGGACAGCAGTTTCACGCTCCGAAATTGAGGCCGACTCAGGAGGCGGGCGCCGTGGCACCCCCGAAGAGGAAGAAGGAAGAGGCGACTATGTTCCATCAGCCGAAGCGGAGAAGAGTTTAGATGGTGGCTGGCACGTTCTTGTCGTCTTGTTAGATGGGGTTCTCTGTTCATGGAGGTGTCTTTGTGTGAAGGGCTAGAGCTGTTTAATTGTACAAACTGGACAGAGGCGCTCATAGATTGATCACGACTTGGGGGATGAGGCGTATGTTGGCTGGGTTCTGCATTCGGCGGCGTTGGTACGTCTTTTTGTGTGTTTCGAATACTTTATCTCGTTCTCCTACGCTGTCCATCAATCTTTCGTTTTTTAGTGTTCGGCTTCCATGTCACAACTAATATAGAGAACGATCTTTTTCTCTGTCGGAAACGAAGAAGTGAAAGTTTAGACCGTCACCTCTAGTGAAGTTTCCTTGTTAGGGTGAGAGCCAGTGTACGCGTTAATGATGAGTAGAGAAGCGGTCCACATCAACAATTTTATATATCTTGCTTCACATCTTTTTGTGTCATATCGTCCGTTGCTGGAGAGAACTCGCCGTGTGTTTCTTGTCCTAGTTTCAGAAAGAGATAAGATGAAGCCGCAATGCGTCTTGCGATGCAGTGCTGCACCTGTGATGCACATGGAGGCGGAAGCAAGTTGTGTCCGTCTAGAGGGAGTAGGGTTACGCACTTCCACCCGTTCTCATAAGCCGATCAAAGTATCAGGCGTGAGATAAGAGGTGGTGTGCATCAGTCACGATTTGGCCAAAGACTTGGCGTTGTCAAATGTGGAAAGAGCATTGTGATATCCCACAAACAAACGATTGCTAGAGTTCTCTCTACCTCACACACGACACTGGAGGCTGGCCTCAACTCACCTCCACCGAGCTGACTTCTCACGGGCTGCGTCCACCATGGCGATGACTCACCCGACGAGCACAGCTGCACCTTCGGACATGCCAGAACTCCCATGCAGGATCCTTGATCTGCCGTCAGAGCTAGTTGAGGAGATTTGCAGTCACCTCGACGACCAAGCGCTTCTCGAAGTGCGCTATGTCTGTCATGCTCTCAAAAACCTTTCGACATTCATGTTCGGCACCTGCTTCTTCCAGTGTCTCACAGCTATACTTCACCCGCGTAGCCTCACTAACCTTCTCGAGATTGCTTCTCATCCGACCTTATCTAGGTTCGTACACATCATCACAATCAGCGGCGAACGCATAGGCCACACTATGAACTTGTCAGGACATGAAAATGAGGATGTGCTTCACGATCTGCAGACTAGCATGGAAGAGTCTGGGATGGACCGCATGATCCTGACTGAAGTGTTTCGAAAACTCAGCCTAACGTGCGTTCGGATCGACGAAGAATCGTTCTACTATGCACGTTACGGGTTCGACGCCGTGCTCTGTGGACGTAAACATTTTATTGCAGGTAATGACGGTCCAAACAGCCGTCCCAGGTCTGATTCGAACCGAGCGTTTGATGTGGTCTTCACCTCGCTCAAGAATGCCGGAGTTCAGAACAACATCAGGATCCAGCTTGCCATCAACACAAATGGGGAACGTCCATACCGTACCAGCTACTTCGATCCGTCTTCTGAGGACTGGAACAGCGAATTCGCCGCGAACGTTGAGGTAATCGATCTATGCACAGATATGAAATCCAGCTGGCTGCCGGATCTTCTTCATTCTACTCACAATCTGGAGCATCTTGCCGTAAAAGGTACGCCTGCCACTCTCCAACTGTCTCACCCTACCCACGGTTTGTTCACATGGCCCAAATTCCACACCCTCAAGGTGGACAATACTGTTCTTGATACCACTACCTTTGTCCATTTCCTCGGCGCCCACCTGGCCACTCTTTCATCGTTGCAGCTGGAGTTTGCCTATCTCACGACGGGAACCTGGCAGGACCCGTTTTGTGTTATCAAGAAAATGGCGAAACTGAACAATCTCTACATGCACTTTTTGCACGAAGAGTTGGCCACCCCTGACAGCAAAGGACCTTTCGATCTCTTCGATAGTGACAAAGAACCTGGAATAAGTGAAGCTTACATCTTCAACGATGCTGATGTTGTCTCTGCTGTTTCCACGATCCTATCGGATTTCCGGAGCGTCTTTTTCAAGGATTCACCATATCGAGCGTTCGTGGTTGATCTCAGGTTGGCCTATGCTGTCGTAGGAGGCAGGGTTGAGCTACATGAAGGAAAGTGGAGGGCCAAGGCCCGAGAGAGGGAGGTTTCGCTCGTCGGGCCTTCCGGTCCTTTGCCTACGCAAAAAGATTTGGGCGCCTAGAGCGCACATGGCACACGACTTGAGATCAACTGAAGAGCTCGATCCGTCTGTATGGGCATTCTTCGGAAGGGGCAGTCAAATGGTATACGGCTCTTCATGTATATAGTAATCAAGGCATGATGGTACAATATGGATCAGGGCTAGGGCAGGACGTGTAGCTATGGACGAAAGACGGGTCTCTTGTAAGACTCATCGCAAGAGGGTCTGCTCAGGTCAATATGTTTTGTAAAGCACTCATGAATGTCACATGGAACAGACTATCGAATACGAAGCTCTGTCACCTCTACATGTTTCGTCATGATCAAGTTTTCGATGTACGCTCTCACATCAACATAAAGTATAAAACTTGATGGTAGTTTTCCGTTTCTAAACGAGCATTCACGCCCTCAGTCTGGGTCAGGAACTGGTTGCAAGGTGGTTCTTGTAGCCTCGTAGACCATTATCAAAGACTTGGAGTCGTGCTTCGTCGCGTTTACAACATTCACGCCTTATAGGCGAGCTAGTAGCTATAAATATTTGTCTGATTGATTGGAAGGGGTGCGGGTGTGAGATCAAACAAAAAAGGCTAGCGTCGGAAGTCTTTCCCGCGAATGATCATGACGATTTGGAGTTGCGATAGCAGACATCAACACTCACTTCCTACTTCCCAATATTCTGACGATGGCATCTGATACACGGCCGAGGATACTCCTGTTCGGCGCTGGAAGTGTTGGCACCATCTACCTGTGGCTGTTGTCCAAAGTCTCCTCCACCACCGCCGTCTGCCGTTCCAACTACGATGTCGTAAAAAGAGATGGCTTCACCATCAACTCGTCCATCTTTGGTAAAGGCATCCATTTCAAGCCAAACATTGTGCGTGACTGCGAAGAAGCAGCCTCAGAATCTTCGCAACCATACGATTACATCGTCGTTTGTAGCAAAGCCATCCCGGACACATTTCCCAAACTCATCGCCCCTGCCGTCACATCGAAACACACAGCCATCGTTCTCATACAGAATGGCGTCGGCATTGAAGAAGAGTATTCCGTCGCGTTTCCTGACAACCCCATTATAAGTGGCGTGGTGTACCTCCCCGTCGCGCAACGACCCGCAGGCGTAATCAACCACGGTGAAACGGAGAAACTCCAGCTAGGAAGCTATCCCTCCACCGCGCCAGGCGACCAAGCATCAGCACTTGTAAAACTCATCCAAACCGCCGGCGGCACAGCAGAGTTCTACACAGACATCCAACCCAAACGCTGGACCAAGCTCCTCGTCAACGCATCCTGGAACCCCATCTGCGCGCTGACCCTCAGTAAAGATACTGAAATACTCGAGTCATCCCCAGAAGCTACATCTGTGGTTTTGGCCGTTATGCTGGAGATTCAGGCTGTGGCTGCTGCGTACGGCTACACAGTCCCAAGGGAAGAGGTGGATTTCCAGCTTGGGAGGGCGCACGCGAGGATCCCGATCGGTGCTGGTATCAAGCCGAGTATGCTGCAGGATATCGAGATGAGTAGGAGGATAGAGATTGAGGCGATCGTTGGGAATGCGGTGAGGATGGGGAAGGAGAAGGGTGTCAAGTGTACGGGCTTGGAGATGCTGTATGTGCTTGGTAAGGCGTTGGATTTGCAGGTTGGGAGGAGGTGAAGCGTATAATAGTGGATGTCTATGGCGAGTTTTCTGTCTGACTATGGGTTTACTGTTGTCGATTACGATATCATCACACTGCGTCCGCTTGTCTAGATCTGGAATTATCTTTGACTTTATCAAAACTTCTGTTCGACGTCCTTCAGGAGTTACCCGCCGTGGCCGTACGAGCTATCTCGCGGGCGTTTGCGAGGATCCTATCCAAGCAAACCACACTCCGTTCACGTATGTGCTGGAGAGCTGCTGGAAACAAGCAACCCCAATTCTACAAAGCACCCTGGATACCCCCAACGCACAATCCCACTCTTCTCCTCTCCTCGCTTGTCCCTGGGTTCCATTCCGATGCAGCACATCAGGGTCCTTTCCCTCGCGCTCCCACACCGCAGTCACCAACGCCAAGCCGAGCCTCTTTCACTGCGACTCAGATTGACCGCGCAATGAGCACTGACGTATTGTTCCGTGTTGTCGCCGTGACCCTATTGTTCTCGTGCCAAGTCGCGGCCTTTACAAACACAGTTGTCGAACTTTTTTCCCTAACTTGCAACGTCCACGTTCTACGCCTACCACTCTCCAGCTACTGCGGATATACCGACATACTCTCTTCTTGCTGCTTTCGACTTTCTAGCTGTCGACCTTCTAGCTGTTCATACCGACGTACGCACACGTTCGCAACAGCTGTTCGCCCGCGTTGCTGCATACAGCGATTTTCTACTTGGTACGTGAGTCTCTATCTTGCGTGTATTCAGAGTGCCTCAGCGGGCTCGCACATCCTGCGTGACGTTTAGACGACGGCTTGGGTCACCTTACGGTGTGCCATGGCGAGCCCTAGAACGTTGCTTTCGCCCACTGTTCCCCTCAACCACGTTCTTCTGCTGACACTTGCTGTCCCCCAGGCTTTGCGTAGTCTTCCGGAAAGATGCTGCTCTCGTTCGTTGCGACGCTTCTCCAGGGCTTCTATGCCGTCTTCTTGCTGGCTGAGGAGTTCCTCTCTGAGGATGTACCTCTTTTGCTCGAAGATGCGCACCAAGATGTGCTCGCTTTCCTCACGGTCATGTCTTCCGACGACTGGGAGATCTTCTATGTCGTCACCGGGATGATCGTTCTCTGGGTGCTCGGATGGGGCTGGTACTTCGACTTCAGCTTCGAGAACTGTGAGTGTATTCACCTGCCTGCTAGTGCTATATGCTGACAGATACGATTGCAGTCCTGACCTACCTTGACACCACTCGCGGAGACAGGTATGCACTGCCGGTGCACGACATCAATGCTGCTTCTCCACCCAAGACTCGTGCTGCTTCTTCTTCCCCGAGCAAAGTCGCTTCCACAGAGCACTCCCCGCACACCAGTGCGAAAAGAGACTCTCTGGAGCGCCCGGCTTTTGAGTGGCCGGAGTGGATGTCCCACTTCAACCCCAACTCTCCCCGCGACCCTCCCGGAGGCTACTACAAGCCGAACATCTTCTCCCGGTTGAGACGGGCACAGGAGCAGCCAGCCGTCGTCAAGGAGCCAGGAGAGCCTCAAGGCCTTGTCGTCGAGGAGAATGAGTCCTCTGAGAGGGTTGAAGTCGCCAACCCTACTCATGACTCCGCCTTCCTCGTCGACGTTCTGGCCACTGAGCCTCTCCAAGCTCCCTCGTCGGTTTCTGCTCCTGTGTTTGCCCCTCTCGCTGAGCCCTTCCAGGCTCCTCCTTCAGCACCCCCGCCAGTCTTCGTTCAGGCCACTGTAGTAGCCCAAGCCCCGGTTCCAGCCCCCACTCCATCTCCAGAGCTGATGCTCGCATCCGTCTTCCAGAACCTCGAAAACGGGGCAGATGTCCTCCAGTTGGCAATGCTTCTCTTCCTCAGCCTCGTGTCACTCGATGACTACCACTCCTCGGCCGAGAGCATTGCCAACTGGATCGACAATGCGTATCAAGCCCTCTTGCCTTTCTTCCCACATGGGTTACCCTCTGGCGCGTCAAGCGAGATCAGCTGGATTTCGTGGTTCAAGCAATTCTGGGACGAAATCCAGCCCATGGGGTATCTGTTCCAGGCGCACCACGACTCAAGGCTGATGACTTTCTATCGAGGCGTCCTCACTTTTGGCCTGTACTTGGGCTTGACGCTTGAAGCGCCCAACTTCACTCCGCCTGCGCCGCCGCCACCACCACCACCGATGATGCAACTTCCGCCAGCGCTCTCGATACAGCACGAGCAGGTTGTTGCTGAAACGGTTCACGACGCCCCCCAAGCCCGTTCAACGCCCTCACTGGTCTCTGACTTCAACACCTCAAAGGCTCGCCAGCATCAAAAGTCCAACCAGATAGTCCATCGGCCACAGGGCGTCAGGAAATCGACCTCTGCACGTGTATTGGTTGCACTGCCGGCTTCTGCGCCTGAAAAGGAAGCAGAACCGGTCTCTGTACCGATACAAGCAGCAGCGACGATTTCCAGACAAGCCCCTGTCCAGCCAGATGATGAACTGCCTCCGATGCCAACAAGCTTTGAGGATGATGATGAGATCTCTGAGATGAGCGCAGATACGCTGAAGGGGTTGACTCCGAAGTCGTTTGGATGGGTTGGTGACGACCAGGTGGGTGAGATGCTCTGGGGGAAAGGTTCCTTCAAAGGATACGACCTTCTCTTACGCGGCGACGAGAATTCCTGGACGCGAAAGTCCGTGGAGAAACAGCTCAAAGATATGGCCTTGTTGTTCAAGAGGGCGACCATCGTGCTGTTCCTCCAAGCGAACACGGAATTTTGTCAATTCCACTCCGAGCCCGCTCGACTTGTCACCAATGTCAAGCACTTCGTCACCAAAGCTGGGCGTATGACGAAGCATTGCGGCGCAGATGCATCGGCGGTTGCGACCTGGTCGCCATGGATCGAGGCATGCGAGTTCTTTCACCAGAGCTTGCGTGCCAACTCGGAAATCCAGACCAGGTTGAGGAAGAACTTCGGCATTGATGGCTACACGTGGGAGAGCCTCGAGGAGAGGTGGGATGAGTACAAACCGCTCTGGGTTTCAGATTTGATGGACCCAGAGGAGGCACTCGGTGAGTGACATCTCCTCATCTTACTTTGATACTTTTCAGCTAATCTCGTATCCAGCTTTCATGAACGCAGACGAGTAGGGACGGTGCAAAGATCGCCGTCGCCGCCTGGAACCCACCTGACCAGCACAACTGCCACCTGCCTGAAATGTCATTGTCGGCGTCAGGATGCCTCAACAGAATTGGCATGAGCTTCCAGATCGAGTTGTATGTATGCCTCTTGGCTCTACCTTTTTGGCGCAATGGCTGACTCTTGTACAGTGTCTGTCGCCTTTGATTCTGTATACCGCTTTCGCTCCGCTGCGCCAGTAGACCCTGTCGGCTGCAGCACTACTCTTATTCTTCTTTTTGGCTTTGCGTAAGCTTACTGCCTTCTCCACGCCTCATATGTTGACACGGGTCGACCCCAGCACAATTATTGGACTCGTCAGTCGATCGATGCGATGGGAATAAGGAATGGGCCAATCGCATCACATCCGCAGTCGATTGATCAGTCAGGTACCGGGCGCGTTATCAGCGTTTAGTCAATGCGAACGCTCACGAAATGACTCAACCTCGGAGGCATCCGGGGCATGTGTGGAGAGAACAACGAACTTTGTACGAAGGACGGAGTCCAATCCTACGCTAAACGTCTCTTCCCTAGTCACCCGATGAAGGACCGATCCTCACGCTACTCGCTCAATTCTTCAGCCGCCACCGTCATGCCCGAAACAGAACAGGCTTAACTATGCTAAGACGCAGAAAATTCCTGCCCTGCGGCTCTGCGGCACGCTATTCTACACTTCCATGTCGCCGTAGTATCGAGTTTCCCGTCGCTTGAAGCTCAACGCGAATACGCAGCGAGCCGTCCATAACCGATGACATTAGTCGCAAATTTTCCAGCCGGCTGCAAATCATTCCACTTCTCACGGATCACCAGCGGCATCCGGCGCCGCGCAGACGACGATGATACCCGCGAAATGTGGACCGCGATGAAAATTTGAATGTCCAAACATTGACTGGAGCGTCGCGTGCACAGGCACACAGGCGACATTTTTGCTCAGATGAGCGAAAGTTTGGCTGATGGAGTCGCGCAATATGACCCCACTAATTGAAGTGGATGCGATTGAAATACCTCCAGGTCCCCAGTCGTGAGATTCATCTCATTGTGACTGTGCGGTATTGTCTTTCAAGTTCCACATACTGATCGAGAGAAAACTCTTGGTCGACTCATCACTAAGATGGCTTCTGCTTCTGAGGAGATCACGCCTAAGATGGACAACCATTCTGAAAAGTCGGCTCCACACTCAGCAAGCGATGTTGAGAAGCAAAGCCAAGCTCCAGCAGAGGAGCTGCAAAGGAAGCTGTCAAGTCGCCATCTCCAGTTCGTCGCAATTGGTGAGTCGACCCATCATTGAGCATATCCAACTAGCCATCCTAACATTCTCCAGGCGGAACAGTAGGCACTGGTGTCTTCATTGCCAGCGGTGGCTCAATCGCAACTGCTGGTCCAGTCGGCGCCCTCCTCGCATACGTCTTCGTCGGCACATTGGTCTACTCCGTCATGCTCTCGCTCGCAGAGATGGCAACTTACCTCCCAATCTCTGGTGCTTTCACGCAATACGCCGTCCGATTTGTCGATCCTAGTCTCGGTTTCGCCATGGGCTGGGTCTACTGGTTGTCCTGGTCTATCACATACGCACTCGAACTCGTCGCGGCTGGTCTCATTGTCCAATGGTGGAACCAAGACTTGAGTATTGGCATCTTCATCACCATTTTCTGGGTCCCCATTACTTTGATCAACTTCTTGCCAGTCGATGTTTTCGGCGAGTTTGAGTTTTGGTTCGCATTGATCAAGGTCGTTGCGTTGGTCGGGTTCTGGATTTTCGCCATCATCATGAACGCTGGCGGTGTCGGTCCGCAAGGCTACATCGGCTTCAAGTACTGGAAGGAGCCTGGTGCTTTTGCGCCCTATCTCGCTGAAGGTGCTGTCGCGAAATTCGTTGGTTTCTGGGCCGTCCTGATCCAAGCCGGATTTGCCTTCCAGGGAACAGAGCTTTGCGCCATCGGTGCAGGAGAATCCGCCAACCCGCGCAAGACCATGCCGCAAGCCATCCGCCGAACTTTCTGGAGCATCTTCACCCTTTTCGTGTTCACCATTTTCTTCATCGGCATCCTCATCCCATACGACAATGAGAACATGACGCGTGGCGACACCAACGCCGGATCATCGCCCCTCGTCATCGCCATCCAACTCGCGGGCGTCAGCGCTCTCCCCGACATATTCAACGCCATTCTCCTCACCGTCGTTCTATCCGCCGCTAGCTCCAACGTGTACTCCGGAAGTCGTATCCTAGTCGGTCTTGCAGAGCGCAACTGCGCCCCTGCTTTCTTCAAGCGCACAACCAAACGCGGCGTACCGTTCTACGCCACCGCCGCCACCGCCGCAATTGGTCTTCTGGCCTACATGAACCTGTCATCCAATGGCTCGGAAGTGTTCAACTGGTTACTCAACATCACAGCTGTCGCAGGCTTCATCGCGTGGTCCTGCGTGTGCATCTGCCATCTTTGCTTTATGCGCGCCCTCAAGGCTCAGAACATCGATCGCGACACACTTCCATTCAAGTCATGGGGCGGCAAGTACCTTGCATGGTACGCGCTCATTTTCTGCGTCATTATCATCTTCACGCAAGGTTTCACTGCTTTTGTTCCCTGGAGCGTGAGGGATTTCTTCATCGCATACATCAGTCTTATCCTCTTCGTTATTCTGTACGTCGGCCACAAGTCAATTACGAGGAGCAAGTTTGTCAAGGCTACCGAGGCGGATATCTTTTCGGGACAGTTCAAGGAGGAGTTGAGTGAGAACTGGGAGGAGAGCTCGGCGAGTGGGTGGAAGAAGATGTTTAGCAAAATCTTCTAAGTATAATGAGTTGGGTGTTTTTGTTTTTGGGTTTGAGTCGTTGCATTGGGAGCGGGTTTTGAAAAAGTGCTATGAGCTGCATGGTTGGGCGGGTTAGTTGCATTGCATGGTGTTTTAGGTTTGATGACGTTTTAGCTGAGCGAGATACCTTTGTTAATGACCACTTTCTACTGTTCATTGTTTTCTCGTCTCTTTTTCTTGTTTGGGCTATAATCGAGACTCGTAGTACAAACCTCAAGAACCTGACTTCGATTAGGATGATCCTGAGTAAGATTGATTGGGCATCTGAGTGAATGCATGAAAGCTTATTAATATTGAACCACGTCATTGCAAGATCGATCATGGTCTGCCTTAGCTGCATTTGAGTAAAGTAAATGTGCGGTAGTAAGATGAGCGGACCGTTTCGTCAAAGACAGGTTTGACTTCAGACGATATCCTTTGTCATGAAAATTTCAGGCAAGGAAAAGTTACATAAATCTCGGGTAATGGGACAGGACTACTCGACCTTCAAATACCTCTTGTGCATCAAATTGGTAATAGCAGTCCTCGTCATAAACATCTCCACCTTTCCATCGATGTCAAGATCCGAATTTCTACCCGTGACTCCACAATGCAGCTAATGTCTTGCATAACATAACGCATATCCACTCAACCACTCAAACGCCACGAATGCAAGATTTCAGGCGATATAGATTGAAGTGCCTGGATCATTGGTCACTTTGTAGAAATGATGTAAATCGCCGCTGTAAGGTACCGGGGTTGCAGACTGGCAGTGAAGGTGTGACGTAGGTCCCTGCAACTGACAGTGCTTGAAACGGGAAGGCGCAATGCACGGGCTAACGGTCAACGGGTCAACGGCCAACGGTGTTCTTCCCACCACAACAACCGTCAACACAACTTCATCGTGAAAATTCGAAGAGCTCGAGGTGCAAAATTGCCTACTATTATTGAACAAGTGGATGTAACATGGACAGAGACACGCAAAGTTCAGCAACAGAAAGAGCGACGCAGCAAGGAACAGCACAAATTCTCCTTGTTCAGGTACCTCTATAACAACCCTGCACTATATCGCTTCTAAGCGACCCGTCATCCGGTTCCAGATGCCATCGTTACCGCACTCTATTCGTTCCGGAACCCTGCACCCCTTTCCTACTCGGAGCTCTCTTATGTGTGATCGACACCCCTATCGTCACCAAACATCTGGTCCAAGGCTATGTTGACACATCTTCGCCACGTTTAGGTGGATTTGTGGAGAACTGATCAGAGGGGCCGATTCGATATGGCCGATACGTCCTGGATGTTTGCGCTATTTGGAATTTGCCCTGATTCTAACGGCTCGAAGTGTGTCCTTGCCCTGACGAGGAGTGTGTATACGTCCGTACATCTCGCTTGAAATCGTCTAAAACGTCCGATTCTGGGAGCCGAGATGCGACTTGGCCCACAACTGCCGCGTCCCCCCCTAGCTTGGCTTCTATTCTGATATCCTGGAGAGGAGCATTGACGCTTAAAGTAAGAACTTGTTTACTCTTCAAGCAATATAATCTCAGCGCCACCTGTGTTCGAGAGTTTAGTTCTAAGGGGTATCGAACTCAAGGTTCTTTGGGGAAATCTCTGTCCCGACATCTGAGGACAAGACTATATTTGCAGGGTCCGTTTCATATGACCTACGTGGTGGTGTAGTGTGAATTCTTCCACATTGGACAGTTCAAGGACTAGTCGCCTGCACGGTCACATCTAGTATTACTGGGAACAGCTAATTCTCCGACACTGGCTGTCAAATGCCTGTTCGAATTATTCTTGTCACGGCAACTATGCCTATGCTCGTCTCAAAAATCAATAGCCTCCAGAGGTGTTCCGCATTTGTATCAGCCACCTACGCCCCTAGGGTAGATTCATTGGAAAGTCAACGATGAGCAACGTCACTTGAGCTCACAGACCAGGCAAGTTGTCGCGAGATGTAGAGGGACTTGATGTTGAACCCCTGACCGTTGGTGACACTAAGGGGTTTATGACAATGCGCAGCCGTTGGTCCATGAACAACGATGACGAAGTGGCCGATGACGATGGCACTGCTATCCCTTGGAAGCTCAATTCCAAGTCATCAGGGCATGAACGTCGAGAGGTATAAGAAGGCCTTCGAATGTCGCCATTTAACTGACATCTCACACCATCAACTCACATTCACATATTCAACACTCCATCCAATCAACACCTCTCAGAACACTATCCAATCACCGAAAAGCTCCCCCAAACAAACTCAAGATGCTCTTCACCACCGTCCTCGCTTTCGCCGTTGGCGCCATCGCCGTTCCCCTCGAGCAACGTCAAACCGGTCTTTGCAGCTCAGGCTCGCCCCTCTGCTGCGCGACCGATGTTCTCAACCTCGCTATCTTGGACTGCGCTGCTCGTAAGTCAATTCTCACCCCATTCCTCACTCTCTCTATGTCCATCTGCGTCAGCATTGCAAGAGTTGAATGTGTACTAACACCGCTCAGCTGATGTCACACCAACGACCGTCAACGGTTTCATCGACACCTGTGCCGCCCAAGGCCAACAGGCCAAGTGCTGCCTTCTGCCCATCCTCGGCCAGGCTCTCATCTGCTCGGATGTGAACCCCACGGCTGCCACTACTACCGCCGCTTAAGCATCTCTATTAGCGGTTGTACATCCGGAGCGCACGATGTGTTTGCAGGAAAAGTAGTTCTTGTGTATTATTAGGTCTGGTGTGACTAGTATTGCTGGGTCCGTATAATCAGGGACCAGGGTTTTGTAGCATCAGATGTAAATTAGTCCGCAATGTATTAATTCGTCCATCAATTTGAGTGTTTGTCTACTGTGATGATGTCTTACTCAAGCTACTGTCGAGCTACGAGACTCTCGGCTGCCTCTCTCTCACCCTCTCCCAACAAACTGCTTTCTTCATCCACCACTTTCGCCTTCTTCTGTTCGGCAGTTACCGATTTCTTCTGTAAACTTATCCAGATAGCAGCACCGATGATCAACACAGCACCGAACAGGCTTTCCACAGGAGGAGTAGTACCCCAGATGACGCGTTCAATGATGAGAGCGAAAACCAGTTGCAAATAAGTCAAATTCGTTGCCCTACCGGCCTTTTCTCTCTGCAACCCCTCAGTAAGTAGGAATTGGAGTAAGAAGCCCGAAAATCCAATGATGGCAATCAAACCCCACTGGGAAAGATTTTCCGGCATCATGAAGTGCAAGTCCGGGTGCACGAGGATGATACATGCGGACCCTATCGTTGCAATACACGCAAAGTAGTTGACGCTTATGAGCGAGTGCGCACGTGTTCCAATGACCCGGATGGTGGCGTATGCCGTTGATGCGCCAAAAGTGCCTAGAACTGCGAGGATGATGGCAAGGCTGCGTTGACTTGAGGACACAGGGACTGTGGGTAAGGTGTCTTTCGCAACGTTGGAAATAACAGACATCAACATGTCAGTGCTTAACACGTCTTGCACGAGATCCTTGTGTTGAGCAGGGAAAAGCCAGGGCGGACGAGCGACGAAGAGCACGCCGGTGAATGCGAGCAGACCAGCTAGAGCTTCTCTCGACGTGAATGGCTCTCTTAGCCAGACGAAGCATACTAATGCCGTCATCGTTGGAATGATGAACGTGATGACTGTTGCATCGGAGAAAAGCAGCCACGATAGCGAGTCTGTTTCAGACTATTAGTTGTCAATTGCTGCATCTCGCCCACGAAATACTCACAATAGAGGCCGAAAATGCCAAAAAATCCAGCCAATCCACGCAGTACCAACAACCCTCTGATGCCTTTTTGGCCGAACGGGAAGTTAGGAACGCGGTGGTAACACATATAGAGAGTCCCCAGAACCGTGGTACACGACATGCGGATGAAGATGATGTGTAGAGCGTGGAATTTGGTCTCGTATCCAGTAGCCAGTAGTTTTGCTGCTGTGTTCATCTGTATTGTTTAGCAATGTCCGCTTCGCAATATCATGTAGAGTGTTAAACACACCACAGAACCGCATGTTTGCGCGAGGAACACCAAAAACAATCCGAAATTCCTTTCGTAGAAGTCTCTCAAGCTTTTTGGTATTCTGCTTCTAGCTTGCGCTGCATCGTTTTCTCTTTCTTGGTCTGTGTCGGGAGCAGGCGGATCTTGCGCCGCAAATCGTGCTGGATTCGTTGTTCCGTATGCCATATTGTCTTGAAAAGCACTAGCCAGATTGAAATAAGATGAGGTCTAGGTCTTAGCAGCAGACCTGAACATATAGAGACTTGGACATGGTTTTCTTGATCAGACGAGCAGAAATCTCATGGCGTCCACGCGACCCATAATGCAAATGCAGTGGCGAATCAGCATTAGCGGCCGTAAGCCGCATCTAGACAGGCTTACGTAACGCTGACTGAGAGGGTTACTTTATCCTGTCTTTTTCCTGGCTTTCCATCAAACGTATTTTCCAATATATCAAGCAGAAGGTACCAATTTAGCTGGATGCGGCGGTGGGAATTAAAAGACACTGCCTGCTCAGTGAAAGACGACCTGCATACTGATTTTTGTCGTTCTCATTGCGCAGTACTTGTGATTATATGCCAGAAGATAGATCTCTTTGTCGAAGGTTGAGTCATTCTCTTTAAACTCCTCGTCTCTCCTTATCTCCTCCAAGCCTTCCTACGAACAACACTTCTTCGGACTTCGATCTCGACTCATGCATATCACATCAGAGTGTTCATTTCGTATGATGATCAACCGTTGTGGCTGTGGAGAAGTGTGGCTGAGTCTTCTACTACCTACACCGATCTTCGATGCATCTTCCATCGACCTTCCATATCTGGTCAATGGTCGAGAAGAATAAGGAATGGCGTCGCCACAACCTTGGCAATGCTGATGTGGTGGCACAGCTGTAAAGCGGACGATCATAATCTTGGTGATCTCAACTCGTGATTGACATACAAGGTATCCATGACGAGTCTACCACATTTCAAAGAAGCTTTTCGCTGGCAAACAAGAAACTGAGGCGTACAAGAAGGTGTAATACCAAGCAAATGCTTGGCTTACAATGTTCCACGAGGGTTAGTTATGACGTAGCGAAGAGCATGAATAGTTGCAGTGTGGACATTTAAATTCGTCATTATGTTACAGTATAGCTGACGCAAAGGTGGTATCGCGCGTGATGGAAACAGAAAAAAAACATAGACATGAAGACGTTACAACCCATCCTCCAATTTACAGTGTAGCTGCATTTCCCCTGCATCATCTCCTAGAGTCCAAGCTATGTCCACAGTCTGACGGCTTCTACTACGCCAAGGCCCAACGCACCAAGTTGCACAGCGCGACTCGGTGTCATGGACACGATGGCACTCGACGTGCTGTTACCGTCGCTAGTCTTGGGTATCTTGGGCTTCTTGCGGGCTTCGAGTGTTCGTGCATCGATCTCAGGTGCCATGTTGGTGTTTGTCTTGACCTCGATGGGTTGCGCGAGTGCTTCTGGCTGAGCAATGGGTGCTGGACTCGCGAGCGCGAGAGTTGCGAAGAGCAGAGTTGTTGCTGCAGCGAACTTCATGATTGAGAGTCGTGAGTGGTTGGACGTGAAATTCGTGGAGTTGGGTGTGCGGAATGAGGTTGTTGTTGATTGCACTTGAGTTTGCGTAAGATTTGCCAACAGTGACAATTCGGTGATGAGTATGATTTTGGTGCAAAGTAAAGCTGAGATGAGGTGTAGTATGATGTTGTTAAGAAAAAGAGTCCTGCGAGTGCCAACTTATATGTGAGATCAAAAGCGAGCGGTGGGAATTATGACAGAGTAATATCGCCTGCCTGCGGATCACTGACCGGTGACTGCAGGCCTGATCGTACAGCACACAGCCAGCCTGATTGAAGCCATCGTGACGTCGAGAGTAGTCCTCCAATTGTACTTCGTGGTTGGAGACTTGGCTCTCTTGGCGACGGCACGTCGATGAACAAGCACAGCCCCACTGCCCTGCTTTGAATCGTATTACCTGGGCTCTTAGAAACGGTGAGGCAGCGATCCTATCAGAGGGCTGGTTGATTGTGTAGGGGGATCAAAGTAGTTAAGCATTTTGAGGACTAGTACCAAGGCTGTGCCTGAAGCTTAGTCAAACAAGGCTCTCTTTTAATTTCCTTTGTTTCCGCATTGGAATCTTGCCTATTCGGAGTCGAAAAGATGTAATTCAAAGAGAGACGCGTGCGATACCTTTGACGTCAGAATCTGCGCTTAAATGTCACCGGTTTACTGCTTCCAAGTTGTGAGAATTTTGGATGGATGGCTATTTGGTTGTTGTGTATTGGTAACTATACTTCTTATCGGACCGACACGACAAAGGAGGAAGGTGGCTGGTGGGATGCCTTAAAGTAAGCTAAGATCATCGAAGCTGATTGAGAGAGTTCGACAAAACTTGACAGAGGTAGAGGCTCTGCAAAGTGAAACGAGTCTCTGGGTCTGATTTGATGACAACTTGCTCTTAGTCCCAATTCTCTCGATGCAGGTGGATATCTCTTCAGCACCACAAGTGACGAATCATACCAAATGACTGCTTTGACCGCTAAAGAACGCGTTGTTATTGGGTACTACTTTACGCTTGCTTAAACTGTGGCCTTCTCCAACTCTTTCGCGTCGCTCTCTTCCCATGGAAAGTCTTGCTCCGCCTTCTTGATCAACTCTGCATGCTCCGCAGACCTCGGCTTGACAATTGCCCGGTATGGCTTGGGGTGACTGACAATGCCAGGCTCGAACTTGACCTCTGGCTCCACTACCTTTCCATTCTCGCTGAATTTCTCGATATTGAAGACTGCCAGTGTTTGCGCAATCGTGATGAACAGTGCGTTGTCTGCTACATATCTGCCAGGGCAGACACGACGCCCAAAACCAAAGATCCAGTTACGCGGGTCGGGCTCGGCCTTGTGGGTAGGAGTATCAAGATGACGTTCAGGGCGGAAGACCATAGGGTCAGCATAGACCGCCGGGTCATGTGTAAACCACCAGATGTTTGCAATCACGAGCGAGCCCTTTGGAATCCGGTATCCTTCGAAGACGTCCTCCGCGGTGCTGCAGTGAGGCAGGCCCATAGGGGCCACAGGGTGCCAGCGGTGAGTTTCTTTCATAATCGCCACAATGTAGGGAAGGTTTTCGAGATCGGAACGGACAGGTAGGCGGCCGCGTCCAACAACACGATCGAGCTCCTCTTGAGCCTTCACTTGTACTTCTGGACACACAGTCATCGCCAAGAAAAAGGTCATCAGGGACGAAACTGTCGTGTCAGCGCCGCCCAAGTATAGCGAAGCCGCTGACCACTTGTGAATGAACTCTAACTCTTTATCCATGCCGATCTTTTCAATTGCTTGAGACAAAAATGACGTCTTGTGTGTGTTCTCTCGCATCTGTTTCTTAACGAATTGGTAGGGCTGGTTGCTGGTTCGCTCTAGTTGGGCAGCCATCTTACGAGCCTTGGCCTTGAAGCCAGTGCCAGGGCACCATTCTGGTACGTATTTCACTTCTTCTGTTAGATGTGTTGTACGCATTTACAGAAAGATACTCACAGAAAGGCATAAGATCCACCATGAATCTTCCAGGTACGGTGCATTCAGCGAACTCTTCCATCGTCTTTCCGGCCATATCGACCAATGGGTCTGTGCCACGCTTGGTTGTGTATCCGTAGGCGATTTTCAGAATGACAGCACCTGCCTCCATGCGAATGTGATCAAAGAGAGCTTCAGGGGACTCGAGCATGTTAAGCAGGAAGTGAGCGGCCTCAACCTCTTGAATACGATCAAATACTGAGAGAGCAACATTGCTGCTAGCAACCTTTGCAATGTTCTTGCGGTGCATCTTGAAACTATCCGCATAAGGACTCATGGCAAGCGAGTTGTTCCATCCAACCCTTGTCATTCACGTCAGCTTGCTTATGGAATCAGGAATTGATGGTTTGTAGCATACATATCGCAGCTGAAGACCTGGTGCGGGCGTGACGAATGAGTAGCAGACCGATTGCTCAAGAGCTCAAATGCCATTTGCGCATCGTTGATGATGACGAAAGTTGTACCCAGGATAGTAACTGAACTGATCGGGCCATATATGTCCTTGTGCTTTAACCAATGGTGGCACTCAAGCGTGCCAGGCGGGGGCATGTCGCTGACATTTCCAAGGAGTGCAATGCCCTTCGGGCCTGGAGGGAGGGGTTTCTCATTCTTCGATCGGAGGTAGCTAAGACTGTAAAAGACAATCACGCCAAAAAGAACCGTAAGACCGGCTGTGGTGGGCGAGGCAAGACCCATGGTGAAGGTCGTAGAAACACGCCTTGGACAAGTCTTGGGATAGAAAACACAATTCACATATCGAAAGACGTGATATGTGCCTGCTTATCAACCGTAGGAGTGTTTCTGCCACCCGCGGCGTTACCGGCCCCAGGTCTTCTTTGGACTAGACTTCGGATCAGACCCGCCTCAGGGGCCGCGCGAGGTATGTTTCAACCTGCAGGGGCTCTGAATCAAGCGCGAAGACCATATGTAACATGTCTTAAAGACTCAAGAAAAGTAGCACAACAACGCGTCAAAATAGCAGCGATGGTTGTTGAAAATAGCAAAAAAGCTGAGGATACCTTTCAAAACCCAACAAATCACATAGATCTAAAGAAGATGTCGCTCATGGTTGTCACCTCAATCCAATGCAAGATTTTGCGAAAACCCCACTTGCGGCTTGCTCGCTTAATCGAGAGACTGGACCCTGTTCACGCATTAGCTTAATTGTGGGCGGATTGGGAAACCCCCAGAAGGCGGAAAGAACCTATTTAACAAACACGCGATCGACAATTGAATGTGCTACTACTAGGAAAGACTTCCGACCATTATACGAACCAGTCACGCCATGGAGAGCTCGAGCGAGTCGTTTAAACTTTCAGAGGTGATGTACCGCGTTGACAGAACCGCATGTGGCCCGAGTTTCTGCAGGAAGATGGCAGTTACCCTGCAAGTCACCAATGAGATCTACCCACCAAGCAACAATCGCATGCGCGTTTATACTGACACGTTGCGGCCACTGCATCAGTAGATCGGGCGTAGTGGTTGCCATGCAGACGATTAACTGACTAGTTTCCCAATTAGGCGCGCCCCGGACTAGTGGCGAATCCCAAGAACCGGGAGTTGTAGAAGTTGACGAAAAGAGAAGACGGCAATTATCTACCACAACGTTGAAACTGCTCTGTAGTCGGTAGACTTGAAGATAGACCGCGAACTTAATTCCTTAAGCGAGCATCCAATCCGTTCACGCTTACACAACGGCGAACTTACGGAGTCGAAATATATTTCCGAGGTTTAACACTTGCCGAGAGCACGGACTTTTCCAGAAAGCCGAGCTTGTCGATCAACTGATTGCCACTGGGCGTCTTAATTGTCAGCACACTCAATTAGATACTGACTCGACTCTGAACGTGCAAAACCTACTGGAATACGGTGCTGTCCATTGGCCAATTCGAGTGTTCATTGTGATCAGCCTGCACGTGACGGAAGCTGCTCCCTATGGGTTGCAGATTTAGTGGGAAATCTCACCTGATGTGACGACTGCTTATCCCGAGGAGCTCCTAGAAGCTCTTTCATGAACGTCCGTCTACGGCATTGGCATTCTTTTCGACTCGGCCATGCCGACCCTTTCTCTGTCTCTGTCGGCCGAGCTGTAGATGTCGAAAAAGCAACTCCACATCAAGGCTATATTTAGCGTTGGCGTATATCACGATTATGAGCATTGTACTGCATTTGTTTGTTGGTCCTGGCCCACTGGTTCGATATAATTGTTACCGGGACAGCAACCGGGCACAACAACGTGATTATGTCGAGCAACTAAGGTGCAGCAAAACCTTCCAACAGCTTGACAACAGCATTCTAGATTAGTGTAGGAGTATGGTACCTGAAGTCCGACCAGCACACGCCTAGTCTGCAATTTAGTAAGATTATATCTATAGTTCTATGGCTTGTACAAAGGGTGCGGCCCAGAGCAAATTAGATATACAGTGTATACGGTAAGTTACCGCCTGCCTAATGTAGCTTAGCGTCTTACTTAATAAGCTAATTAATTAATCTTAATTTAATTACTACCTAATTACTTTATAATACTATTGCTAAATACTTTAACGCTAACTTTAATTTTAGCTCTAAATAGTTATACTAAAGACTAAAATTACTATAGATACTTCTTTAGTACTCTAAAGAGCTATTATTATATTATAGGTAGTTTCTAGCTCTAAAACTAATAAAATTATAGCTATTTTACTTATTTTAAAATTTACTATTTCTAATATTCTTAAATAAGCTTATAAATATGCTAATAATCTAACTAATTTTATATAACTTCTATAAAGTATACTTAATTACTATAAATACTTAGGTAAGAAGCCTTATATTATTAATAGCTCTAATATATTAGGCGAGTGTAGAGTAATAGGCAGTTTACGTACTATTGCACTAGCCCTAGCTTTTTAGCTTATATATATAGATAAAAGTACCTTATAAAGAGATATAGGTCTCTTAGTAATTTATCTTATTATATATTAAATACTATTATTCTATCTTTACTATACTACGTTGCTACTATAACTAAGTCTTATATTTAAATTACTTCTAATATATAGTAGCTTAGAATAGTAAGAATATCTAGTAAATTATCTACTTATAAGTCTAGATATAATATAAGGACTCTTATATTTTAAGTAAAATAGAATACGCTACTATAATTTCTAATAGGTAGTAATAACCTATAATAATAGGGTACTCTCCTTATTAAAGGTTAAAAAGACCTAATTAGGCTAATTATAAATAATTTAATCCTGCTACCTATAATTAAGAAATAAATATAATAGGAGCTATAGGCCTTACTTATATAAAAGAAAACTTAGGTAGATAAGCTATAAATTAGGCAGCTATAAGACCTTAAAGCTAGATATAAGGCTAGAGTATAATAGGCTAGGCCTAGTAGAACCTTAGTAAGTAAAGCCTTAGAGCTTAGTAACTCTAACTACTAATACCTACCCTTAGCTAGCCTACTAGAAACAGCTAGTATACTACTAAAAGGACTATAAGTAGAAAAAAGCTAGTACTATAGATTCTTAGTAAATTTATTTAATTTATACTAGTAACTACCCTTAGAGTTAGCTCTTTATATTTAAATTTACTTATAAAAATACTTTTAGGTATTAGTAGTACCTTAGGAACTACTAGTAGTATATTTATTAAAAGAGATACTATAGTTACTAAGCTAAAAGTAGAAGCTTTATAGCTAGTAGAAATAGGCTTTATATAGAAAGTAATTAAAATATACTTATAAACTATAATAGGATAGAACTTAGATAAATAGAAAGTTCTACTAAAACTTTAGCTAGTTTCCTAGAGTCTCTAAAAGAATAAATAATAGATAATAAGATTTATAAATATACTAATCTTAATAGCTAGTCTATTATTAGTAGTAGCTAAAAAATAACCTATTAAGAGATTTAATAAAGAGTTCTTCTTAGAAGAACTATATAACGTACTATAGATACTAACCTAGAAGATTAACCTTCTTAAAAATAATATACTACTACTACCTACTTCTTTTAAATAGAGAGTTTAATAATTTAAAGAAGAAGTACGTAGACTAAGAGTAGTTCTAAGACTAACTTTTTTTATAGTAACTACTAAAACCTATATAAAAAACTTTAAAATACTAGATCTTAACTACTTTAATAGTAATGTAGTAGAGCAATATAGGAAGTATATCTAAAGGAGTATTAGAGTAAGATTATATAACGCAGGTTATGTAATCTAGGATTAGTACATAGCAATTAAGCCTCTAATAGGAACTTAACAAAGTATTAACTAATAATACACTTATCCTATCTAGTATTAAGCTACACGTGCCTAAAGAGGCGTTAAAGACTATCTCTTCTATATATAGTAACCTACGTAGGGAACAAAGAAGCTTTCTGTTTATAGCTATTTAGATATAATACTAAATTATTCTTGTAATACATTTATCTAGAGAGTAATTAATTTTTAGTAATAATAATAGGACTTTAGTAAGTCTAAGTTAAGGATTAAGAGACTAATATAAGATAGGTACAACACTAGATTATATATAGTACCTAAGAATTAGTACTTTAAGAACTTAATAAGGTATTAGTATACTTCTAGGAAATTTAGCAACCTTATAACTAGGGATTGTACTAGACCTAGAAAACTAAGGAGTTACCCCTAAAGAAGCTATTAATATAATAGCTAGTATACTAGTTACACTTAGATAACTTTTAGAGATTATTTTACTACTATAAAACTTATATAATTAGTATATAACCTACAGTTATACTTAAGTACTCTTTAGTAATAAGAATTAGCTAAGGAATAATTAAAAGAAAGGGATTAAGGGTAGTAAGTACTGCTAGGTATAGATAAAAAGGAGAAGAATAAATAAGGCAAGAAGCTTACTAACAAAGAATAGATATATACTAGTAATAATAACTTTCTTTATAATCTTTTCTACTATAAAGACCTTTTAGAGATCTTTACTTCTTCTTTCTATAGTAGTTAAGATAGTTCTTACTACTTACTTATTACTTATCTTTATAATTCTTATTTATACCTTTCTTATTTTTAAGATAACTAATAATCTCTTACTAATAGGTTATACCCTAAATACTAACTCTTCTACTAAGTATTTATTATTTAATGTAGGTTAATTATTAGCTCTCCTAACGTAAGCCTAGAGAGAGAAACCTAGAAATAACTTAAGTAATAATAAAACTCCTAGCCTATTTAAAGGTAAGGTAAAACTTCTAAAGCCTAATACTAAATTAATAAACCTAACTGCCCTATTTCTAGTAAATATAGCTTAAATAATAGTAACACTTATTTAGAACTAATTAAAGCTTAGCTAGGCACCTTTCCCTACTAAGTATATACTAAGTTTTAATAGCACTAAAGTTACTATTTTTATTAAGTAATATAAGGAAGTTGCTTTATATTACAGCTTCTTAGAGATTAATAAGATCTAATAAGTAATTACCTACTACTAGTAAAGGTAGAAGAATATTATTTATTACTCTAAGGAATACTAAACAGCCCTTAAAGGTAAAGACTAGGATATACTAAGAGAAGCCCTCTAATGTAAATTTAGGAGTAATAACAGCGCTTAATAGGAGGAATAGATTAAGTTCTTTAAATAGTAGCTCTATAAATACTAGTTAAGGAAGGATCTTAATATCTAATAATACCTTAAGGAGTTTAAGATTAGATTAGAGTAATATATCTCTATAGGCACTGTTAAGAGCAAGAAAAAGGGCTTCTACCTTATTAAAGGGCTCCCCCTTAACTATACTACTAGAGTCCTAAGTAAGTTTAGCCTATCTATAACACACTATTAGGAGTTTAAGTTTAGCTAGATTAGTAAATTCCTTAGCTACTAAG